GGTATAGGTAAGAACTTTCTCAACGAAACCCCAGCAGCACAGCAACTAAGAGATAGCATAGATGAATGGGACCTCATAAAGCTAAAAAGCTTCTGTTCATCAAAAGAAATGGTCTCTAAACTGAAAAGAACACCCACAGAGTGGGAGAAAATATTTGCCAGCTATACATCAGACAAAGGACTGATAACCAGAATATATAGGGAACTTAAAAAACTAAATTCTCCCAAAACTAATGAACCAATAAAGAAATGGGCAAGTGAACTAAACAGAACTTTCTCAAAAGAAGAAATTCAAATGGCCAAAAACACATGAAAAAATGCTCACCATCTCTAGCAATAAAGGAAATGCAAATTAAAACCACTAAGATTCCACCTCACCCCTGTTAGAATAGCCATCATCAGCAACACCACCAACAACAGGTGTTGGCGAGGATGCGGGGAAAAAGGAACCCTCTTACACTGTTGGTGGGAATGTAAACTAGTACAACCACTCTGGAAAAAAATTTGGAGGCTACTTAAAAAGCTAGACATTGATCTACCATTTGATCCAGCAATACCACTCTTGGGGATATACCCAAAAGACTGTGACACAGGTTACTCCAGAGGCACCTGCACACCCATGTTTATTGCGGCACTATTCACAATAGCCAAGTTATGGAAACAGCCAAGATGCCCCACCACTGACGAATGGATTAAGAAAATGTGGTATCTATACACAATGGAATTTTATGCAGCCATGAAGAAGAACGAAATGTTATCATTCGCTGGTAAATGGATGGAATTGGAGAACATCATTCTGAGTGAGGTTAGCCTGGCCCAAAAGACCAAAAATCGTATGTTCTCCCTCATATGTGGACATTAGATCAAGGGCAAACACAACAAGAAGGATTGGACTTTGAGCACATGATAAAAGCGAGAGCACACAAGGGAGGGGTGAGGATAGGTAAGACACCTAAAACATTAGCTAGCATTTGTTGCCCTCAACACAGAGAAACTAAAGCAGATACCTTAAAAGCAACTGAGGCCAATAGGAAAAGGGGACCAGGAACTAGAGAAAAGGTTAGATCAAAAAGAATTAACCTAGAAGGTAACACACATGCACAGGGAATCAATGTGAGTCAATGCCCTGTATAGCTATCCTTATCTCAACCAGCAAAAACCCTTGTTCTTTCCTATTATTGCTTATACTCTCTCTACAACAAAATTAGAGATAAGGGCAAAATAGTTTCTGCTGGGTATTGAAGGGGTGGGGGGGAGAGGGAGGGGGTGGAGTGGGTGGTAAGGGAGGGGGTGGGGGCAGGGGGGAGAAATGACCCAAGCCTTGTATGCACATATGAATAATAAAAGAAAAAAAAAGACACCAGTTTAGAAATGAAGAACATTGAAAATGGCAAAAACAAACAGGGAAATAACAGTAAATATAAATAAATATAAAACTTGTTTAAAGGGCTGGTGGAGTGACTCAAGTGGTAGAGTGCCTGCCTAGAGTGAGGCCCTGAGTTCAAACACCAGTACCTCCCCCCCAAAAAAAAAAAAAAGAGACTTGTTTAAAATCTCAAGAAATAATTGTTTAAAGCAAAAATAGTAACAATGTATGGTTTGGTTTATAACCAAAATAAAATAAAATAAATAAATAAAATAAAACGGATGACAATAACAGCACAAAACTTGTTAATGGAGGCGAGAAACAAAAGTATATACTATTATACAGTTCTTACACATTACATGAAGTAGTAAAATATTATTCATGGCAGGCTATGATAAGTATAAACTCAAACTGAAAGCTAAAACAATAACAAAAAATATACTACTAAGAAGATAATTAAAAACATACTTCTAAATAATCCATGGGTCAAAGAAGAAACCAAATGGAAATTAAGAAGTATTTTTATGGAAATGAAATTATATCAACATTTGGGGAAAAGTAGGTAAAGCAGTAATTAAAAGGAAATTTAGAGCTCTAAATTTGATGTATTAAAGAATAAAATTCTTAACCTAATGCTCTCAGTTTCCAATTAAGAAGCTAGATAAACAAGAGGAAATTATATCTAAATTGTATACATAAAATTCTCAATCCAAAAAAAAGGCACAATGGACTCAAGTGGTAGAGCACCTGCCTTGCAAGTGCAAAGCCTTAAATTCAAATCCCACTACTGCCCAAAACAAACAAACAAATTTAAGACAATACAGAACAAAAAAAGTGAATAGGGGACAAAGAACAGATGGGAAATATAGAAAACAAATAGCAAGATGATGGATTTAAATCCAACAAATTACAAAACACATTAAATAAAAATGGTCTAAAACTAACGAAAAGCAGGAGTGTCAGATTTTTTTTTTTAAAAAAGAGCAACATTCAACTATATGCTGTCTATAAGAAGTACAATTCAAAGATAAAGACATAGGTCAAAGTAAGAGGACAGAAAAAAGATACACCATCCTTACACTAGCCAAAAGAAAGCTGGCTACTTTTATTAATGTCAAAGTTGCTTTTAGAACAAAAAAATATTACCAAGGATATAAGGGGACATTTCATTATTTCAATTCATTAAGAAAATATAAAAATCAAACATTCATGCACCTAATAACAAGCTTCACAATGAATGAAGCAAAAACTGAGAGGCTTAAAAAAAAAGAAATGAACAAATCTATAATTATAGAGATATTTCAATCCCACTTTCTCAGTAACTGATAGTAAAGGTAAACAGACATAGAATGACATAGGAAACTTGAACAACACTATTAACAAGCCTGAACTAATCAATGGGAAATTGTACCTGACAACAGCAGAAGACACATTCTTTTCGAGGGCACAAAGAGAATTTACTAAGATAGATAATACTCTGGACTGTAAAACAAAGTCTCAAGAATTTAAAATGATTCAAATTATGTAAAGTGTTTTCTCTGATCAGAATGGAGTTAAATTAGAAATGCATCACAGAAAAGCCTCTGGAAATATCTAACGATCTGGAAACTTAGCTATATACATCTAAATAATCAACGGTCCCAAAAAGAGGGCAAAAGAGAAGTTAGAAATTATTCTGAAGCAATGAAAGTGTCAACACAACATACAAAATTGTTGCAGGTAAACTAGTGTTTTGAGAGAAAATTATAGCACTAATCACATACATCAGAAAAGAGGAAATTATGAAATCAGTAAGTTGCATCTTCCAGACACTTTACAAGCAGATATATAAATAGCAATGAAGAGATGCTTAACATCATTTGTCAACAGGGAAAAACAATCTAAACCCACAAAATACTAGTACACGACTGTTAGAATAACTAATATTAAAGACTGACTATATGGTATGATATATGCATTCATGAAAATATTACAGTGAGCTCAAGTATTTTGCACAATTAGCACACATTAATATGAGAAAAAGATTGATCAAATCAATTGCTCTCAAAGATGTGGAGGTACTAGAATATTCATACACTGCCAGTGCACCTGTAACAGAGCACAATGAAACAGAGCTTTGGAAAAGAGTGTGCCAATTTCTTAAAAAGTTAAAGATACAGCAACATATAGTTCAGTCATTTCACTTTTAGATAATTAATAGATATGAAAGCATATATGTACACAAAGACTTGTGTGTGAATATTCATAACATTTTTATTCATAATAGCTCCAAACTGAAAGTACCTCTGACGTCCATTAACTAATGAACTGTTAAACAAAATATAATGTATCCATACAATGGAATACTACTCAGAAATAAAAAACTAATGGTTGACTGACTCATGCAACAACAGGATTAATCTCAATATGACTATGAGATAAGGAAGGCAGAAAAAACATATGCATGTTATGAACAAATCTACTTATAGAAAATTATATAAAGTATAAAGAAACCTATACAGACAGAAAGCAGATTGGTAGTTGCTTAGAGACACGAAGTAGAGGAATAGAGGAATCATAAATGATTATAAGAAAATGCTTGAGGTGACAGATATGTTCATTCTCTTGAATGCCATAAAGTAATACATGTCAAGAACTATACAACTTATATATGTATAGTTTACCACATGTAAATTATATTTCAATAAAGTAATGATGTATAAAAATAAAGTCAGGCAGAATCATCCAGTTGTCACCCATATACCTTTTCTCATAGTGCTGACTTTTGCTACATTGAGCTAGACAAGAAACACCTCTCCTTTTTGAACCAATACCACACACAGTTATGGTAACAGTGAAGTTTTCCCTGAAAATGGGCTGCTTTTTTGCAGCATAGTGTGAGTTAACATGACAAGTGTCTTTAATCAAGAGTGGAGTTAACCAAGAAGTGAAATACCAAGTTACAAGACTCCAAATTGATGCACTCTAGTTAGTGGTGGTAGTGACGGGGGCCAAGATAAGAGAGTATGGAAGTAGAGATACAAGGAAAGGAAGGAAAAATGACCAGTGAGACAAAGGGGTGAGATGTTAGGAAGGAAAGGAAACGGGTGGGGGGGGGGAGGGGCAGGAGGTAGAAAGATGAAAGGAATAGGAAAACAAGCTCCCCTTTACTCTTCAATTTTGTATCATGCTAGTTGTTTCCATTGTCCCTGGATAGATGACAAATGCTTGAATTATTTTCATATACCATGTGCTGAGTTAAAAATCATACTCAAAACTGAATTAATTCATCTTAAGAGAAAAGCACAGGATACCAAGTCAAACAATTACAGGCTATTTTCCAGACATCTTTTGCAAAGTGAGGTACTACCAACCAATTTATATTATAGGGTCATTTTCAGATCAATGTTCTCCAGTAATATTTTATTTCTTACATTATATGCAGTCATGAAATGACATTATAGAGTTGCTCACAGTGGTAGAGCAATAGCAAAAATAACACAATAAATATTAACCAGGGTTGTTATAGAAGCCTGAATCCTCCAGCCCCAATTCTACATGTTAAAACTAAATGCATTTTATTTTACTCTTTGAACATACATTCATTCATTTTTAGCAGTACGAAATGGTCTATAAAAATTGTAAGATTTTCCTACCTTGACAAAAATGGTTGAATTGCATTCTTGCAATGCCTCCATTAAACTAATCACATGGAGACACACCATTTCTACCATCTGAAACAACAAACATGAAAGTCAATTCCACTCCCAGTGATATGAAAACCTTGCAAACTAGTCAGCAGCCACAGAAGACTGATGCCCTGTGTCCAGGGGGTCTTTTGGCCATAGGAGACTATAAGGGGTGGTGTCCATTCACCTCTAAAACTTGAAACCAGAAGCAAAATTTTTTAAAGTTCCAGAGATTTTATAATTGTCATTCCTTCCTCACCCCACTCAGGATTGCCCAGTGAACTCAGGTATAGCTCTCCCTAATCTGCACTGCACCGTGACTCATGTCAGAAGATAAATGGCTTCTGCTTCCTCATTTCTAACCATAGCTTCCATCTGATCCTTTCTCCACGGTTTCTCCTAGGGCATGGCTGTTTTAATTTAATGCAGATCTGCTTCTAAGGTTTTATTCCCTATGGAACAGATAGCCATGCTTACAAACAGTTCAAAAGTACAACAGAAATGATATCCCTCATTGCAAACTCCTAAGGCTGGATTTTAAACACTCCAGGGGGATTTGACCAGACTGGTTTATACAGCCTAACAAAAAATTCAAAGTAAAATTAATTAAAATTCACTTGCAACAACATCTGTGAAATGCAACACACTGCAACAATCACTTGCAACACATTCATTTGTAACATTTGAAAATCAAAAACAATTTGAAATAGGACATTATTGGTATCAAAAAACTAACAATAATAGAAGGAATTATTTTTTTGGTGCTACTGGGGATTGAACTCAGGGCCACCTACTTGCTAGACAGGTGCTCTACTACTTGAGCCACACCTCCAGCCCAATAGAAGGAAAATTTCCTAACCATAGTGAAAAGTCCCAGTTTGTCTGTCTGCAAACTAACAGAATAGAATGCTTGATCTCCAAGTTCTCCTTTCGTTGTAGAAATCTATGATCCAATAAATATAATTATCTCCAAAGCAGTTAGAACTATTTGTGAACCCTAAAATTTTCACATAAACTTCCTTTATATTGAACTAAAACATCTCTCTATATATAAAATTACAACATCTGCTTCTCTAAAGAAAGGGCTTCAACTAGAGTTAGAGGCATGACTCAAGTGATAGAGGACTTACCTTACAAGTACTGAGTTCAAACCCTAGTACCAACAAAAAAAAAAAGCAAGTAAACAAAAAAGAAAAAGCAAGAAAGGAGAGAGTGCTTCATTAAAGGAAATAATCTTTCTAATTAGAGCTAAAAGAAAATATGCCTTAGACTAATATTCAATCAACTAAACAATCATGACCCAAATGCCTTGCATGGTACACTGTTATCATCATTGTAGTATACTTCTAGGTTCCTGACTCCTCCTAACTCTACCAATGGTGCCCCTGTAACTCCAACACTGGTCCCTGCCTACCCAACTGAGAGTCTCCTTCAACAAAGCAAATAAACCTAAGAACTCCTTGTAAATTCCTTCTATACACCTCCAACTGGCTCCAGGAGGACCAGCTCAAATTTCTTCAATGAAATAGATTCAAGCATTAACCATTCCCCAGATATCTTCCAGGAGGGGGTCTGGAGCAACTCTTCTTGGCAAGCCATCACATTAAAATGGATTTGAAGACCAGGGAGCAGTTTGAAGATTGCCCTTAGTGCAACAAAGAAAAGTGAAGCTCTTTTCATATCTTGAGCTCTGAGTAAAATAAACTCATGTGGTCAGCTGTCCCTTAAATTACTACAAAGAAAAAGATCCAAATAGCTAATATTTTCCCAAATTGCTTTGGGATTCAAAAATTATATGGCTCTCTCTCTAACTCTGACTTTAAGCATCTTGTTTTTTGGCAATACTGGGGTTTGAACTCAGAGCCTAATGCTTGCTAGGCAGGTGCTCTACCACTTCTGCCATTCCACCAGCCCTGGACCAAAACACCTTACAGGTAGAAATTACACATAAAATTCATTTGGTACTAAGCAGAAAAAAAAAACAAAAGTTGTTTATTTTTTATTCATTTGGGGGCTTTTAAATATTTATGGTACACAGCATGATGCTTTGATACATGTATATATTGTGGAATTATGAAATCAAGCTACTTAACATATACATAGATTATAGACTTTTTTCTTCCAGTGAGAACACTTAAAATCTACTCTTAGCAACTTTCAAGTATTCTACAGTCTCTTGAACTATTGTTTGTTTTGTTTTCAACCAAAAGTTTTGGCAAGTAGAACAACGTATAACAAATCACTGATTGATTTACATATTCTTAAGACTATAAAGAACAGGTATCATGAGGGACCAGAAGTGGCCTAGATATTTTAAGATTCTATCCCTGAGCAGACCATCTCCATGAACTCACCACTTTGTTATGGGCCATTAGCTGAAGGATGCTGGGTGTCACCCTACTCCAAAACTCCAGTGCTGTCAATATAGCTGTGAAACTGAATTCATTCTGGTTTTGGACATTTGTAGCCACAGCACTTTGTTCGCAGTATACAGTCCAGAGTTGAGCAAAGATAAATGCATGGAAGAGGGAGCACATGTGGAGCACAGAGGTCTGCAAGGAAAGAAGACAAGGCACCACTGCTTTAGGCTGTGGCCTTGCCGGAGCACAGCCATGTACAAAGGAATTATCTCAGTTACAAACTCATGACTCATCACCTTAAAACTATCTGCTCTTCTCTGTCAGTGGGAGTGTGCTCAGAGAACAAAGCATCTCTTCCAAGAGAGGGCACCTTAATTTGCAGAACAAATCTACTCACTCCCCCTTGCCCTTTTATGAAACTGACATTTCCATCCTTAAACTAGGTTAGGAGGAATAATCATTCTGACATTTTAGGAACTTTTCTTGCCTGTAAAATGGGGATAACAGGAGCCCCTTCAAAGAACTGGTTAGGAGTAAATGAGGTGATATACAGGAATACTTAATAACTGTACTTGTACCAGCAGCAGCAGCAAGAGTACTCCTACCAATATTAAGCATGCATTGAATGCCTACATGCCAAGGACAGTGCTAAAATAAAGACTTTTTTCTTACATCACCTACGTAATTCTCAAACTACCTTCTCCTCTACTTTACAGATAAAAACTGACATTCAGAGAACTTTTTCAAGTTCAAAAAAGTACAAGTTAGTAATCAAACACAGATCTGGAAGCTGAGTGCCAGTGGCTCATGCCTATAATCTTAGCTACTCAGGAGGCTAAGATCAAGGAGGATCGAGGTTCGAGATCAGCCTGGGTAAATTGTCCCTGAGACATCCCCCTATCACCAAAATAACCAGAGCAAAACAGACTGGAGGTGTGGTTCAAGGAGTAGAGTGCCTGCTTTGTAAGTGTGAAGCCCTGAGTTCCAACTAGCCCCACCCTGAAAAAAAAGTAGTAAAACTACAGCTCTGGGAAGAAATAGCAGGAAATGACTGCCTGATTGCTTCTGTAAACATCATTCAGGTCATTTGAGTGGATGCTCTATTTTATCACATAGTTGGCTTGTTTTGGCTTGAATACAAACTATCCCAAACCCACAGGGACCTCCAAGAACTTGCCTAAGCTCAGGGAAGGTCATTTGGCAACCTGTAGTTGATTAGTGGTAGTGTCTGGGTTTTGTGTACAGGCTAATGCTAGATGCCTTCCTGGAGTTTACTTTATTCTTTTAAGCATGTCATCTGTCTCTATAATTTACAAAGTCCCTCTGGGTGGGTGATGCCAGTATGTGCTTTACTGGGCTCCTCACTGGCCTTATTTTCATGTATCCCTAGAGATTTGAGTCAAAAAGATAGTGCATTAAGAATTAGAACATAAATTTCCCTTTACTTTATCCTTGGTTCTGAAAATAGATCACAGAATTTTTACTGTATTTCTGAAACTGGAATTCTGGACCCCAGGCCTAAACTCCTGGGCTTTCTACATGTCAGATCTGGCCACTCATCTTTATATGCCAAATAAAGAGACAGTAATGGTGAAGGGTGGAGAAAGGAGATTTGTTACAGGGACACACCATGTAGAAAGAGGCAAAGCAAGTATTTCAGCCTATCTTCAGCCATCTTCAAGGTACAGACGTGAGTTTTAGCATTAAACAGACTAAGAATTAGGGCAAGGGGCAAAAAGTACACATAGTTAAACAGTCCTAGTCACAGGTGTGTTTCAGTGGGTCATTAACTCAGTCCTTGTTTTGGGAGAGGTTTCACAGAAGTTGTTATCCCTTGTCCTGGGGAGGCTCTGAAGTTCCCTTTCTTTGGGGCATCCCTCCTTATAAACATGTTGTCCTTAAGGCCTGTCCTGCCTGGATTGCAAGGAGATTATAAGGCGAATGGCTTGAACAAAAACAGATGCAAAATTGTGGCAGGGATGCCAAGATTTTCTCCTGCTTTTCAGCAAAAGCAGTTTAAGTACTTCTTACATTTCTAGCCTTTTATTTCTCTTCACTATTTGCAGTCAGAAATGCCTGGGAAACCAACTCTTGCTTGCCTCCAAAATTTATCTTCATAAAAGTAAGCCAGACAACAGTTTAGGGGGAGAAAAGACAGTCTGGGAATTTAAACAACTTTAAATAAGGCATTAGACAAAGTTGCTTTTCTAACATTCACAGGAGGGCAAGTGATAAGAGGCATTTATTTCTCAGAAGAAACATAATTGGCCAACAAGGGGTTCCATTAGCAATTTCCATGCACACAGTCCTAATCTTGCAGAAATCACTTACTTTTGATTGCTCTGGAAATCCAATCAGGATAACAATAAGATGATCTGCAATATGGGAACCTGCATCCAGAGGTATGGGGAGGCAGGGAGAAGAAGCATTTGGACATACTGCATTATGAGTGAGGGAACCCAGAAGCAGCCAGGATAGCAGACGGATGTGGGAGACACACTCAATGAATTCCTTAGGTCTGTTAGGGAAGAAGGAAGTGTTAAAGATAATTTTATGTTTTCTGTTTTGTAGAATGCCCAACAAATGCTTACTGAAGTAAGGAGTTAACAATGGCCGTACAGGCAACTGCGTAAAGTAAAACACCAAGACATGAGTGTCAACCAAGCGATACATCTGTTTTTCTTATTTTCTACTCTAATCCTGGATCTTAGCTTCTTGAACAAGAAATGGCCTTTGGTGACACAGGATTAAGTACCATTCTTCCACAGTCCAGCTGCCTCTCTGACTGGCTTCTCTTTCTGAATCCTTTCCTTTCCTCTCATCAGAAAGTCTCTGACATCTCGCTAGAGGGGAGACATAATATCCAGCCACATATTTCCCTGCTCACAACAATTTTCTTCTCCTGGTCTCCTCATCCCCAACTTTAATCCTTTCCTTTAAAGGAAAGCCGAGCATGCAAAATGGTAGGCTCAAGCCTATTCTGAGTTTTCAAGGAACCCATCCCATGTGTGCCTCTCTCTTCTTCAGCCTCTGTACAGACAGGGTCAGGGCTGCACTCCATTGCAACCCTGCTATTGCTTTTGTTCCAGCTACAAGTTAAGCTGCTTGTAGTACCTGATTCATTCTTACTGACTTACTAACGCTTTGAAATTCAGAGTGGTAGTTCTAAGCTTTAAGTTTTCATCATCTATGAGGATAATTAAGGTTTTTTAATGTATGGGGGCAAGTCTCTTATTGGCAGCATGTCACAAAGCGCCCAAGGTCCAGATTTCAATCCCCCTAACCAATCAAATTTCACTTTCACAAATCTTCAATGCATTTGGAACTCTGTCTAAGCTCAGGAAACTCAAGGCTGTTTCCATCTTATTTATCCTCGATCCTGGAATATAAGGGTCTTACCCTTGTTGCATTGCAGACGGGGGATGATAGAGCCAAGGCAGGTAACGGATCACAGCTTTGTTGTCTCTGTGGTTGCCCCGGGAGATTTCCATAGCTGCAATCTGAGCCAGGCCAACTTTTAGATGCCCACCGAAGGTATCTTCATGCAGAGGTTGGGAGCATGTCTTCATGTGGCTCTACAAAACCAAATGATACACTGTAACTCTGGCAGACACCTTGAGACATACCAAACCATTCTTTTTAAAAGGTCAAGTGAGAGGCTAGCTGAGCAGCTCAAGTGGTAGGACATCTGCCTAGCAAGTGTGACACACTAAGTTCAAACCCCAGCCCCACTAAAAGGTCAGGTGGTTCTTTCCCCCACTCTAATCAGTATCCTAAGTGTACAACCTACTTAAATTTTAAAGACTTGGCATTGTTCTCTGGATAAATAAACTTTCCCTTGCAAGGGCTACAGAACCACAGCAACCTACAACTGCAACTTCAGCATCTTCCCCCTTCACCCACTCTGGGCTCTGGTTGCTCTGGCTTTACTGTTCCTCCACTGCTATTCCTTTTCCTGAAATACTGTTCCTGTTTCTCTTCATAGAATCATTCAAAATTAGCTCAAGTGTCACTTCCTCAGAAAGCATTCTCTGAGCTCCCTTGGCTGGATCCATGCTGCTCTCTAACCCTTCTTCACAGCAACTGCAAAAGTCACAATTTTACGTTAGTTTGTAAGAAATGTTCATTAAATTTGGCCTCCTGCTAAACAATATGCTTTTTTTTTTTTTTGGAGGTACAGGGGTTTGATCTCAGAGCCTTGCACTTGCTAGTCAGGAGTTGTGTAAGCCACAACTCCAACTCTAAACTATAAATTTCACGAGGGCAACTGTGTCTGTCTTTGTTCATCACTGCAACCCCAATGCCTAGAACAATTCTGGGCAAATTATAGGTGCTCAATACATATTTGCTGAATTAGTTTTGAAAGCTTTCTTTGCTCAGGGACCTAGGGTCTAGACACAGTTCTGTACTAATTATTCTCATGACCTCAGATAAGACACTTGTCATTTGACCTTTCTGATCTATCTCCTAAAATGTAAGATCAGAGGGTTGGATTAAGTCTGTAACCTTAATGATGTAACCTTGTCATCATCATGGATCTTTGTCAATAATTTTCAAAAGTATCTGCAAAACAAGCTCAAAATATTTAGGCAATAATTGTTTCCTCCTCTTTATGCATCAAGGGCATTTAAGTATAGGCAGCCAGACTCAGTGATTAGTAACCAGTATGTGACCAATGACAGGGGAACTTACTTAGGAATGACTAGGTTGAGACATGAGAAATTATCAGCTTAAGATTTTATTCTCTTTTGTACCTAACATTTTCAAGCATGTCACCAAAAAATACTCTTATTGCCTCAGCAGAGCCTAAAAACTGAGTGAAGAAGAATATTATTAGCTGATGGACTTCTAGGATCACTAGGCTCCTGTTTATCAAAAAAAGGAATCATTTGGTGCCAGATTGTAACTTGGTTGCTCCTTGGACCATCCTTGGATTTTCATCTGACCTCTGTCCAGGGTCTTCCTCAAATCTCTCAGACTATTAATCTTTTAACTCCCTGGTCAAATCATGTCAGAAAAGTAGACTTGCATCAGCAATTCTTTCTACCATCCCTCCAAACAATCAACAAATTCAACAATTTCTCTGAGATTTTGTCCATATTCAAATTAAATTTAGTTTTATCCTCATTTATTTATTTTCTTAAAGAAGATAGCTTCAATGCAGATAAAATAATAAATGGTTTATGTTTGTACAACATGCTATAGTTTAGGAAAATCTCTTTGCTTTTTGCATGTGTTATTTTATATCAACCCTGTAATAGTAAGGCAAGAGAGGTGTCTATTATACAGAGTTGTTTTGCAAATCAGGAAACCAAAACTCAAGGGAGTTAAATGACTCCATGGCACAGTGAGAGAGAATAGATTGGGAATCACAACAGATATAGGTTCAGTTCTGATTTTATCACTTATTAGTAGTGTGACCTTGATCAAGCCTCAGTTTCTACATTTGTAAAATGCATTTAATATCATAACAGAGACATCTGTGAAAGCTGAACAAATGGCAAAATAAAGCTATATATGAAGATGCCATTTGGGTTTTTTTAATGCAGAACTGGACCCCAGTCCTCAGACTCCCAAGTTGTGGGCTCATTTGACACTGCCACAGCTGCCTCACCAAGTAGCAATAAATTTCCATTCAGTCTGCTTAATTCTCTAAAAATACCAGTGTTTTTTGCGGACCTGAGATGAGCAAACGGAAGTTATCTTACCTTCAGTTTGGTTAGTGTGTGCATGTCCGCCATGAAATCCAGCACTTCACTGATGTACTGCCGCATGCACTCCATCGCTGCAGTCCCACACTGAAACACAAGCACACAGCTGGGCCACAGCTTCATTTCTGCCTGACTACAATAATGTCTCACTCCCACTGCATGCTGTTTACTAAGGAATTACTTCATTTTCTGGATTTCCTACTCATTCCACTATTCTTAGCATAATCTATGATTGTCTACAGGACAAAAATTGCTAAAAGATTTGTGATAGAGAGCAAACAAACAGGGGAGGCCTATACGAGACAGGGCTAAATGCTGTTTCCACTGGATAAACAAGGTGATTGTTGCTTGTTTGTTTTTAAACTGAGGTATATACAAGATTCAGCCTATATAATGCAACTGTCACCCAAAACCTGTATTACTCTGGGGAAGTCTCAGGAGTACATAAAATATGTGCTACCGAATTCTAACTTCATATGCATGGTAGGTGCACTGTTAAATAGATACATGTATTCATGTCAGTACTTACTAGGGATAAATGAAAGAAACAGAATGGTCATGTTCCTTATACACTTGACATATGTTTGGGAAGTTTTAAAAGAAAAGAAAGCATGCTTGTGTTTTAGGTTGTTAAATGGCATAGATCTGCTCTCTCAGGGAAATGCAGTGAATTTGGGATCATAAGGAAAGTAAAAGAAAATGAACCAACAGGCTGCTATATCAAAGCTGTATGAGAAAACCCACACACCAGGCTGGGTAAAATGTGGATCAAAAGCAGGCAGTCTTTGAAGCCATGTGAATACTATGATAAAGGCCTCTGGGCTTTCTTTAGGAAAATCTGGAACATTTTATACTTAACTAGCTTACCCAGTAGCTCTCATTTTCCCATATTCATGTAAATCTGCACAGCACTGAACTATATCACCTCCTCTCTCTTCTAGAATGTTACGCTTGTCAGTTCTTCTGACAGAATAACAAATAGTAAAATAAGGTCATTGGCAGTCTGTCAGAGTGTTTTCCAAGCATTTCACACATTCTAAGGTTTCCTTCTTTTAAATTAAATCAAGAGAAGGAATTATAAAAGGTTATTGTGTTCCTGCTTTTGCAATATGAGTCCTTCAGTGCAAAAAAGGACTCCCCCCCCCCACGATTTATTCCATTTTCTCTGACCTTTCGCACATCATGCAAATAGGAGCACAGACTCTGCTCTTGAATTTCTTTAAAGGATTTGTTTCTTTCATAGGCAATATTTTATACCAGCTCAACTAGGCAAATGTCAGAAAATAATTACTAGGAGCATTATTCATTATTTGTCTTTTAAGTATGAATCTCAAGAAATGAGAGCAAAGAATTTACCATTCCATAGGTACCTTGCTCTAGAGATAGTGATTATAACTAGTAAAAGACTTAAAATACACTTTATGGTCAAGGGAATCTTAGGGAGCCATCTGCCCTTGTAAAACAGGAATGTAATTTCCAACCATCCCGATTTCACTTTGTAAAACATAAATATAACCTTAAAGATGTGTTATTTTTAAAAAAACAGAACATAAGGAGTCAACTCCATTTGTTTCAGAAGGTTTATGTTTATTTCAATGAGAAAACTGATAATGAAGGAGTTGAAAACATACCCTAACTTCAAACACGTGAATTGAAATAAATCATTTCCAATTCTTCAAAACATATCTGATTTAAAATCATTTCTTAGACTGTATAAATAACACATGCTCATTGTAGAAAATTTGGAAAATACAAGTTACTAAAAGGAGCAATTAAAATCATCATAATCCTAATTCATGTCCTTCACTTCTGAGTAAACCAGTTTGTTAATATTTTCTTCCAAGTTTTTTTCAATGCCTATATACACCCACATACATATGATCTTTATAAGATTGAAATAACTTTTTTCTAACTTGCTTTTAAATTAAATCCATCATAAGTATTTTCTTAATTATTTGAATACTCTTTGAAACTTTGACTTGCTAGCCACCTAGTAGTCTATCTTCTGGATACACCTTACTTTATTTAAACAATATGGTAATGTTGGACATTTATTTTTATTTTGTTTCCATATTTTTGCTATTTTTAAAGATGCTTTAATAAACATACTTGTGCATAAATCTTTTGGGGTCTATTTATTTTCTCTACATATTCCCAGAAGTAGATTGTCAAACTGCCCTCCATTAAGGTTAGTTTCACTACCACCAGTAGCTTATAAGAATGTTCGTTTCACTTCACCAACAATATATTTGATCATCAAGAAAAATCTGCTGGGGGAGAAGAAAAATGGGAAAATATGAGCTATGGGTTGCTAAATTTCAGTTATGTAAGATAAATACATCCTAGAGCTCCTTTGAGCAACCTAGTGCCTATAGTAAGCAATGATACTATATGCCTAAAAATTTGACAAGAGTGTTAATCTTTTATAAAGTGTTCTTATCATAACTAAAGAGGCAGGGAGAAACTTTTGGAGATGATAGACATGCATAGACTGTGGTGAGGGTTACACAAGTAGTATACTTATCTTCATACTTATCAAGTTGTATACATTAAAACTGTACAGCTTAAATTTTCCATTTTCAAATATTTTATTTTACTTTTATTAATTTAAAATTCATTGATTGCAAAAAGTTTTCTCTTCTAGATGAGAATCCTACAACTGTTGCTTTATTGTTATTTTTGTTGGATTATTTGCCTTTCACTTATTGATCTTGATACCTCTCACATGTTAAGGATGTTACTTTTTATCGACCATATAGGTAGCAAATACTGAATTCTAAAAATTAATTAGTAAAGAAGCAGTGAGTGCGTAGCGGAGAGTGGCTAACTATTCTCCGGTTCCACTTTTCTTCCCTAGCACACAACTGGCCAATTGCCCATCTTCTCTTACAGTTAGGTGCAGTTGTGTGACTGGGTTCCATCCCACAGAACATGACTTGACTTCCATGCACCATATTCATTTATCTTTCCCCACCCATCTATTAATTAAAGATGGCTGCACATGATAGAAGAAATCTCATCCCCAAAGCATCTATATGGCACTTCCCCTTCCCCTACTAATTAAACTTCACACAAGTAAACTGTGAGTTTATTTTGTGTGAAGTTACTGAGTATTAGAATTCTATCTCATAGCATTTCATTATACTATCAAGAACCCTTTAAAATCACAGTTTGGTAATTCTACTTCCAGAAATCAATCATAAAGAAATAATTCTAAAGAATGGGCAAAGATTTAGGAATAAAGATGTTCATTATATTAATTATAATCACAGAATATTGAAAGTAACATATCCAATCATAGGTTAATGTTTGTTAACATTATTCTTAATAAATAATATTTAGTCAGCACTCACTATATGTCTGGCACCATGCTAATATGCTTTACATACATTAAAGTCAGTACTCAACCTACAAATTAGACTCTTATTATATTCTCATCTACAATATGATACAAATCAAATAATTGTAGGTTAAATAACTTTCCTAAAATTCCACAGTGAGTAAACAGCAAACCTTAAACCCTGGTGTGAGTTTAAAGCCTACATTCTTGAGCACTGTTTTATAAAATATAAGGTAGAATGAATTTGATTGGGACTTACTCCAGGTACAGAGGCTATCATCTGCTTGCTCAGGATTGTTGATTCAGCTAGTTTGGTTCCAGCATCTGCACAAATAAACTAAAAAAATTGAAAGGACAATTATTTTTAAGAGTACTTGGACAGCAATAACTAATTTATAATTTTATTAACATGACTTCAATTCATTAACGTTTACTTTTGTGACAGTCTTCTCTAGATATATCAGACTTGTTAATCATGATAGTTCGTTCCTATGAGCATAGAACCAGCTAAACACACAGATTCTGACTTGACCCAGAAATCTAAGTGGTATGGAAAGGGCATTCAATCAAGGAAGAAATAAAAGATGTCAACGTTGTCAGAGTTATTCCAGAGTCAATCCACTCCTTCTGTAGCACTTCCTGACAGTTACTATTGGTACACATTTTTAAATTTTTATGACTTCTATCATTATAGAATACATTTAGATTGAAAACAGAAAAATAATCAACCTCAGAGTGAATAGTACTCTATGTGTTTCTTCTCCTTCAAGGATCCTCAGTGTCTTGTCTTCCTTCCCCCACTTCTTCACATATATCCTCTGTGCTGAGAATGACTCCAGTTCTGCTATGTGGCCCAGGGGACTTCTCACACACTTCCATTGTAATGATCATCACATTGGATTGCAATGGCCTGAGAGTCTATTTCTCAATCTGCTATGAGCTCTATAAGAGTACAGACTTGATGCAACTCATTTCTGGCACAAGCTTAGTGTCTGATATCCCAGAGGGATATAATTAATCAATTATGACTTGAGATCATGATGAGGATGGATTTGCCAGATTGTAATTTCATTTACTCCATTACCGATTTTGATAGGTATTTCCCACTTAATGCAACATTCAATTATTTATTTATATGTTTTAGGGAAAAGGTCAGAGGAAATCTTCAGACTTTGCTATGAATAATTATCTCCTGTTTAATTTCTCTTTATTGGCCTCTGCCCAGTGGTTCTAGCAACTTTGGGATCTGAAACTGCTGCTATATAGAGTCTTTAGAAGTTTCAATTCCAATAGCTCTTCCTTCTCATCCACTTGGATTACACAGGGAATCTGGGTGGATAAAAACAGGGCAGGCTCTGCCCTGTCAAACTGGGAGAAGAACTATAGACTGGGGTCTAAAAGAAAATCTTAGGAAGGCCTGATGAGGAACTCTGGGACAATGGAAACGGCATATTGCCAGATAATCAGTGATTCAAACTCAAGCACTATTAATCAGCAGCAAGGTGGAACTTGAAACCAAAGGTCTTCTGAGGCCAACAGCTGGTCTTCAAAAGTGAGAGAAGTGATTCTTCATGAAGGCATTTGGCTGTAGGTAACCCAGCAAGAGGGAGGACAGCTGGCAGACTTGTTCTCAATGCTGTATGATAGGAGTGGATTCAGATCTCTACATTAACATTCTGTCATTTCCACTCGCCTCGAATACTGTTTCAGGGAGTTAAATCTATTTGTTTTATTCAGGTATGCTCACCTAATTTGTACTTATTTCTACTGCTATATAAGGAAAACTACTAAATCAGGTTTAAGAACTGTAAAGCCCTTAACTCTGGCCAAAACTGTAAGTTACAAAGTGAAACCCATAACATTTGACAGAACAGAGTGAAAAGAAGGAACACTCCCAATCTGGCCTCCTGGCACACATTGCATGTTTTCCCCTAAAATGAATTTTTCAAAGCTATCTGAGTCTGAAATCTGAGACAAACAACTTATAACTAAGTACCCAAACTTCTGTGAGGACATAAGCATTAATATTAATTTCTTTAAAACAGAAATAAGACTGCAGAGCTAAGAGAAGCCACAGGGAACACAGCCACAATAAATGTGTGAAGTAAGGGGTGGTCAGAAGGGCTCCTGTAGGGATAATTGAAAGTCCTGGGCTGCTCAGAATGTGCTTGCATGGCCTAGTGGCTCTTGAGAGCAAGATAGGATCTGCAAAGAAACAAAAGTTCAATTACCAATATCTGCCTTCAGCAGGTGCCTTTGCCACTTGCTAAGTCAGTAAGTGGACCAAGGTGCAGAGTTCGAGCATATCAGCATGGCTAGCAGCCATGCAAGTGTCAGAATTTGAGGTCAAATGCAAATGTCTGATTTGTAATGACTTGTACAAGTCAAAATTACTTTAGAAGTCGCCCAAACATAATTTTACTCAAAAGAGAATAAAAATATGTGATCCTCTAAAACCACCCAATATTTATTTTTAATCACTATATTTTATTCTCGTTTATTTTTACATCATATATACAACTAAAACCTTAATAAATCTTTGTCTTCATCTTATTATAGGTGCCAATGATGAACTAAAAAAACTCTATTGTGATTATATAGAATTGCTCAAAGTACAAATATGTAACTGAAATCAAAAGGGGAAGTAACAATTGTTGTAGCAGTAAGAATTCTGTACTTTCACTGTACAGAACATACCACTGAAATATGTACTTCTCCAGGAGAATAAAGACACAAAAGTAACACAGTCTCCATTATGTGTCATTACTAAATTCCTTATCCAAAGGAAACCCAAAATAGTACCTCTATCTCTCATCACAGAGTGATTACTACTAACTCAACCAACATTAGCTCCACTCAACAGTAACCCTGTGAATTACAAACAACAGCCATCCCTCTGCTATTTCTTTGTCTTCCAGCCCACAACTAATCTATTTTTAAAAGAAAACTTTTTTACAAACATTTCTCACAACTTGAATATGCAGGTATATCCCACAGAGTGGGAGTGTACATGCAAATTAGCAGAATATCTACTCTTGACACATAAGAAAAGCCAGGGAAATTTGTTTTGATTTTTTATTTGAACCTAGTCTTTATGATGACTTTTAATGGGTTATTGCTCTATTATGAAAGCTTTCCTTTAATCCATCTTTTTTTTTTTTTTTCGATACTGGGCTTGAACTCAGGGCCTACACCTTGAGCCATTCTCCCAGCCCTTTTTGTGAAGGGTTTTTTTTCAAGATAGGGTCTTGCAAACTATTTGCCAGGGCTGGCTTCAAACTGCTATCCTCCTGATCTCTACCTTCTGAATAGCTAGAATTACATTGTGAGCCACTAATGCCAGGCTCCTTTAATCCATCTTGAGAACAATCATAATAGTCTGCTATATATCAAATATCTACCGTAAACCAGCAGAAGAGAAAAGGATTGCAAGCCAAGGCAGAAAATGTCAATACATTTGAATTAAATAACATAATAGTATATCTGTCTAATGTAGAGAAGGGGAAATATATCCTGATGGGTGATGATTTTAGATTCTGAAAAAGACAATTTTTTTTCTATTTGGCAAATTCTTTACTATCTCCATGCCTATTTTTCTTTGGGAAAAAATCCACTTGAGCATAAGGTCACCTGATTTCATTTGTAAGTAATAATAATAATAACAATAATAATATTAACAGAAGCCACAGCTAGACAACCACAGTATCATTGACAGGAGAATTTCCAATGATGCCAGGCCCTCAGGAAGAATTTCTAGGAATTAAGAAACAGACTGGTGTCTGCTACTACCTTGAAATGTTTAGAACTCAGATGGCCCCTTCCTTGGGCAAGTGTTCCATGGTCTTAAAAAGGATCCCTCAAGCTGCCAGAATATTTGGTAAACAACATATGTTTTACCCATGAGAATAACATACGCGGTTCCATCTCAGTAAACATGTCCATCTACTAAGATATTTATTAGAGAAGTAGTAGAGGAAGTTACCCTGCTGGCTCCTTATGGTGTGAAAGAATGAATTGTGACCCCAACATTGAAGCAACTGACTCTTCTCATTAATGGAGCCAGTGTCATCCATGATGTGTCACCTAAGGACTTGTTCCTCCCAATCATCCTTTTCTGTTTCCACATTGCATTTTTAGTCAAACAGACATGCCCCTACTGCCTTCAGATGATGATCACTGATATCCATGATAGTCACTGTCTGCCCTAGGCACACACTGTCATTACTATGAGCTTGGTTGTCTAGGTGCTGGGAACTGACAGTGCTCATTAGTATAGGGGAAAGTTTCCTATGAGTCCAGTTTAGATCTTCTGGGCGAGGAACAGCTACAAGAGAGCATGATCTCACCTTCATCCTCCAGAGAACAGCTTGAGGACACAGCAGTCTTATAGTAAAAGAAAATGAACTGGGAAACTCTACAGGACTGGAGGTGTGGCTCAAGCAGTAGGGTGCCTGCTTTGCAAGTGTGAAACCCTGAGTTCAAACCCCATGCCCTGAAAAGAGAGAGAGAGAGAGAGAGAGAGAGAGAGAGAGAGAGAGAGAGAGAGAGAGAGAGAGAATGAAAGAAAAGAAGGAAGGAAGGAAGGGAGGAGAAAGAAATAAAGGAAAGAAGGAAAGAAAGAAGAAAGAAAGAAAGACCATAGAAAGATGCACTGCTCATGAAGAGACACAAAGTATTTCTCCCTCACCTTATCGAGGCCTTTTCTTCATGACTTGGGCAAGACCTCAAGATAGAAAAGGGAAGTACTGTTTTTAAGGTATGCCTCCTTTTTATTTCTCTAATTAATAATGAAAATGATTTACTCTAAGAGCTTACAGGAGAAGGACATGTTACTTCAAAATGGCATAACGTTTGACACTTTTTTGTCATCGAGGTAGAAGTTATTCACAAAGTTGTCCCTCATGGGTAGGATCTCAAAATGTACAAAACACCTCTCCAACCTAAGCAGTTCTGCAACTTCACTTTTAAATATAACTTAATGGTTCAATGGCATATGTATATTTTTTGTTTTAAGAAGTTAAAATTGTAATCCCAGCACTCAGGAGCAAAGGCAGGAGGATAACGAGTTGAGACTAGCCTAGGCTTTACAGAAAGACCGTGTCTCAAAAAAACAAAGCTGAAAATGGAAAATGTTACAATTGAAATGGAAGATGAAAATTCATAAAATACATTTACAAGTATCTACTTTTTGCCTTCTTTCTTCCTAAAGCTAATTTGTTTTTGTTATTTATTCACCTAACTTTGATGCAATAATCATTGTTTTCCTGGTTTCCTTAAGCACTGGGTAATTTAAACTGTCAGTGTTCTTTTGCTGTCTTGTGACAAGTGCTTATTATAGTTGAGTAATATGCTTCATAGAAAACCAGCCTCTTAACAGTACAGAGTGGGGTGCCAGACCCCAAGAAGATCAGCCACACAGATCTGCTCTGCTCAAGACTGAGGGCAATTAAGGGAACGTTGTCCAAGGCCCATGGGAAAGCACCTTCAGAGGCATTTTTAGCCTAGGCTGTCCTGCCTGTATCTTCCCTATTGCTTGAAACTCTGGGCTAAACCATAACCCCAGGCAAAGACATTTGCCTATACCCACCAATCCTTTTCCAATGTCACTTGCCTTCATGAAGTCTTCCCTGATTCATACCACGTAAGGTGGGATCCCTCCTGCTCTCAAAACTCCATCCCCCCCCCCAACTTTGTTTACTTCCTTCTCTCACATCACTAGTCAAAGGCTGCTCAGGTGATCAAATCTTGTGTGTTTGACTAAAATGCTGAGTTAACAACACAGGATGAAGGACTACAGTATCTCTTAAGCAGCCCCACATCCAAAAGCATTACCAGTGCCTGTCCTCCAAAGCCTGCCTTGTATGTGTTTAAGCCCCTCTGCCTCAGTCCCATAGGGCTGATTTACACCTACACTCACCCTGGCTGGACTCAGCACATCCTGCCATTTGACTACATCTGGCCCACTACCCGCACCATCAAAGAAAATGTGGTGATTCACCCACACCCATCTGACCCTGCAGTGACCTCAGTCTGCTCTCTCATTTTTGGCTTCATTTGCTCTGTTTTAGCTCTGCTGAGTGAGCTGCAAACCTACCAGATTGCAAATTTCTTGAGCACAGAAATTACTATTTCATTCTCCATTCTAGGTCCACACTAGGAAAAAAAATACTCCATTTTTGTCTTTTCTAGTCAATGGGATGCCAAGTGCATCATATTAGTTAGAGCTTGGCTCACAAAAGATATATTATCTCTCATCTCTGGACAAAGGCATCTGGTTTTATTGCCTAGACCTCATACTTCCCTTAATTTTTCCAAACATACACGATTTCATGAAAAGTTTTACAAATATGGCATAACCCTACCTGGATAAGCAGAAGGAGATTTGTATCTGGTAAGGGCGATTTGAGCTTTAGGGCCTGTAGAAGTTCTAGAACAACACTACGAGACAAGTAGAATTTATCCCGTTCCTAAATAAAGCAGAGGTAAGGGATTAACAACTTCAGTCAGAGTAGATTTATGTCAAAAAAGCTTCCAAAAACTCACCACAGATCAGAAGTTAAAACTGTGTTTTAAAATGCAATGAGCTACCTTTAATAAATAAATTAAAACAAAAAAGAAAAAAAGAAATTTTTGTGTATAATGGGTTCACTGAAGCAATGAGGACACACAATTTAATGGATAAGAAATAATATGCTGTCTCTTAAATATTAAAACCACAGGATTTAGTTCTTAGTCACGGGGACAGATCCCAAGAATTGCATCAATTAAACAAAACTAAAAGTATTTTTTAAATGCCAGTGATTTAGACAGAAGCATTTTTAAACACCTGTTTGGAAAGTTCCAATTTCTCTCCCAGGAACTTATTTTTTAGGAAACTATTGCAAGCATACAGAAAAAGAGAATGAAATATATTATGTACCTACCACTCATCTTTGTCAAATAGCATCATTTTGCTTTAATAGAGCCATCCCTTTTCAGTATCAATAAATCATTATAGAAACAGTAGTTCTTTTTAAGAGTTTTTGGGTTGTTTTCCAAATACAAGAAGACACTGGCAGATCACACTTACCATGGGCTATCACAGGGCTTGAACTGTGTTCCTTGAAGACAAGTTTCCTTCTGGGTTATTTTTACTTTATGGCCCTAGCCAAAAGTATGTGAGTTGGAGAGTGTGGTGTCAAGTGTCCCATTCTTGGTAAGTCCTAGATTCTGACTTTTGTCTCACTCATTTTATGCAACTTCCAAAATTGCAGTTCTCCTCCCAGCCACACCTTGCAGATTGCTAAACATTCCAGGGCAAAACTGGCCTCAGTGCTAGGCTCACAACTCTGAATTACTATGTGCTCCCAGATCCTGGCCTCATAATTCTTCTGTATCTGGCTGTATCTGCTTTTAAGAAGTTTAAGAATAAACACTCTGTTCACTTTTTATCTAACTTTTTAAGATGTTAAGCAGGAAGATAGCTTTAAATTACCTCACCCACCATTATTAGAAAAGAAGGTCCAGCATTTTTATTGGAATTATTATAAATTTACAAATTATTCTGAAAAAAATAGCTATCTTTATTATACTTAGTCTTCATCCTTGAAAAATCAGATGTATCTCCATTTATTTAATGTTCTTTAGTGTTCTTAAGTAAAATTGTCTGGTTATCACTATAACACTCTTGCACATTCTTGTTAGTTTATTTTTTGTTGCCACAGTAAAGTTTATTTTATTTTTGTGGTATTAGGGCTTGAACTCAGGTACTACACCTTGAGCCAGTTCACCAGCCCTTTTTTGTAATGTGTTTTTTTGAGGTAGAGACTATTTGCTGGGGCTGGCTTCAAACCATGATCCTCCTGATCTCTGCTTCCTGAGTAGCTAGGATTAGAGGTATGAGCCACAGGCACCTGGCAATAAACTTTAAAATAGACATTTTAAAGTATATTTTACAAAAATTTATAGCTGAATATTAACACAGGTGATCTGAAGTATTTATCTGTATTCAGTATCCTTGTAGAGCTCTCTTAGAAGTTCTAAAAATGTGTCTATAGATTCTTTTGGTTTATTTCTAATCACATCATTTCCAAAAAATGAGTTGCATTTTTGTTTTCTAATCTTTATACCTTGACTTCTTCCTGTCTTGACAAACTGAGTAAGACCTCCAGCACTATGATGAACAGAAGTAATGAAACTGAAGATCCTAGTAGTATTTATGATTTTAAGAGGACTGTTGACATTTCACCATTGTATGTAAAACTTTCTAGAGGTTTCTGGTAGGTTTTCTTTTAGCAAGCTAAGGATGTTCCTTCTATTACAAGTCTGACATGAGTTCATGATAAATGAATGATAAATTATAAAAACTGCCTTTCTTATATCTGGCAAAATAATGACAAAGGTTTTTCTGCTTTAATCTGGTAACATGGTGACTTTAATAGATTTTCTAATATTTAAATTGGTTTTATACTTTAGGAAAATCCCAACTGGGTCATGATATTCTATTTTTAATGCACTGATTTGCTATTACTCATTCAGAATTTTTCCACATATGAAAGATATTGGTCTAGATTTTTCCTTTTCCTTATTGCCCTTTGTCTGATTGGTATCAATATTCTACTAGTCTCATAAAATATATTGATTAAGCATTACCTTTTTTCTATTCTATTAGTTTGTATAAGATAGAGATCAATATGTTTCTGAAAGCTTAATAGACACTGTCTCTAAAGCTGAAATGATGTTTGTGGGAGGTTTGTAACTACTGATTCCATTTTTAATCATTTAAATGTAGGGGTTTTTTCCTTTTTCTTCTTTCCTGATTGCATACATTATGATTTTTCTAGAAAACTATCCTAAGATTTCAAGTTTACTGTCATAAAGTTGTTCATTTTTAAATCTCTAATATGTCTGCAGTTATATTCTCTTTTTTACTCCAATACTCTTTATCTGCGCCTTTTGTCTGTTTTTTATCCATCTAGACTAGAGTTTGCCTATTATTATTTACTACTATTATTATCATTAGCATTACTGTTTTATATTGCCAGTGACCACTTAAGATTTCCACACTTATCAATTTTTTCAGTAAATTTCCTTTGTACATTTGACTCTCTTGGTTCAGTTTCCTTACTACTGTAACATATATTTTAGAAATTGTTTCTGTAAGAATCTATCAGAAAATGTCTTATATTCCTGATGGCATGTTTATTTATCTTTACTCTTGAAGGATATCTTAGCTGATAGAGAATTCCAAGTGAACAATTCTTTTTTTCTTATCATTTAAAATACTTTTTAAAAAATCCATTATCTTTGGGATTCATTGTGCTGTTGTGAAGTTTGTTGTTAGTCAATCTATAATGTCTTTTCTCTTAGTTGCTATTACAACATTTTCTTTGTCTTGGCTGTTCTGCCAAACTATACCTACTATATAAGCTATGACATGAGCCTATGTTTCTCTGAAATGTTTATTAAATATATACTAGATTTCTTTTATATCCTCCATTTCTACATCTCTTTGCTCCAGTCTATGTAATTTCTTCCGATCTATTTTCTATTTCTCTAATTGTCTCTTTAACTTTGTCTAATTTGTTGTTTAACCTGTCCACTGAGGTTTCTTTTTTAAGTGTCAGTGATTATTTCTCATTTCTATAATTTGTACTTAATTCACATTGTTCCTATTCCTACTCCTCTTTTTTTCCTTTTGTTTGAAAATGACTAGTTCTCTTCCTGCATTTTTTACTTATCCTTAGAATATGCTTTCAATAGGAAGTATGTGTTTATAGTCCTTATCTCATAGATTTCATATTGAAATTTCTTGGGGAAAATAATCTTGCTGCTTGTTGACTTTGCTAATCTAGTTCATGGTGGGTTATTTCTTCACTTTGGGGAGGGGTAATTTTAGATTGTAAGCTCATTTTCATCAGGATTTTAACTTCAGGAATCCTGTTGGAGCTAGGTTGAAGGCTTAGCTCTTAAGAGAAATTTGAAAACTTGCTTTTGAGCTTGCTTCTACAGATGCTTCAAGGCTCATCACCAACTATTTGTTCAGTGTCAATGTCACTTGGCGTTGCTTGGAGGTTCCCAGTGCATGCAAGTGTTATAAATGCAAACCCTAAAACTATTCAAAGATTAGTTTATGTTTACTAATTCTCAAAGGAGACTACAGTATTTCTCCATTCCCAGGATGAGACAAATACCATTGCTGTCATATCCATATTAAAAACATATTCTTTCTAAACCACCCTTTACAAAGTCTTTCAAGCCTATGTAGCCATTCAAGTATTCTGACTTTCTGCTAGAGATGACTCAGCTCCAATGTCCAGCCTAGAACAGTTCTAAGACTTCACCTTCTTCCCTTGAGTGGGAACCAAGACAAACAATTCCTCCACCCCAGAAATGTTTATGCTTTCCACTTTGGTTCTCAATTCTCTCTTTATCTTCATCCCTTTCATTCATTTAAAATCAGTTACATACTTAAAATCATGTCTATTATTTCACCCAGAATTCTAGTATTTTACGTAGGATAGTTTTCAGGTTATCTAGAATGTTTTATTGCTAAGGAGGGGGGAGTTCTTCCAAAGTTCCTACCTTTCCATGCCTTTTCTTTTGATTATATAAGAGATAGGCTATTAGATATTACATTTTAAAGTATTTCTTATATTTCCTCATTATCTAGGAGGAAAGTGGAACAGCCTAGATTGAAGTAAGTAATAATCATTTTGTGATAAAGAAATGAGGAAGAATAGATGACACAGAAAGTAAGAGGCTACTAAAATGGTGATTGACTATGAGAGGGCAGTAAGTATCCAAAACCATAAATACCTTGAGCTCACAATGCTGGCAGGTTCCTTGCAATCAGTACTTACAATGCCCAACATATAAAGTACAAACTCATTGTGATTCTTCATCCAAAACTCACAGCAGGGATACTTTGAGAAACCTCTTTGAACAATAACTTAGATACTAATAATGAAAGACAGGACTGTAAAATAGGTACAGCGTGGGGGGGTAGAGGGGGGAAGGGGGAGGGTAAACAAAGGAGATTAAGGCGAGGGTATATGGTTGATGGACTTCATATACTTATACAAAACAGAACAAAGAAACCTCTTGCAATAGTTTTAAGTGGGGGTGATCTAACCAATGTACGATATAAGCCTACATGAAATTGTCATAATAAATCCCCCCTGTACAATGAACATATCCAAATAAAAAATTAATGGGAAAAAAGGTAAAATCAAACAGACAGATGGTTAAGAAATAAAATTACTTTAAAAGACATTTTGTTGTATTTGATGCTATGTTGTATAGATCTACTTTATTAAGTGAAAAGAGAAAGGGGGAGTTACTTTTCAAGAAGGATGTGAGAGAAGAAAAATGCTGATTATCTTGATATTTAGAAAATATATTGCTCCAGGCAAGGTATTAAGTAGCTCATAATTAGAAAGGCCAAGGAGAAGATTATCATGAAGTACTTAACATGGCAGAATTGACACAAGTTGGTTAAAAAAAAAGTGTGGATGTTTTAGATAGAATGAAAGGATTGTTATAAAATTAGATTTTTATGAGGAAAATAAAGGGCTTACAGAAATAGACAACATGAATAAAGAGCATTCTGAGTGTTCAAGAGGAAACAACAGAAACAGAAACCTCATTGAGAATAAACTTGGAAAATGTGGAAATTAGAAGGGTAACCTTTCACATTATTCTTAAGGACAGCAATGTGCTCCCAATTTTCCCTGCCTTTTGCCTTTCCATTAGGACAATGTCTACCAGTTCTAATAGGACAGCTATCTCCACTGGGCAAGCAGTACTTTTCTACTTTCTCAGCCGTGGGAAAGTAAGATACTAAAGATAATTCAATAGGGGAACCATAATTAAGGCAAGATAACAAAAGATGAGATTCTCTTCTCAGAAGTAGAGAATTTAAACCTGGGGAAACACACAAATGAGAATTAAGGAGCTCTCTTTATAGGCATTTTTGTTCTTTGGGTATAAAAATTGTAAGTAATGATGGTCCACCCATTAATCATGGGTGGGTGTACTTGAAAGAGTCCTTAAAAGGTCATTTAGACCATTAGCTCATTTCATTCAAAGTATCTCTTTTCTTCTAAACCACATGACCTCAGTTCTCCAAATCTATATATTTTAGACATAGTTGTGTGTGTGTGTGTGTGTGTGTGTGTGTGTGTGTGTATAAAGTGTTTCTTTCCAATGATATGCAATAGACTTTAGTAAAATCACTCATTGTAAACTATATTATAGCAACTAAGGTAACAGGGACTTGACAGTAATTTGAAAGAATGTTTTTCTGCTGGTTTCCAGTTTCACATGAACATATACAGAACCTTACCTTAGTGAAAGCTCGATAACATAAGCCACACAACTCCACCAGGTAGGCCAGAGTGAAGATGGCATTCTGAATTACAAAGCTAAGAAGTTTTGAAAATGGCTCCAACAAACTCTGCAATGAAATTGGGTCCAATAAAATAAGTTGTTGATTCCTTCATTTAAAAAAGTATTCAAGTTTTATTATGCATTAACTAAGTGGTATCATTTTTTTATTTAAAACAGTGGCAACACTGTTGGTCTAATAAAAACAGAACTGCACCTTCAAACAATGAGCTAGGAAATGGACCTAAGTTCCAGGATAATTTCCCCCACGTATCGTTGCTCTGTAGAGAAAGCAGGATTTTATTAGACTCCAAAAGACTTCTATGCCATGATTTTCACTACTTCTCAAACTCTATAGTACTTAGTGTAGGGCTTATAAAAGTATCACATGCTTAATGTACAAACTCAGGATATGTAGAAAAGTACTGGTGAGGAAATTAGTCATGGATAACCCCACCACTTAGTGAAAGCATTTTGATATATTTCCCTTCTTCATTGTATACTGGGATACCTAGCTGCAACCTTATATACATACAATTCTACATTTTCTTTTTTATTAAATTAATATAATAACAAAAAGTTTCTAGTGTCAATTAATTCTTCATAATCACCCACCTTCATAGCCACAAAAGTCATATTTTACTATAAACAATATCTCAACAAATGTGTTTTTGCATGAAATTTTCATTTTAATTTTTATCTATAGAATCAATTTCCAGAAAAATAATAACAAAATCAAAGTATATGAGCATTCAGGGGTTCTTGTCCCTTATTTACACAAAAATGAATTCATTACATATTAGTTGCCCCTGAGAATGGGAATTATATCTTTTGCTTCTTATTTGTACTCTCCCCAGAAACCTGTGATGCTTTCCATACAGAAAATCTTAAAGAAAACTCTCTGAATTAGTACTGTTGATTCAGTACTCTTTGCTCTGGATACATACTATTGTCTTTAAATACTGTAAACAAATAAGTGGGGATGGGAATATGTCTCAAATTTATATTTATGTATACAATATATACATGTGTATATATACATGGAGAGAGAAAGAGAGAGAGACTGACTTTATTGGTCAAAAAGAAACCTGGAATCAAGCCTGTACAGAAACTTGCTCTGCTCTTATGTTTATCAAACCAGGATGGTGACGGGGCAATATAATACAGCAGAAAAACCAAGGAACTTGGAATCAAAGGACCTATGTTTAAGTCTCAAATCTTCCACCAACCAGTTTTGTGACCTTGGCCAAGATATTTCATCTCAGAGCCTGCTTCCTTATCTGTAAGTGAGCATACTAAAACAAATGATGTCTCTGCAACATTCTAGCATAAACTATGAGTCTGTGAAAGCATAGTCAAGGTAACACTTGCAGGAAATGTGCATTGTTGGTATACTAATTCGTGATAACCAGCTATTGCAATACAAACTGTGTAGCACCACTGCATATAATGCAGCCTAGAAATGGATCCGGGAATAAAGCAGTGAATGAGACAAGTACTGGGTACTTCATGAAATTCATTGTCTTATTAGGGGAGACTTCAGGCCAATATAGGTGTTAATATAAAGGTTGATCAAGTATTATGGGAGCTTATATTAGAGGTAGTTGGCTACAGATAATGTGAGCATTTAAAAAAATTTAAATGGACCTTGAAGAATGAGAAGGCGTTCACTATACCGACAAGAGTATAAAGCATTTTGGGCAAAGGATATGACCTAAGCAAAGGCAAAGGTAGGAAAGTCAGTAATACATGTAAAACACCAAACACAAGGCTGCAATACAGTCAGTGTTCAACAGTGGCTACTGTTTTGATGAGAATAATGATGCTGACTCTGAAACTGCATAGGAGGCAAGGGAGATGGGGAGAACAGACGAGGATTAACTTGTAAAGGTAGGCTGATGAGTGACAAAGTAACTTTTTATATGCCACATTGAGAAATTTGGACGTTACCCTGAAAGAAGTGAGAGGTTATCAAAGATTTTTAAGCAAGGAACAAACAAAATCATCTTTGTGTTTTGAAGGATCACCTAGTTAGTATAGAGGGTGGATTGGTGTGTATAGACCAGGACTAGGATATTAAAATCAATGGCATTGTGACATATTAGATGCTGACCCAGTATAAGGAAAATAAAGGAGGCTGAAGGGAGGCATTCAGTGTACAACAACTATGTCTTTGGTATTGGTATGTGCCTGTCTTTTTAGGTTAGGAAATAATCAAATAGCCAATCAGGTATATTTTTCTGAAACATACATACCCTTGTGGCATTGGTAGAGGGTATCTTTAATAGGCAAATCATGATTCTCAAACTGGAATCTAAAGAACACTGTGAACAAATATGAAAAAGTAAAAGTTAATTCCCTTCTTAATATATCTTTTGCTTCAAGCACTTCCTATATTTATTTTAGCAAAAAGAAAAACTGATATATAACTGCCTCGATACAGGTTCCCATGTCATCTGTTCATGTTGAAAACAATCATTCTCAGGAGAGGTTAAAAAATGTAATGCTAAACCACAAAATAGTTAAAGACAGCTCCTAAACCATTTTTCAAATATATAGCTCTAGAATTACAAGTAGGAAGGTGGATACAGAATTGGATGGATGGATGAACAGGTAGACACATAGGTAAGTAGATAGATATTAAATGTATTCAACTCTAAAGAGGTACATTAATTTGTGAAAGGCTATTTTGGAAGAAAAAAAACCTTAGATCTATTTAAAAACCATTAGTCCAAACAAGAACCATTTTCATCTGCCTTTTCTCTGCTATGAAAAGACATGACCAAAACCAGGGGAAAAGAAGTAAAATTTCTATGAGATAAAACCATGCCATACAAATAGAGTTTGATTTTGGCAAGATTCCACGATTAAAAATGTGCTTTATTCAACTGACTTTACTGGATTGGGAGAAAATGTTACAGCATGAATAAATAAGGATATCATTTAACATTATAAATACATCACAATAGGAGGCTATAGTTCAATTTCTGCAGCTGTATATATTGACCTATTTAAGATAGTGCAAGCTGGGCTTGCTAGCTACCTGGGAGGCAGAGATCAGATGGGTCATGGTTTGAGGCCAGTCCAGGCAAAAATGTTCAAGAGACCTCCCCCGCTCCCCCATCTCAACCAATGAAAGCTGGATACAATGGCACATGCCTGTCTCCCTGCTAGGCAAGAAGCATAAATAGGAGGATTGCAGTCCAGGCCTGCCCAGGCATAAGTGTGAGTCCCTGTCTGAAAAATAACTAAAGCAAAAAAGGGGAGCTTGGGTGTGACTCAAGTGGTAGAGTGCCTAACAAGGCATAAAGACTCTGAGTTCAAATCCCAGCAAAAAAAGAGAGTGCAAACTAAGCCAGTGATTCTCCAGTGGACAGGCAGCAGGTCTATCACCTGGAAATACATTACAATGCAAATTCTCAGGCCCTATCCCTTCTGAATCAGAAACTCTTGAGTCAGGTTCAGTAATCTGTTTTAGTAAGTCTTTCAAAGAGTGCACATTGAAGTTTGAGATCCAATTCTCTCAACTGATGAAAACAAAATATAGGTTTTTCAATGGCTAAATGTTTCTCCTAGAGATTATAAACTAAATAGAAGCAGTTCCCAGATTTGCCTAGTTCTGACCTAACAGGAAAAATTTTTACACAAATCTTAAAAATATTTCACAAGTATCTTCTAAAAGAATCACTGGCCTATTTAATATGCTCAATACTCATCAAAGTTGATGTGACATTTATGTACTTTAAGCCAGGAACTGAAAACTATCTGCTCATCAGGCCCCCCAGTGATTTAAAAATCAGGAAATGTCATCTTAGAAAAAAGTGGGAAGATCCACAACATGAGGCCTGCTCTCCCATATTAACAATGACCAAGGAGTGGAGTAGACGCTATTAGAAGAGCTTATGCATTACAGTGGCTAAGGGTTCCAATTCTCCTTATCATGTTAATCTCACCCCACACACTCACGTTGCAGACAGAGTCCCTGTGGGCAGAGGTGATTGGTCATTTACAGCTGGCAATACTCCCAACTGGTCAGTGTTCAAGTTAAACTTTTTGCTAATATCTGAGCAAGGGTATTTGAATTTGCCACACCTGCTCCTTTCCTTCTCTTACAAATGTGTGACTTTTTAGCAATGAATAGCCCTGAATGACTTGTGCAATTGATTTTTTACATATTCGTATATAAACTATATACAATCATGGATTGAAAGCATCAGTCCCCCTTGCTTGGATTTATTCAGCTACTCCAATTTATGGGCAAAGAAAGATCATATAATGAGAGAGGTTATAAAGATCCCTTTTCTGTACTCTGCTTTACACAGTACTTTCAAACTCAAAGCAGTGCCCAGCACGCTGAAGATCTCTGAATTATCATCCTTACAGATCCTATTAGTAGTATCTGCCAATGTGACAAAAGTTATTAGTGAAGGGAGTTGATCTTTTAAATATTTTATATACATGCAGTACTCATTTTAGAAGTGAAGCTTCCAACATAGAAGCTTGTCAGATCAACAAGTGATTTAATTTACTATAATTAGAATCCTTCTATCTACATGCTGCATAAAATACAAAAAAAAGATCTACTGGAGCAAGCAAGGTTCAAAGACTTATCAATGCCATAGCCAACCATCTCCTCTCTCCTGTTTCTAGAGACATAAATGCCTGCAATTCATTCCTGTTTTAAAAGAGTGTGAGGAGTATGTTAGTAGAAAAAGCACTTGACTGTGAGTTAGGAGATGAGTTCTACTCTTCATACTGCCACCACTGAACTACTTAATACTTAAGCAAGTCCTATCACTTCTCTGAATTTGCATTTGGAAGATGGCACCTCAGAAAGATGGATTGTATAGGACTCTTACAGCTTAAACAGCATAGGTTTGTTTTTCTGTTGTTAATGGACCTGTGTTGATAATAATTTTTGGATTCCCAGCTAATTAATTGTGTGTATGTTCTTGCAGTGTGGTACAGTGTTGAGCAGGGTAAGTAGTTCAACAGAAATATCATCTTGGTCTTACAATTACTTTATTCTCAAACACACAGCAATCACTTCTCTTTAGATAATTTTCTAAAATTGAAACTTTACATATGTCCAGTCTCCTTTTAGACAAAAATATTATTCATGCCAGGTGTCAGTGGCTCACGCCTGTAATCATAGCTACTCAGGAGGCCTGAGATCAGGAGGATCATGGTTCAAAGCCAGCCCAGGCAAATAGTTCACAAGACCCTATCTCAAAAATACCCAACATAAAAAAAATAAATAAATAAGGGCTGGTGGAGTGGCTCAAGATATAGGCCCTGAGTTGAAGCCCCAGTACTGACATATATATATAATTTGATAGCTACCTGAGAAAAAATTTCTAGATAAATACAATCTACCAATGTCTACTCAGCTTTTTTTTTTTAAATAAAATAATAACATGTAACTAGTGAGCATACTCATTATCAGTGAGCAAAATGCCCACCCAATATTGCTGTTATTCTGTTAATATTGGAGAGAATGACCTAAACATGTTCTCTTCAGTATTCGGCTGACAGATTCCTTATAGGTGTATTTTGGAATACATCAAATTACCCAAGACTGCTTCTTGGGTTGGTCATAAAGTAGTATAAACTGAAATCCTGGGCTCAGCTTACCTTCAGAGGTAAAACACAAGGCAGTTTGGCAAAAAATGTCTGGAACTGGTTGCTGATTGTGGTCCAGAGGCTACTAGGAGAATCCATGGGCAAAGCTTCCATGAAAGTAGCAATGTTTTCCAAACATCGTATCATAGCACCCCCTGCTGGTAAATTCTTTTTGTTATTTAGACCCTAAAAATACAAAGGTATAGGCAATCAATTGCTGAAAACAGCATAGGAATTGATACAGTTTTTTGGCGGAGATCGCTTTAAAAATCACATATTCACACTATAAATAGGTGCTGAGTGCTTATTATATAGGTCAATCATTGTAACAGGCAAGGAGACGATAGAGAAAACTTGACAAGTCTGGACAGACTTCAAGGTTGGTGATCTTTGACTACGTGATAGATGAAATGTGAGCAAGAAATAAAATCTTCTAAGGATCTATAGTTGGTGTGGTTAGGCAACAAGAAGACACAATGAATAGTGCTTGCTGAAAGTAATAATTATTGGAGCAGCAGTTTTCCTCCTAGCAATGGCTAAGAGCACGCAAAGAGTAAAACAGACACATGAAAGCGCGTTGCCATGCAGCACAAAAGCAGCGGAGCGGACGCTTGAATCCCACTCTCGTGATACAGAACTGCGAATAAGCAGCGGGGTTGAACGAAGAGAAACAAGCCTCGCGATATTGGGATCGGGAACGAGTGGAGCTGAAACTTGAATCCAAGTCTCGCGATACAATACTAGCACTGTGCCATCAAATTCCGGAGCCATCGTTTTGTGGAGGTGAGTTTTCAACCCTAGCAGCCACCACTTCATTGAGAGCGTCTAATCGCTTTAAACGAATAGTAAATCCACCCAGAATTTAAGTTAAGTGAGTTTGCATTTTTTCCTCATCTGGAGTTACTCAAACTTGGCACGTGATTTGGGCCGGGCGGGTCATTCGAACAGACCTACCTCCAGGAGCTGACTGAGCGCAGCGATGGAGCTCAGCTCATTGAAGTCCATGAGAGACGTGGCCAAGGTCCGTAAAAAAGTCCCATCTGCAAAGTGAACAGTCAGAGTCAGCGTGTCTGGCCCAGGGAGTAGGCAAGCCTGTGGTGTGCGGATCCTCAACAAGCGAATTACCTTTGATGGTGCTCTGGAACAGCTGTGGGAAGATGCCGTTGGGGGCCAGCTGATGGAAGATGCAGCGCAGGAACTGCTTGGCCACCCCTGCTGCATTGCCAGGAACCATCATGCTGCGTTTGAACAGAGAGAAGACACAAATCATGGGACAACCAGCATGTGTTTGGGTGTTTGCTTAGAGTTTAGGCATTTACACACTAGTCTTCTTAGGTAATGTCTCATTACCATTTTCATCAATGAGATGAAACAATATAGTCACACATAATATCCCCATAACCTTAATTTTTTAGAGGCAACCATGAAATGCCAGAGTGATCCCAGACTTATTCCTGGCCTCCCAAAGTACAGATAAGCATTCCAAGTTCTAGGGGAAAATGGTGACCTGATCAGGCCATATGTTCAGGGACTAGCATAGTTAGGACAGAAACCCTGGATGAGGACTCTCAGCAAGATTCTCCCAAGAGAGTATAATTGACTAAGAGAGTTGCTCTGAGGGAAACTGCAGAGAGGGAGATCCGGGAAACTTTCTTTTGTCTTTGAGCTGGTAGTAGTAAAAAAAGGATAGGACTTTGGTAGGCGCAGTTTTCCCTTCGCTCATTGTACACTTCTGCCTGGCAAGAAGGCCAAATGATCTTTATGTGGTTCTGCCTGGTAGAACAAGATACCAGAAAGGACATTTCTTGAAATGGTTAGGGAATAAGTTACTAGAAGGAAGAAAGAAGAAATCAAAGATTCCAAAATGACAAAAAAGTACAAAGTCTTGCTTACTTAAGTTATACCATTTTTTCCCTCAGTATGCCATGCCTACCCTGAAAAACACATTTAGGCCAAAAGTGTTCTTCAGGAAAACTAACCCCAAACTTACAATAATGTTCAGAAAACAGAAGAAAGGAACCTTTCCCAGTATGTTTTATGAGGCTGTAAAACTAAAATCAGATAAGGTCATTATCTGAATGAATAAAAAGAAAGCATAAATGGAAAGAGAAAAAACAAGTCAATACTCTTCATGGCATTAAATCCAACTACAGAGTTAAAGAATGGCATATCATTCAAGTAAGGTTTATTCCAGAAGTATAAGACTAGTTTAAGATTTAAAATCAACCAACATAATTCAACATATTAAAGAATAAAGGACAAAACCCTTTTATTTCAGTAGATGCAGAAAACACATTTGACAAAAAGTAACAAACACACTATTAAACTCAATACATTGAAAATAGAAGGAAACATCCTCAATTTGTTAAAAGGCATCTCTGAAAAATCTATAGCTAACCTAACAGTGAGATACTGAATACTTTCTTTGTAAGACAAAAACAAAGAAAGAATGCCCACTCCTCATCTCTATTTTTGTTGTGGTAGTTCTAGCCATTCCAGTATAGTATTAAAAAAGAAATAAAAGCAAAAAAGATCAGAAAGGAAGTAGTAAAACTATCACTGTTTGCAGAGGATATATTTTTTCCATATAAAGTCAAATCTACAAAAGAATCTAGAAAGTAAGTTCTAGAACTGATGAGTGAATTTTGCTAAGATACAATGTTAATATAAAAAATGAATTTATATACCAGCATCAAGTAGTTAAAAATGAAAATTTTCAAAATTCCATTTACGTTAGCATTGAAAAACATTAAATTCTTGGGAATTAATTTAGCAAAAGATGTACTGAGACCTATACACTTGAACATTTTTTTTAATTAAGAGAAATTAAAGATCTAATGAAAGGGAGATGTATATCATATTCATGAATTGGACAATTCACTATTTTTGTGTCAGTTATTTTTATATTTTCAATATAAGCCCAGCAGGTTTATTCTAAGATTTGTATGGAAATTTAAAGAATCTAGATATCTAAACCAATCTTGAAAATAAGACTAAATTTGGAGGAGTCATGCTACCTGACTTCAAGACTTACATACAGCTACTGTAATCAAGATGTGGTACTGCTAGTTTAAGGATTAACATATAGACCAAAAGGGCAGGATAGGAAGCCCAGAAATAGACCTATCCTTATATGGTATTTAAAGTTTAACAGACACCATAGTGATCCAATAAGGAAAGGAGTCTTAAAAACTACTCTTTAAAAAAAAGATGCCTCCTTATACACCAAGTAAAAGCAAGAGGACAGCATGTGGCTGTGGGCATGGACCATCTAGACATAGCAGATGCCAGAATGTCCCACAGGGGACTGCGGAGGGGTTTACCCATGAGTCAGGGACAGGAATGGGCCCAGGAATGGGGAGGTGAGCACTGGAGGTGTCAGGAAGGTGGTGGGGTTTGGGAAGTGGGTGGTAGAGGGTTCTAGGGAGGACGGTAGAGCATTGGGGTGGGACACAGGGAGGGGATGGGACACAGAAATCTTGGCCTTGGCTTCCTGCCCTCCTATCCCTAATAACCTCTGGCATTTGACAACGGGTGGTCTGGGAGCTAAGGAAGTAGCCACCTGAGGAAGGCCCAGGCTTGACCTGGCATCTTCAAGATGTCTGATTGTCTGCCCAAGGCCACAGGCCAGGAAGGAGCCCAGCTCTGTGTCTGGGTAGCAGCGAACAGTCAGAGGAAGGGTTATCATGGCTCAATTTATATGAGATGAGATATTTTCGAAAACCACAATACACCTGGAATGATCTCAGAAGCAATTTCTTGACTGTTCCTGGGAATTCATGTTGCCACAGGAGCACCTTGACTGTACTTATTTTCACATTAAAAAAACAAACAGTGGCTGCATGTGGGGAAATTACAATGGGCATGTTAGGTTTTCCTTTTCTTTAAAAAAAACTTGTTGGTAAAAAAAAAAAAATAAAAATAAAAAAAAGATGCCAAAATAACTGAATATCTACATGCCACTACCTCATACCATATATAAAAGTTAATCTGAAATGGATCACATAATACTAAATACAATTATTAAAACCATAAAGCTTTTGAAAGAAAATGTTGGAGAATAGCTGTAAGACTTGGAAGTAGACAATTTTCTTAGATAAGGAACAGAAAGCAATAATGATAAATGTTCAGGCTTTGATAATTAGAATTAACCTAAATTTAAAATTTCTCAGCAAATGATATACCATTAAGAAAATGAATAGGTAAGAGCTGGACATGGTGGTACATGGCTGTAATTCCAGCTATTTGGGAGACACAGACAGAAGAATCATGATTCAAGGCTAGCCCTGGAAAAAGTAAGTGAGACACTATCTCAAAATCAAATCAGGCATAGTGGTGCAGGGCTGATGTCCCAGCTACTTGGGAGGCATAGATAGGAGGATCACACTTCTAGGCCATTCTATACGAAGCTGAGTGCAAGACCCAATCTGGAAAACAAAAACTTAAAAAGGACTGGAGTCATGGCTCAAATTATAGAGCACGTACCTTGTAAAGCTCAAAGCCCTGAGTTCAATTCCAGTATAGAATGAGAAAGAACAAAGAATAGAGGAGAGGGAGAAGAAGAAAAGAGAAAAAGAAAAAAAGAAAGACACCCCAGATTGGGCAAACATATTCTCAAAACACACTTAACAAAAGACTGGCATCAACAAAACAGAAGTCCTAGAACTCTAATAAAAAAACAATCTAATTAAAAGATTCAAAAGATCCTAATACCAAAGTTTGGCAAGGATGTGGGACAACCTGAAGTCTCATACATTAATGATGGGAATATAAAATGGCATTCCCACTTTATATATAGGAGAAATAGTATAACCATTTTTATCAATCTTTACATTAGAAAAGTTCTAGTATTTTTATAAAATTAAACATACACCTTTTCTGCAATCCAACAATTCCATCCCCAAAAGAACATATTTGTTTACAAAAAGGTTTATATAAGAATGTTCATAGCAGCTCTATCTATAATTGCCCTGTACTGAAAATAACCCAGAAATCCTGCAATAGGAAATTGGATAAACTAGGTGATGCTCTTCAGCTTTGAAAAAGGAACAAACTACAGATGAGAGCACCAAATATGGATAAATCTCATGAAGAACTCCAGTACAAAAGAGCATATACAATACAACTCCATTTACATGAAGCTCTATGCATCACAAGTGATCTGTGATAGAAGAAAATCACAAGTGTTTGCCTCTATAAGGTAGAGATTGGCTAGAAAGGTACATGAGGAAACTTTCCAGACTGAAGGTAACATTCTATATCTTGACAGGGTTTTGAGTTATACACACATGCATTTGTCAAAATTCAGTGATTATGCATTCAAGATTTGTGTAGTATATGAATTTTATAAAAGATACAGCTATATTTAATGTATAATGGGCGATTATCACTAATAATGTATTATACACTTGAAATTTGCTAAGACAGATCACAAGTGTTCTTACCAAAAACAAAAAAAGATAACTATCTAAGATGATGGATATGTTAATTAGCTGCCTCGTCACAAGCGTTTCACAATGTGTATGGTATATCAAAACATCAAATATTTAGAATATTTGTTAATCATACTCAAAAAAGCCAGCAAAAAGAAACAACCATGTATTAAAATTGAACTTTAGTGCTAACTTTGCCAAAGTATATGGGGAGAAAGTATACCAATGTCTGAAATTTACTTTGAAATAAATCCAAACATAAAATGCATTGTTGGTAGCAAAAACGCTATGTCTTTCTTATTACTGCTTATTTCTACTCTTCAATGGAACTGGAGAAAAGCACAGAACAGGTTCTGCCTGGAAGCGAGGAGGGAGGGGAGAAAGGGTGGGGACGGGGAGCCAGGGGGGAGAAAGGACCCAAACAGTGTATGCACATGTGAATAAATGGGTAATAATAATAAAATAATAATAACTACAAAAATAGATTGTTGGAAGGATAGATAGTGGATAGGTGATAAAACAAAATATTCATTATAGGATGTAGGTGTTCACTGTAAAATTCTTTTAACTTTATAGTAATCTTAAATTGTTTTATAGTACTTCCTTACACACTAAGGAAAAAAAGAAAAAAACTTCTGTGCCCAAATAGAGTACAAGAAAGGAAAGAAAACATGCCAAAACCTTAAGTTGTAGACATGCAATAACAACAATACCACCATCATATATTTGTAGGACCTGCTACAGTTATGCTGTCACACAGACTCTTATCACTTGGCCCTCAAAGAATATATCCTTATGGCACAAAAAGGACATATATTAGCATAATATATGAAAACTAAAGATAAGAAAATTAAGGCAGAGAGAGATCACTGTGCCCAAAGTAACGTATGACGTTCATTTCTGCCTTCCTTTGGTTCTTTCACCACATGTAGCCAAACCTTTGCAGGTGCCACACACACAAACCCCTCACTGTTTAAATATCATTAAGTACCTTCTGACTACTACTAGAAATAAGCCCAAAATATTTAATGTGATTTATAAGTACTGCACAATTTGGCAAGCAAATCTCTGGCTTTTTCATAGTTCCTCCTGTGTACTATGTTCTTTACCACTTCAGGACTGTTGCACATGCTCTTGAGGTTAGTTTAACTCATTTTTTTCAGATCTTAGTTAAAATGTCACTTCTTAAGGGAGCCACCTTCCCTTCTCCCTTTCCTTGTCACTATACCAGGACTAGATCAGAACTAGTAAATTTAGTTAATTTAGCATTTAGTGCTACTCGTGGCATCAGCCTTTATCTAGGCTTACCTGCCTCAGTAAATAGAATACCACCTACCCAGTTGTTTACACCAAACCTGAGAGTCATTTGTGTTTCCTCTTTCTTTTGCACCTAATAACCAATCTATCAGCAAACTTTGTTGGCTTTACTTTCAAAGTATCTCCTGAACAGATCCTTCATGTGACAACTTCTTGCCACTTGTGAGCAAGTCCATCCATCATCTTTTACATTCATCACTGAAAAGGTTTCCAAATTGATTTCCCCACTTCTACTCTCACCCCGCCATGATCTATTTTAAACACATAAGCAAGAATAACCCTTTCTTTTTAAAAAAAATCTGTTTTATTTTTAAGTTGTTTAATTTTAGCCAGGCATGAAGGTGCACACCTGTAATTCCAGCACTTGGAAGGCTGAGGCAAGAGAATCGCAAACTTGAGGTTAGCCTGGGCTACATGGTAAGTTCCAGGCTAGCCTGGGTACACAGTGAGTTTTTTTTTTTTTAATTTTATTGTGATAAAAACACAGCAGGAGATCTATCCTCTTAAATTTTTAAGTGTATAATACATTATTGTTGACTATAGATCCAGTGTTGTAGAACTGCTTAACTAAACTTTCATGCTCATTGATTACATAATTACCTGTTTCCTCCTCCCCCAACCCCTGGCAATAACTACTCCACTATTTGAGTCTATGAACTGAACTAGAAAGTTATTCTTTCAAAATATAAGGTAACATTCTGAGCGAGGTTAGCCAGGCCCAGAAGACCAAAAATCGTATGTTCTCCCTCATATACGGACATTAGATCAAGGGTAAACACAAGGGGACTGGACTTTGATCACATGATAAAGCAAGAGCACACAAGGGAGGTATGAGGATATGTAAGACACCCAAAAAACAAGACAGCATTTGTTGCCCTCAATGCAGAGAAACTAAAGCAAAAACTTTAAAGTGACAGAGGCCAATAGGAGAAGGGGACAAGGAAATAGAGACAAGGTTAGTTCAAAAAGAATTAATTTAGAATGTAACACATATGTACAGGAAAGCAATGTGAGTCAACTCCCTGTATAGCTATCCTTATCTCAACCAGCAAAAACCCTTGTTCCTTCCTATTATTGCTTATACTCTCTCTTCAACAAAATTAGAGATAAGGGCAAAATAGTTTCTGCCGGGTATCGAGGGGGGGAGGGGGAGAGGGAGGGCGGAGCGGGTGGTAAGGGAGGGGGTGGGGGCAGGGGGGAGAAAAGACCCAAGCATTGTATGCACATATGAATAATAAAACAATAAAAATTTTTTTAAAAATCTAAACATTGATCTACCATATGATCCAGCAATACCACTCTTGGGGATATACCCAAAAGAATGTGACACAGGTTACTCCAGAGGCACCTGCACACCCATGTTTATTGCAGCACTATTCACAATAGCCAAGTTATGGAAACAGCCAAGATGCCCCACCACTGACGAATGGATTAAGAAAATGTGGTATCTATACACAATGGAATTTTATGCAGCCATGAAGAAGAACGAAATGTTATCATTCGCTGGTAAATGGATGGAATTGGAGAACATCATTCTGAGTGAGGTTAGCCTGGCCCAAAAGACCAAAAATCATATGTTCTCCCTCATATGTGGACATTAGATCAAGGCAAACACAACAAGGGATTGGACTATGAGCACATGATAAAAGCGAGAGCACACAGGGAGGGGTGAGGATAGGTAAGACACCTAAAAAATTAGCTAGCATTTGTTGCCCTCAACTCAGAGAAACTAAAGCAGATACCTTAAAGCAACTGAGGCCAATAGGAGAAGGGGACCAGGAACTAGAGAAAAGGTGAGATCAAAAAGAATTAACATAGAAGGTAACACCCACACACAGGGAATCAATGTGAGTCAATGCCCTGTATAGCTATCCTTATCTCAACCAGCAAAACCCCTTGTTCCTTCCTATTATTGCTTATACTCTCTCTATAACAAAATTAGAAATAAGGGCAAAATAGTTTCTGCTGGGTATTGAGGGGGTAGGGTGGGAGAGGGAGGGGGTGGAGTGGGTGGTGAGGGAGGGGGTGGGGACGGGGGGAGAAATGACCCAAGCCTTGTATGCATATATGAATAATAAAAGAAAAATAAATAAATAAAATGAAATGATGGAAAAAAACACACACACACACGCACAGGAAATCAATGTGAGTCAATGCCCTGTTATCCTTATCTCAACCAGCAAAAACCCTTGTTCCTTATTATTGCTTATAGTGTCTCTTCAACAAAATTAGAGATAAGGGCAAAATAGTTTCTGCCGGGTAGCAAGAGGGGAAGGAGGGGAAAGGGAGGGGGCAGAGGGAAGGGGAGGAAGGGGGGAGAAATGACCCAAATATTGTATGCATATATGAATAAAAGAAATTAAAAAAAAAACAAAATATAAGGTAAAACATGTTGCTCCTCACTCCAGTGTCTCTGTGTTTCATTCTGTAAAAGCTAAACTTAGAGTGACCTTTATGGTTCTACCTGGCCTGGCTCCTCACTACCTTGTTCACTTCATCTCCTACAACCTTTTCTGTGCTCATTCCAGCCTCACTGATATGTTCCCCAAGCAGTACTAGCTATTTTCCTTTCCTTTATCTTTGCTGTTCTTTGCTTAGAATGTTCTTTCCATAAATTGCTGCATGGATCACTCTCACTTTACTTAGGTTTTGTTCAAATATCAGTTCCCCTGAGAGGCTGTCCTTGACCATATATCCAAACATCAGTCTCTATCACCTGGAGCTAAAGGTTTTCATAGCATTTCTCACTAAATGATACTAAGTTACATATCAGTTTTCTTATTGGTTATTTTGCTTATTTTCTTCCTCTTCAACTTGAATATAAGTTCATGAGAACCAGGATTTGTCATTTTGTAAACCACCATATCCTTAGTATCTAGTAGTAACTCCATAAGTACTTGTTGAACGAATTAATATTCTGTAAGTCTCTATGCGGATTTTCCATAGCACTTAGCACAGTTTACAATTACAATTTTGAATGGATATTAATTCATGTTTGCCTCCCCAGTAGACTGTAACCCCATAAGGACAGGAATCATGTCAGTTTTGTTTTTTTTTTTTTTTTGGGTGCTGGGATCAAACCCAGGGCCTCGATCATGCTAGGCAAGCACAGTGCCACTGAGCTACATCCCAGCCCCTCATGTCAGTTTTACCCTTAATTAAAACCTAAGTATTGAGGCTGGGTGTATAGCTCAGTGGAAGAGCTCTTGCCTATCATCACAAAATCCTGGGTTCAAGCAAAAAAAAAAAAAAAAAAGAAGAAAAAGAAATAAAACCATGAGTATCCTAAAAGTATTTATTGACTAGAATGAATGAATGAATCAATGAATGAGTGAATAAATGAAGGTATGAATACAAATAATAACCTAGTGTTCTTTGGGGCTGCAACTGGAACCAAGAATAGTCCTTCCAGGGAATATACACTACTGTTTTAGAAAAAGGATGAGCATGCATGGGGAACAAAAAGAAAGTGAAATTTGGGCCCACTTTTAAGACCTTACCTTTCTGCTTGATTAGAAAAGGTTGTGCTGGACGCCAATCTAAGAAATAAAGTAAACAGAGTCACAGAAGTATCTTAGGTTTTCATGATGAAATGTATTAGTACTGAGGTAGGATTATAGTTCAGATTTAGACCTGGATCAGAGAGCCTACTCAGTGGTCAGTGCCCATCCCTGAACTCTACTTTCTGCATTAAGGCACAGATTTTCATGAAGTGACATGCAGTTAAAGTTGGCTTTCTGTCATCCATCCAACCTACCAAATGGCCTTTGCAGCCAGGTTAGATTGAAACCTGGACAACATTTGACTCAGTCTATCCCTTTATTAACTCAAATCAAATTCATTTCTTTGTCTACAACCTCTGAAAGATAACTGTGAACAAACCACAAATCACCAAAGCCTCTATAAGATAGCAAAATAGAAAACAAAGGAATTTGTTAACTAATTGTTGAATTGAAATTATAAAGAAGAAAATCCATCACACTGAGAAGAGAAATATATTAGGTTAAGTAACTGATATATACCACATAATTTCAAAAAGTACAATTACATGACTCTATGCATGGAAATATGCTATATGTCTTCATATAGAAGGAGAATTACTAAACTGGGGGATTTAGAAGAACATATCTTGCTTAGTAAGCTACTGAAGAAACAAATAGGGAGAATTCCACAAATTTATTTTCTTTTAAGACTTCAAGAGTGAGCTGAGCTAAGGATCTATTAGGAGAGGAATAGCAGCTCAGTAATGGTTAAAACCAGACACCATTTTCAGTTGCTTTGGTTATGGGCCCTCTCATGCTGTTGACTTTACAATGAATAGATAAACATTGGCAAATAAACAGCAATTAAGGTTGCAGGAAATGTAATCTTAAAGGATGTAGAGAGCAAAATACAAAATCACATGGAAAAGTCTGAGTGAGAAATGAAAGGGTTATATTGAGCTTACAGACTCTTAGAACACCCTGGGAATGGTGTCTATGTTCATAACTGACAAAAATAAAGTGTTTGCAAATCCACATTACCTCATTTATTCTTTGTAGTGGAACTGAGGCAAGGAAGACTGAATTAGGTGACTGCCGAATCTATCTTCTTGGCCGCTTAGTTGATTAAACTTAGGTTGCTAAGAATAGTGGCAGTTTGCATTAAATGCTCTCCCTGTCTCTTTCTAGTCTGCCTGAAGGAGGTAAAGATTTAACTATATGTATATGTAGATATGCAAAAACGTATGTTCTGCTATTTTTGTTGTTCTTGCTTTTCTTCAAAGCTCATGTGTTTCTATCCTAACAGCTGGCAGTGCTCGAACATGGATTATTTTTGTTTTTGTTAAAACATCAAAAAAACCAAAAACAATCTCCTCCATGTATCTACAACAACTTATATCAGCTGTTTTAAGAAGATGGCAACAGACCAGAACAGTAATTATATCTGTTCCAAAACTAAAAAGTATTGACAATAATTTTGATCTTATATTAAAGTATTACTGATAGCCAATACAACATTTATTCTACAATTATTAAGATTGGGTTAAAATCAAGGGCTTAGATAAAATAATTCAGTGTTTTCTTATTTCCCAATGTTCCCATACTTACTTTCCACATTGACTATTTTGAGGTTTAGCTTAGGGTGATTACACTTAACTTTATACTGTCTTGGACTATATGACTCTAAGGATACTACAAAAAAAATGAGGGAAGGAGAGTAATGGGGCTATATATTTATGGGGTAGAGTTTTTAATGTTTTCCTGTTTGTCTTTAACTTGATATAAGTATTTTTTCATTTTCAAAAAAAGAGCTAAATTTTAGCTCCATTAAGATTCATTCTCTTGCCTTACCTCAAATGCTAGAAATTTTCAGAATCTAATTCTTATCTTACTCCTTTGTAGAATGCCTCTAAGAAATTGCTTCCATTCTGAACCTCCATACCACTTACATTCATACTATGTATTACATCACTTAATTACGCCGTATCTTGTCTGACCACTCAGTGATTCCACACCTAACTTCCTTTTTAACAACTAAGCCACAGTTGGGCATGGTGGTACACACCTGTAATACCAGCAGCACCCAGGATGGAAGATCATGAGTTCAAGGCCAGCCCGAGCTACATATTGAGACCTTATCTCAAAAACAAATGGACAAACAAATAAACAACAATACAAAAACCCTAAGCTACAGATCACTTGAGGGCAGAAAGTAGGTCTTGATGCCTATGGTCCAAAGCACCTAGCACTATGCTAGCATAGACTGGAAACTCATAAATTCATGCAAAACTTAAGTCAGTCCTCTCCTGTAACTTGTGTTCATTTTTTTACTGGATTGAAACTTATTCATAGCCATGTCCATGAAATATATCATTTATCTTCTAGTATCTAATAATGGGAATTTTCTTAATGTGAGCACTCAAAGCAGCCAAGCTTAATCTTTCTGCAGGCTGAAAATCCTATTCCCAAAATGTGTACATCCTTACTTTATCTGAGTCAGAAATGCAAAGCTGCTATGTAATACACATAGTAATGCCCCAAGTTGCATATCAAAGTGAGGCCCCCTTGAGAAGGTAAAATAGCTAGAGAATCCATCTCAAAACATGTAGAGAGAGATGATGACAATACTAACAATAATTGCTAACACAGTGCTCACTATGAATTACCGATAGCTGTGAACACTGCTACAGGTATTAGCTCATGATCACTGTCATGTACATCAGCTCATATAGTAATGGGAACAGCAAACATTAGAGCAGATTCCTTTAGCTTCACTCTGACATTGTGACTCGTGACCTTACACATCTGGGGAATTCAATCAAAAGATCAGTCCATTCAGTTTTTTAAACTAGTCTGAACCAATCCTAGAGATAATTAAGCATCTACAAGGTATCTGAATGCTTCACTTTCAAACTGATCATTTTTATTTCAAGTTGTAGTTCGAATAAGGTCTGCCCTGCCAAGTAAAACAGAAGCGTCTGACATTTACCTTCCCACAGACTGCATGATATCCAGCAACAGTGGAGCTGCCAAGTCTGGGCTTAAGTGAATGAATGTGGAAAGAACTACAATTGCCAGCCCAAGGGTTTCTTCATCATATTCTTCAAGAATGGCCCCACAATCATGGCACCTGTGAAGAAAACAAAGGAAGAAATGCTTTCCATGAAAGCCAGCTATGGTTCAAGATAATGTACAACACACAGACATTTCTCATGAGTTTTATAAAAGTCCCCAAAAGGAAGTTAATAACCCCATGGTAATAGTGACACCATCACCTTACATATAGAAAGACCACAGCATAACAGAAATCATGAAGTTCCTCTTAATTGCTGAAGACATGTTCAGTTTACAAGCATCTAGCTACACATGAGTTATTGCTTCCCTTTAGAATGAGTGTCAATTAGACTAATCGTGAATGTTCTGGATTTTAAATGTGAAATTATGGCTAAGGATAGTTAGTGACTAGATTTTTCTTTGATTTGTCAAAATGAAAAGTGAAAAATGCCTAGACATGAATAGAAGCTTTCAAAAAATGTCTTATTTATGAGTAAGAGTGGAGAACTCAAGTGAATTAAACACTAGAAAACCTGGGGAGTCTGGGCTGGTAGGACTACTAAGCACAACACATAACAAACAATGGCACCTGCTCGTAAGTAGCTCACAACTCACTGCTCTCTGTAACATCCTAACGTAGGTTCCATTTAATTCAATTCAACTAAAGCCAGATTTATTAGGTAAAGTTGAAATCTAGGAAAAGCAAAGGCAGCAGAGTACACTTGCTAGTTTGACCTTCCCATCTGAAATTCTCTTAAATGTAAGCACGCAAAGATAAAATTTTTCTTAAAATTAATTTTTAACACAAAGACTTCACATTCTCCTAAATATAAGCAAATAAAGATACAATTTTCTTAAAATTAATTTTTAACATAAAGATTTCACATTTGTAATAAAAACAAATGGAGTACACACACAAGCTACTAGGAAGCAACTAAAAAAGATCGGGACTTGGGAGAGGGAGTCATACTAAAGGAGGAACCGAGAAGACTCAGAAGTACCTCAAGGTTCACCATGTGGACATTTCAAGGCAGCTATACCCCTTCACTTCTTCTGTAACGGCCATACCTCAGTACTGAATGAATAATGGATGGTTAGCTGCATGGGTACTCCTACCAGACCTTTCCACCTCACACTGCTCTCCTTTTATCAATTTGCAATTGGGTCACCTTTATCAAGACTTTTCTGATCCAAGGGGATCTTCCAAATCTGAAATCCTACAAGTCTTATTTTTTTTTAATCATAACTCTCTGAACAAGTACTTATATGCCAGATAATATACAGGAAGCTTAGAGTATAAAATAGAAAAAAAAAGCCTCTAAGGAACTCACAATCCATTATAGAACATATACATGTATCATTTAAACAAATAAATAAAATACAATGCAATAAGTGCTAGAAAAGAGATGTACCAGCTGCAATAGGAAACTGGAGAATGGCATGACTAATCCTGCCATTCCAGGGGAATCCGGGAAATTCTGTCTTAAGTTAGGTATTGAAGCAGGAATAGGAGTTCACCAGGAAGAAAAGTACAAAGAGAAGAGTACTTATGAAATCACACAGGAGAGAACACATCAGAATGCTCTGGAAAGGGTGAGGGGGCTGAGGAAAGTTCCTGGTGAGGAGTTGTAGGGCCATACCTTCACAATCTAAAAGGCTTCATCTAATAATCTAAGGCATTTGGGCTTTATCTTAGAAGAAATTTGGGGCTATTGCATGCTGACAAGCTGAGAGGTGACTAACCAGTCTGAGATTCAGAGAATGGATTCTGCTGCCATGATGGAATAAGAATGGAGTCTCAACCTTATTCCCATTCTAACCATTTGAAGCTTCTGGCTGAGGAATTTTTATGGTGTTGAACTATTGCTAGAGATAATAGTAAGTGGTATTATTTGCATTCATCTGAATAAAAAAAAGAAATGCCTAAGCACAAAGATTGGTCAGATAACACAGTATTTCTAAAATCACAATACAGACCAACATTTACACTCAGCTTTTTGAAGAACAAAGCCTGACTTAAAAGCAAAGCATGTTTTCTCTTATACTCTCTCACAACCCTGGTCACCAAACTAATACTATAAATATGGTGAAGAAAATAACTCTGTGAACTTACTTGTCCGTCATCACTGTTGGCTGCTCATCAGTGAATTCTTCAGGTGCAGGCACAAACATACTGACTATGCTGGGTGCTGACAGCAAGCTGGATTTAGTGGCACCTGGGTAAGCAGCAAAGAGACAAACAGTAAATAAAGATCAGCTTCTGGGGCCAGGAAAGGCCCCATTCTGCTCTTATAAACCCTCTGAAGATCACATTCACAGGACTGTGACTTGGATATCCCAACTGCATTGTGAAAACCCTCAACAGTGAAATTAAGTGAAGAAAGAATGTGATTTGTTTCTGCTTGTATGATTTTAAGAGCTAGATGTCTATCTCTCCCTTGCTTCTTGACTTTGAAAAAAATCAGAAACAGTTCAGATGTACCAACAGGGTACTAAGACAAAGATGACAAAGGGGAAAATCTATTCTAGGGTATCCCTAAGTCAGTAACACCCTTATTTGCTAACATAAATAAAAGCTTCCCATACGATACTGCATTTCTAAAAGCACAAATGCCTATCAACATTAAAGTATTGCTAATATGGGAAGGAAATGGGAGTCCAGAACTTCACATACCTAAGCAAGGGGAGATATTTGAGCTAGGAAATATTGGTGCAGTTTTCTATTTTAGAAATTAATACCATAAACTCCAAAGCAAAAAGACTTCATTTTTCTAACTGCAGTATTTATGAATGAAACATCAAGTGTTTTGAAGGTACCATTCAGTGACTCACTGCACTTTAGCCAATCAATACCACAGTGTTCAAAACTTTGGGGTTTGATCCCTTCAAAAAAATTTAAAGCAGGAATCTGAGCAACATACTCCAATGATGAATAAATCTGGAGAGTCATGAGGGTATTCTCCATTAAGAAAGCCTCCAGTGCTGGGAAAACTCTCTGGGGACTGCAAATGAGGCATCCAAGATGAATCCCCAACTGACAATCCAGAATAATGCCTTGTTCTACAAAGTAATAACTCAGATTCTGAGTTCTTCAAATAGGAAAGAAGACAAAAAAAGCCTCAATGGTCATTGAATAATATGTTTCTCATCAAGACACTGGCAATGTGGTGCTGAAAAAAACCCCTACATGATCTCTCTTAAATAGGAGATGAATAATGATTGAGGGGATGGTTTCAAAAGGAATCAAAATAAAAATTTTAGAAACCTAGCCAATGGGCAATTTTTCAATCAGACAGGAAAAAATGTATTGAAGTTTTTTCAAAGTCAACATGATTTCCATACTATAGACTACCTTGCCCAATTAGAGGTTATAAAATGTTTTATGAGAAACTGGAAACTCGCATTCATACCACAAAGGAAAAGTATCTGAAAATATCTTTATGTCACTTCCTAATCTCCCAAATAAGACTAAAAATTTTATTGCTATATTTATCAACTATCTCTGAGATAATATTGTTTCCTAAGTGATCCTAAATGTATCATTAACAAAGATCTCTGATTGTTTCATAAATATGAGTTTGCTTTGAGTGGAAGCAATAGTATTACAAGCATAATTATAAATTGATCAATAATAGAAAAGGCAAAAACTAGGCAAAGATAAAAGAAGTCTTCAAACTATGATCCTCCTGATCTCAGCCTCCCAAGTAGCTAGGAATATAGACGTGAGCTATAAGCGCCCAGTCAAAGAGGCATTTTTTTTTAAAATAATAGCATTGTGAAGTTGTTTTTCTATATGACAACACAGACTATATGATGCAGAATTTATGGCAGTCATCTGTGAAAGCATGTAAGTTAAGTTACTAGACATTGGTCCTTACAGGGCAACATTAGCTAAATCAATGACTTTCTGAATCCTGCTACTGAGGTGGAAACAAAGAATAATGTACAAGAAGGTGAGAAATGCAAAAAACAAAGCCATAGACCTCAGCTACCTTTTGCTATTGCTGAGTCACAACTAAGTCTGCAATATTAAAAAGGCAGTCCTTTATCCCTGAGCTGCTGTAAATACTTCTAAGGCCACCATTACTGGTTCCCCTCCTGAATATTCAGAGTTCCTTCTGTACAGAACTAGAAGCAGAAACAGAGGGTTCTCAGAAATATAAATAAGGAGAGGACCAACTTCAAAACTGGAGACATTGACAAAAACCCCTCTAGGAATTTTGGAGATAGGAGAAACTAAAATTGTGTGTCAGTCCCCTCAGCTGCACTAGTGGATTCTTTGGCTTACCATGAAAGAGACAGGTATCAGCTTTATATTTTGATTTACTTTATCTAATTCTATTTTTACTACTACTCAGTCACTAGGTCACAAACAAGCACCAAAGATTTGTCCAACACCCTGACTTCTGCTCATAAAAGCTTTTTCTAGCCCCAAGATGAGAAGAATCTCACCTCCTTTGATAACGGGCTAAAACTGCTACTTAAAACCAAAGAAGTGATTAGAAAAGCTGGATAACTCCCAGGAAAACCAGAAGAATAGTGTGGTCTAGAGAAACAGGTCTTCTTGATTTAAAAGAATACCTTAGCAGATGCACTTATAGTTTTTAAAAAACTTTTTCTTGCCAATGATAAATTAATCTGCCTTCTGAATTTCAAGAGGAACAAAAGTAAGGATTAATACTTCTTAGTTAAAATTCATAGAATGGGTTTAAAAAAAAAACTGATGATCTTAGCACAGATTGCTCCTATGAGCAGAATAAAGTCATATGTGTATATATATATATATATATATGTATATACATATATATATATATATACTTTTCTGAGCTGGACCAGGCTCAGAAAAGTATACATAGGGTTATATGGAAAACTGATACATGTTGGAGAATGTTGCAGGACCCGGAATGCCCAATCTAGAAACAGCTGAGGGAATAAGCAATAGATGGCTATTTTCAAATGTCCAAAAAGTTAAGTGAGAGATACTATACTTGTTTTGTGTGGCATGAAGGGTTATGAAGTCACTACGAGTGAGGACTTTCATGCATTCCCAGGCCCTGAAGGTATTTTTCAGAGGTTGGACCACTTCATAGAACCACTGAAGAGGTTTCCGCATCTGCTGGGTGACTAAGTGACAGATGTATACAGTCTTTCAGCTCTACAGTCTGACACTCTGACTCAACCAACCTCTCATTCTCAACGGCTGTCCCTCCAGGTCAGGATTTAGGCACATTGGCACATTACATTGGCGTTTTCCCAGCTGTATCTGTTCTGTGGATAAATAGAGCATTTCAGTCTTTAATGTGATTATTTTAGCACAATTCACATTGCAATAGGTATAACCAATAATCTCTTTGGGCCATTGTTTTGATCATTGTTACTGGTGATCATTAACATTTAAAGGATACATCCTAGATTTTAGGGTAGAATTGCTTGGGTTTTCTTATAAGCCTGCCATCCAGTTAAATGAAATGCATCAGAAAGCAGAGAACACCCAGAAATATCCATTAAGAAGTCCGGATCTCTCCTCACTTCAAAAAAGTACAAATCCTGTATCTCCTGATACAAAATGAGAGGCCAATGTCATGGCCACGAAAGAAATGTCTTATAAAAATCACAAATACATAAGTGATAATTTGGGATAATGGCCAGAACGTTTGTAGACAAAATACATGGACCTGGTAGAAGGAAATGACAGGCATTTGACTGAAAGATGGAGAACAGGACTAGGGGCAGGAGCAGAAATGGAGAAGAGGTGCTTCAGGAATATTTATTCACATGAAAGATGAGACAAAGAAGCAACTCATCTCAGTGTGTTCAATGCATAAGGGGCAGGTACTCTGTAAGTATGCTAATATATACCAAGGTGATCTGTTATGACCCATGTTTTAGGCTACCTTTCTCAAATGTATGGCCACATCTGTTCTTGGTGGAGACTGGTGAGTCACTGAATCAACATGTGGTTTAAAGTCACATGCCACTAACATCATAAACAAACAAAAAACCCTGAGAATACGGAGATAAAACTCTAGTGGGACTTAAGGGAGCACAGAACCAACTTGGAGGATGGAGAAGAAGCCCAGGAACACTCAGCTGAAAGAAATTCAGACAGCATGTAAATGGGAAGTTTTAAATAAGAAACCACAGTGATATGAATAAAGTTGAAGTCTGGTTGAAAATTGAAAAATTCAGTTAAAGGGATTATTTGTCATCATGTAGTTTTTTTAAGATTAAAATTCAGACTGGAAATTGGGACCAATTCACCTTTTTTTATACTCTGCCTAGTCAATCAAACTAGGCTGTAATTTAGACAGAACCTAAAATAGTTACTTATTACAAAAAACAACAGCATGGTAAAATGATGTTCAGAGTCCTCAGGTCAACCTAGGATTTAATACTAGACACTTAACCAAAGTAAAGCTTCCATTCTCAGATCCTTACATAGCTTCAACTCTGTAGAGAGAGAAACACAGTCCTCTTTGGTATGGACAGAAGGACTCTACTCAAGCTAAATAAATTCTTGAGGTTGACTATCTACTGTCTTTCTCCTTCCCTTGCCTGTTGGCTTTTGGCTACTCACTGTTCACTCCCACAAATCACTAAACAAAGAGAAAATACTAAACCTTTAAAATGTTAAGAACTTTTACAAAGTTCAAAACAACTGAAACTGTCTGTTACATGTGGGATTGGGTGTGGTATATGGAATTTAATTATCTAGATAAATGCTCTTTTTTGAAGAATAATAAGGGCAAGTAAGATGACAGACACACACACACACACACACACATAATTTTAAAAACCAAAATCTCAGTATTTGGTTTGTGGGCATTGTAATTGGTAGTCATAATGAAGAATATTAAGATAATTTCTTATAACCATAGACAGAAAGTACTTAACAAGAGACTGAAAAGAGTGTATGATGCCTACCACAGCATGTCATAGTAATAAACACTTATATCTTCATAGTATTTGTATGCTTCAAAGTGCTTTCATGTATATAGTCTTATACCTAAAAATGGCCTATTTAATTTAAAAAGGAAAAAGAAAGGCAGGGAATTCAAAGAGGATTGTGGCAGTATTACTGGCTTGAGAAGGTAGTATAGGTAAAGAATATATTAACAAGGTTTAGAAAATGCAGAGTGATCATGTTTTAGACATGGAAGTCAATTCTTTCTTTAAAACTAATCTTAGAGTCAGGTTTTAAGGTCTCATGCCTGTCATCCTAGCTACCTGAGAGACTGAGATTGGAAGATTGAGGTTCTAGGCCATCCTGGGAAAACAGTTTGTGAGACCTCCATCTCCAAAATAACCAGACCAAAATGGACTAGAGGTATGGCTCAAGCAGTAGAATGCTTGCTTTGCAAGTGCCTGCTTTGCAAGTGCAAAGCCTTGGGTTCAAACCACAGAGTCCCAACAAAAAATATTTTTTCAAAAACTAATTAGATACAGTTCCATCTTATGAGCAGGAGGGTGTGTGGCTGCAACCTGGTGACCTTTCTGACTAAAACACAGAACTCATATTCCCAAACCTACTGGTAGATCACTACATTACTGAGCTGACATTAGTTATTACTACTACCATTATTATTAATATTCATTTATTCTTTGGTACTTCATAATTTATAAAAGAGGGAATATTGATACTCTGCTGTGTGTTTTTTAATGTTCATCATGAAATCATAGTTTCCCTTTCCCCAGACTGACAACCTAAGATCTAAAATTTGGGTCTAAGAGTAAAAAGAGCCGCTAGATGGAAGAACATATTGCTCTAGAACACTTGGAAAGTTTAAATAGACTTATTGCTTTAGGTTTTTAAAATTATTTGAACCAAAGAACATGAGAGAAAATTTATTCCTTAACAAGGAGCAGAGTGGACACAGAGAAAGTGGCATTAGCTAGTCTGAGAGGTAAAACAAGAAGAAAAGGCTTGACCCACCAGTGTCCCAGTTGCTGATGTTATGGGGGGCGCTAGACTGGTGTTCCAGCTGTCGCTTCATTAACTGGCTCATTGTCAGAACTCCCAGGGATCCCCTTTTCATCTGCCTATACTGAGCTATATGAAGGAAATTAGGAGATGATTACTAGGGGGAACAAATTTCCACAGGACACAAAGGCTCTACACATCCATATGAATCTTAATTACTTATTCATAACTTTGATAAATTATATGCTTCTATCCAAGTGAAAACCTAAGGCACTCTGCTGTTCCAAGTGTCTTTCTTTATTCAGTATAGACAGTAAAAGTGTCCTTTAGTAATGATCTGCAACCTGAAAATATTTACCCCAGTTACAGCTGAATGAAATATGATTATTTTCATTTGCTTTTTATTTACATACTCCACCACACTCCAAAAAGGATTTAAGACAGATAATTTTACTTTGAATTTATAGCTCAACTTTTAACAGAGCTTATTCATACACAGTTTCAGTCTTCATTATATCTCCATGAAGTCCTCCAGTATATATGCATATATATATGATGTGTGTGTGTGTGTGTGTGTGTGTGTGTGTGTGTGTGTGCATATGTGCTTGTACATTTTGGAGTAGGATGACACATATCAACCTCAATTTTTAGAAAGAGTATTGAAGCAAATGAAATTATGTTACTATGGAACCAATCAGCAACAAAGATGGTCCTAAAACCAAAACATATCAACTCTATTGCTGTTTCCAATCTCTATATGATCTCCTACCTACTGTTTGAAAAATGTGAATCAAATAGCATTTCATAAGTATGTTCCTGTACTCATCTTTGTTTTAGAAACAATGGTAAAATTGTTATCCAGAATTAAGCACTGACAAATATACTACCAATAATGAAAAGTTATATGCATTTTCTAACCAGGAAACAACAAAAGGCACTCTGCTAATACTCTGCTAAGTTAGAAAGTAGCCTACCTTCTTTGCTCCTATTCCACTGTGAGAGGCCCCACCAAACTGTACCAACCAACCCAGCATAAGAGACAGAGCACCAACAACGTGGCTTTTCTACATGACTCCACACACTTGGACATTTGACAGTTTGTGTGTTTTCACTCTCTTATATAATGCCAATTTCAGAAACCAAAGCCATGAACATATCCTAGAAAGTGATAGCACAAACCAGGATGACTGGATGGCCCCTGGAAAGCTTTAAATGTTGTACACAGGTTTCACAATCATGATAGCAAGGCAGCAACTTGGTGTAAGGTGAAATCAATTATAACATTATTTCTGATGCAATTAGCATGCTACATGATTTATGGTGGTCATGGCATGTTTAGCTATAAAATAACTAGCTAATAAATTGAGCAAGAAAAAGAATGTGATGGGAATTCTTGTGTCTTGGAGTCCATGTTATCTGAATTTAGGGAAATGACTAATCAACCTAATGTTAAATATCTCTTATTTTAGTTGTTTATTGGTAAATTTTATAATTTTATGACTTATCTGAAAAGTGCAGCTTTAAATAAAATTCATTAATTTAAAAGATTTAACAAATTAAAAATTAGTAACATCTTGTAGACTCAATCAAATAGGGGTTTAAAACTTCTAGTGATTGAACAATTTCTCCAGTTCTCAGTTTTGTTTTTGTATTCTTTTGTAGTGCTGGGGATGGAACCCAAGCAAGTACATATGCTAGGCAAGTACAACTGAGTTACACTCCCAGCCTCTCAGTTTTAAAGACAACAAAAACCCTTAAGGTCTAGCCTCATGTATAAGATACCTAGCTTTATTATGCCTCCAAGAGCACACTACCAAGAGCTATAAAGTGCATGCTTTTAATGCCAAGGAGAGGAAAGGCGAAAATCTTATGGTGTGTTAAATTAAATCCAAAAAGGCTAGATTCAATCATGACTTTGGGATCATGATTTTGTTTTGTTTTGTTTTCAGTGCTAGGGCTTGAAGTCAAAGCCTACGCCTTGAGCCACTCCCAGCCCTTTTTTGTGATGAGGTTTTTAGAGATAGGGTCTTGCAACACTATTTGCCTGGGCTGAATTTGAACTGTGATCCCCTGATCTCTTCCTCCTGAGTAGCCAGGATTACAGGCATGAGCCACTGGCACCTAGCGATACATTTATTTTATGATACATTTAACCTGCATTGAAGTTACACAGACTTAATCATCCTATCTCAAATTATATCTACTTGAAATTCTAATCCGAATTTACTGTCATTTTTAGATTATCCATGCAAATTAGGGAAAGAAAATACACTTTCATGATTTTGTTATATGGACTTAAAGGCATTTTATCATGTTAAGAAACATTTTGTGATAAAAGAAGAACAATTAGATTTAGAACAAGGTATTATTCTTTGCTACCAAATGGCAAATAACTGTCACTTGGAACTATTTCTTAGAATTTCTATAATCTTATAATTGACTTTGAATTACTCCAAGACAGTGTGTTATACTAAAAAAAGAACCTAGGCTTGGAAATCTAACAGACCTAGCATCAATTCCTGTTTCTATCACTTAGTAGCTGTATAACTTTAGGCAAGTCTTTTAGCCTTTTTGAACCTCAGTTTCCCATCTGTAAAATGGAGTCAACAATCTGCCAGGCAGTGCTCAAATAAGGATTGGATTACATAATATATGTGAACAATTCAGTTCAGTGCCTAGCACACAATAGGTGTCCAATAAATGATAGCCATAATTACTATTATACCTCTAAGCTCCTTGAGAACAAGGGGTATCTTATTTATTCACCTGTGATCCCCAGTGCCAAGCAGACTGCCTGACACCTGCCAGACAATAATGAATAATTTCTGAATGAATGAATATACAAATGAATGATGATGATGACAACAATGATGATGACAATGGCGATACTCCACACTACCAGTCCAGCATTTACATTGAGATCTTTATCTGGCTCTTCAGGATCATCCTAATTGCAAAAGATGGTCAAATGAAAATTGACTGGCTCTTCAGGCAGCATCCACATGGAATACAGAACTTATCAGCACATGTGGCAAAGGCTTATAGAGTTCCACCTTTGTTTGTATCTGGTTCCCATTAAGATTTCCTGTGCTAAAGTCTATTAGTTGACCAGAAAACACATGAAAAAATGCTCACCATCTCTAGCAATAAAGGAAATGCAAATTAAAACCACGCTAAGATTCCACCTCACCCCTGTTAGAATAGCCATCATCAGCAACACCAGCAACAACAGGTGTTGGCGAGGATGCGGGGAAAAAGGAACCCTCTTACACTGTTGGTGGGAATGTAGACTAGTACAACCACTCTGGAAAAAATTTGGAGGCTACTTAAAAAGCTGGACATCGATCTATCATTTGATCCAGCAATACCACTCTTGGGGATATATCTAAAAGACTGTTACTCCAGAGGCACCTGCACATCCATGTTTATTGCAGCACTATTCACAATAGCCAAGTTATGGAAACAGCCAAGATGCCCCACCACTGACGAATGGATTAAAGAAAATGTGGTATCTATACACAATGGAATTTTATGCAGCCAGGAAGAAGAACGAAATGTTATCATTCGCTGGTAAATGGATGGAATTGGAGAACATCATTCTGAGTGAGGTTAGCCTGGCTCAAAAGACCAAAAATCGTATGTTCTCTCTCATATGTGGACATGAGGTCAAGGGCAAACACAACAAGAGGATTGGACTATGAGCACATGATAAAAGCGAGAGCACACAAGGAAGGGGTGAGGATAGGTAAGACACCTAAAAAACTAGCTAGCATTTGTTGCCCTTAACGCAGAGAAACTAAAGCAGATACCTTAAAGCAACTGAGGCCAATAGGAAAAGGGGAACAGGTACTAGAGAAAAGGTTAGATCAAAAAGAATTAACCTAGAAGGTAACACCCACGCACAGGAAATCAATGTGAGTCAATGCCCTGTATAGCTATCCTTATCTCAACCAGCAAAAACCCTTGTTCCTTCCTATTATTGCTTATACTCTCTCTACAAGAAAATTAGAAATAAGGGCAAAATAGTTTCTGCTGGGTATTGAGGGGGGGGAGAGAGAGGGGGCGGAGTGGGTGGTAAGGGAGGGGGTGGGGGCAGGGGGGAGAAATGAACCAAGCCTTGTATGCACATATGAATAATAAAAGAAAAATGAAAAAAATAAAATAAAATAAAATAAAATTACTCTAGATTACTTACAATGCAAAAAAAAAAAAATAAAGTCTATTAGTTGACTCCACTGAACTAGGTGGACACCCTGATGGAAATCCAACGAACTCGCCCTTCTCTAGGACCCAGCACCAAAACATTAGCCTTCTATACATCCTGCAATAACTGGTCACACCATTTTTATTTTCCAATCCAAAAAGGCTAGATTCAGTCACGCCTATGGGTTCATGATATATGATACATTTATTTTATGATAATCTAGATAAAATTTTGTCAGGATAGAGGAGATTCAAATTAAATAAATGTGTACAATTCTTATGGATACTGCTTTTTACATCTCATATAACCAGATCCCTGCTCTATGTGTAGACTAATAGTAGATAATTTTTATTTTATTCATTGATGAAATTCAGTGATTATTCTTTAACTAATTAGGATTCTTGGCCAAACAGTAACCATATGATTAATAAAACATTTGAGGTATAGACTAAAGTGGGCCATGCCACACCTCAGGGTCTCAGAGAATACAAGAGAGGATCACCAAGGCAGCTAATACATTTTTAAAAGGGGAAAAAAAGATTGCAAAGTTTTAAGCAATGCAACAAATTGTGTTCCAAAATCAATGCACAAGTGAAATGATCGCCAGAGAAAATCTTACTTGATATTGAGGAATGACTACTTGTTTCTGGCACACCTGCTTCTAATGTAGGGGCAGATGAAGATTCTCGTGGCATTTCCGAAGTTGAAAGTCCTTTAGGAGAAGGATCTACAAATGGAAATATTATTTAAAACTCAGGACACTGGTGAAAAGCAAGTTCAAGATCCTTTTCCATGTCTTCTTCCCTCTTGTCTACTGTACCCATTCAAATCTTTATATACTTTTTGGCCCTAATAATAACTTTAAGGGAATTACATATGTGCTGGTTTTCAAGTTCCATAGAAAGCTGATTCTATATTACAGTTCACATCTATAGATATGTCTTTTAGAGATTAATGATATCACAGTTGCAAAGTTAAAGCTAAGAATGTTCACAATACTAAATTTCTTTTCATCTAATACCTAAAGATACTTAATATTCCATTCCATCTATCTCCACCTTTGTCTGGCAGTTTTCCACTCATCATTTATATCTCAATTTATATAGAATATTCCCCCTCAAGAAGGCTTCCAGGACCTCATTTACTTCAAAATGCAAACAAACACTGGTTCAGGTAACCCTCTTACATAATTACAGAATACCTTGTCCTTAACCTTTTCCAAACGTCTCACTCTATAATGTAATTGTCTGCTTACTTGTCTATAACATTGCTAAAACAGAAGTGATTTCAGAGCAGGGGCTGTGTCTAATGTGAAATAAATACTGTGAACTCAGATATTATATTTTGTTAGTCAAACATCAAATAGACTATCATTTTTTCTCCTGTTTGATGATTTGAGCTTACCTAAGATGAACTATTTTCTGCATATAGTATTGCCTTACTCATCTATCAATAATGGGAAACAAGCTGTCCCACATAATTCCAGGCAGCTATATATTACCTTTAAAACTTTCTTAAGAGTTAATGGTTTGTCACAGCAAACCTCCTAAAATTCTTTTTTTTTAATGCCCAGTAATGGGGTTTGAACTCAGGACTTTGTGCTTGCTAGGCAGGTGCACTACCACTTGGACCATCCCTCCAGCCCTTTTTGCATTGGTTTTTGCATTATTTTTGCAATAGGGTCTCACTTTGAAGTTCCTCCCACTGAACATGCACAGCATATTTCCCTTTTGGCTTGGTTCAGCCCTGTGGTTTTCTTTGGCTAGCAAAGTGTTTTTAGGCATTACCTGACCAAAGGCTTGAAAAGTGCTTGTGCAACTGAGCCTGATCTCTATGGCTCTGCTAATCATGAGAAGAATACTCCTAGGTTCATAGTGTCCAGAGATGGATAGCAGGCATGAGAAGCAGAGCCTGGCCACCCAGCCAAGCCCAGTCAAGCTTAGCCAGTTCCCGGATGACCAATAGACTTTCAAACTAAGTTAGTGCTTATTGTTGTACTATGCTGCTCATTTGTTATGTAGCATTATTCCAGCAATATTACCACTATCTGACTGTTGTCTTAGCATATAGACAATACATACAGACTAGATGAGATCACCAAGAAAATGAGTGTTTATAGATGAACGCTTCATAGCAGTGTTTTTGTTAATAAAGAATACAATGGCAGGAAATTGGAGATAGTGATAATTGTGAAAAGAATTTTACTCAAGAGCTTTTTTCTTTAAATGGAGAGAGAAGTAAGATTATATCTGCATGCTCAAGTCAGAGGTCCTTTAGAAAGAAAAAATGTTTTGGGCCTCTATCCTTAAGTCAGTAAGAGAAATGGGATCTTGGTTAGAAAGACAGCCAGGAGAGCTAGGTGTATTAAGTGCAGATGCTAGAAGGTAGGCAGATGAGGAGATAGGAAGCTGTGAAAATTCCTTCTGATGATGTCAAATAGGAAGAAATATGAAAGTTTGGGAAGAAAAGTAGCTGTGAAATAGTCATGTAGGAGAATGGAAATGTGGATCAGGAAAATATGGTATGGTTGCCAGATAACTTTAAGGACCCAGCTGAGGTTTGTGACCATGAATTTCAAATAGATAGTCCACATTATGTGTTTTTATCCAGTCACATTCATCTGATAGTTACAGGTGCCAATAAATGGAGAGTTTGATTTAACAAGGTCTATGTTTATCCAAGCACAGCTCCAAAAGCAAAAGCCAGAAAGGATTAAAGCACGGGCAGATTATACTAATAGATTTTAATTTAAGTAAGTAAAGAGACAAGACATTAAGTAGGAGACAAACAGTGAAAGACAGAAGAATCAAAACACATTGTCCAGAGGAAGGGGTGGGGGGGCGGAAATGGTAATCAGAGAATAGGAGATGAAATGGAGATCATGGGAAGGCTGTGGTTCTAATTAATCACATGGTCTGTGATTTGACCATGGAAATGAGTAACTGAGCTAAGGTGGAGGATAAAACAACAACAAAATCACTGGAGAAGATAATTCAAGGAACTGAAAAGCCAGAGTGTCAGAAGAGCCACTGACACTAATATTGAAATCAATAAGAAATTAGGCAAGGCTAATTTAGGAATCAAGAGCCAGGAATCGTATTTGTTGACAAATGAGAAAGAGGAGTTAGTGATAACGTCACAATGAGACTGTGAGAGGTATGGTCTGCTGATATGAGATTCAGAGCTGGGAGGTTTTAGAGATAAGGAGGGAATGGTCTGAGAGGGGCAGTGATGTGCAAAGAAGACATCTAGCTGGGCGCCAGTCACATACCCATAATCATCGTTACTCAGGAGAAAGAGACCAGGAGGCCAGGCCAGGCAAAAAAGCAAGACTATTTCAAAAATACCCAACACAAAAAAAGCTGGTGGGGTGGCTCAAGTGATAGGTTGCCTGCCTAGCAAGTATGAGACCCTGAATTCAAACCCAAGTACCACAAAAAAAAAAAAAAAAAAAAACTAGAGAGAGAGAAACACCTAACTAACTCCTGGCATAAGCCCAACAGCACATGAGCTGTTGAGAAAGGTGTGTCATCAGGGAGAGCCAGGCTTCTATCAGACTAAGAAGATGAAAGAAATAATCACAAGAGACAGAAAGAATGAAAGGGATTTTGCTCATGAAGGACCTTCAATTTCTGAGGACACAGGGACAGAATTTGGGAGTCAGGGTAGAGTGGGAAAACATTTGCAACAGAAGGTATGTAAAGCTTACAGAAATCTGAGTGAGGGAGATGAAGAGTAGCCCAGCATTCTGGGACTGAATCCTGAGCTCAAGGCAATTAATGGTGGAAAGGCTGTGATTCTGGAAAGATTAGAAGAAGTAGGTGCCTGGGCTTCCCTCATTCCTGCTTAATAAAGAAGCTCCGGAAAGTCTGAGTATATATTGAGCCCATAGGCCCACTTCCCATGCCCAGCAGGGATGGGCAGAAGATATGTGTGCCTATGGGAGGTACAGGTTATAAACATACAGAATTAAGACAGTTTAATATATTATTATTAGAAAATTTACATATATTATCATTGTCAGATACATTTCTCTTGTTCTGCCATCAAATACATGACTACAAAACCAGTTTCCTCCTTGTAGCCTGAGGACAATCAGATTCAGACATAAGGATGAATAAAGGTAACACATATACACACAAAACATATATAGTATAACCTATATACAACTTATTTATCATGTATATCTACCCTGCAGACCTCATTAGTTTCTTATACTCCCCCTCTATAGACAGCTACCATTTCTAAGCCAAGGATGACCTCCATTCATATGAAGCAATTTCCCTAGCTCCTAAAAGGGTGTATCAGTTTTCTTTGAAACCTTTTTAAATTCTCAAAACTTTCTTGTTATTAACAGAATCTTTTTCCCCTGCCTGACTGGAGCATGACCCTTGCCAAATACATTAATGTTCATTCAGTAGATTTTTACAGAGTATCTTTGAGATACAGAGCTCTGTCCTATAGTAAGAATGCTAGAAAGCTCTGGAAATATCTGAGGCAAAGCTATTTTCTTAGCAGCTCCTTTTGGGTGGAGTAATGGGAAAAGCACCACTAGAACCAGGAAGACAGTCCTGGTACTGCTTCTGCCTGGCCATATAAACCAGGAAAAGGTACATCACCAAGTCTAAGCCTTAGAATCCTCTCATATAAATTGAGGAGAAGATTTGAGGCCTCTAAGGCCTTTGTCAGTTCTCAGTGTTCTTTAACCTATTAATATACTCAAATATCTCTCACTAGCCAATTCTATTTTTTTCTGAAGAGTCACATCAGCAGCAGCATCACTTGGACTAAACTAAGAAAGTAAGTATGAACAAAAAGAAGAAAAAGTGAGTTGTATTCCAACCTTTATTGTAATACTACAGTAGACTGCGTTTTAGGATGAGGGGGTACTATCAGTTTGCCACTTTTTAAAAGTTGTCTTCTTAGAAAAAGTACCTCCAAGAAAATACAGAAAATGCCACTTGGGGCAGAAATCCATGTGCTGTAACAACTTCACCATCAAGTGGTATACATGAATTACAGTCCAGATTATAACTGGCAATTTTTGATTCCTAATGTGTGCACAGTACATACAATCAGATGATTATACCATCGATTCTTAATAGTCCTAAGCACCCTTTATTTTAATCCTCCACATTCGTTCCTCCTTTGACTATATTATAGTTCACTAAAGTAGAGCAGGAAAAAAAGAAAGCAAAAAGAGTTCAATTGAATTACTTTTGCCATTTTAAGAAAGCTAAAATTGTATTTAGAATACCCTGATGTGACTTAATCATTGCCTGTTATTGCCAATGGTGGGTAAGAATTGACCGTAGAGTTTAGAAACAAAAAACACAGAAACATTTATGGAGCCAGAAGAACCACATCTGAATCCATCACATTCTAGTAAGCAGGAAGGATTCACAGTGATTATGAAGCAGTTATAATGTCATATCTTGACATTATAAGATTTTGAATTTGATGCCAAAACCCTACCAAGTAAGATGCACAAACTTGAAGACTGAGAAAAAGAAGAAAGATGAGCTTACCTGGATCTTTCTGTTCTCCCAATTTGTCTAGAATGTTGAAGGATATGTCAAGGTACTCTCTCTGGATAGCACTGACAGCAATCTTTCTCTGTTTCCTCTGCCTAGGAACAATCTGAATCTTAAATTCTGATTCTTCAGCTACATCTTCCTCCACCTTCCTTTCAAGATTCTGTTCTGTATCAGATTCAGCACTCGTATCAGGCTTCTCAATTTCTGTGGGATTCTCAGCATCTTCAGGAACTTTGAGGAGGACAGTTTTTGCCCCTGAACTTGGCATTTGCCCAGAGCTCTCTTCCTCAGTACTAGGGTCAGGGTAATCTTCCATTGACATCTCGGGGAGAGCAAATGACTTCTGAAGGAGGTCTCGTTTTTGCTTAAGCGTTAGTGGACTGCCACAGGAAAACTCTCGCAGTTCCTCTGGCTTTGATAATTCTTCAGAGTCTGTAGGATCTTCCAGGGCTATGAGAAGAGAGTCTTCATTGCCTGCTGACTGATTGTTTCCTGAGTCCTTAGAAGAAAAGTCTTTGGAACAGTCCTCCACACTCACTTGCACAAGAGGAGTTGTGCTTAGACTGAGGACAGAAGGACGGCTGGGGATGGAGGGAGAGGAGGCAGCATTTTTATCTGAGGGACCATCATTTCCTTGGTTCATGGTCTCTTCTTCTTCATCACTCTCCACTATTCGGAGAGGTGGGAGAGGCTCAAATACAAGAGAGTCACTGTCAGATGTTGAGATTAGAGAGTGTTTTTCAGGCCCAGATGTTGAATCTGAGGACAAATCTATCAGATCTAAATCCTCTTTAGGAGCAGACTTTACTGGGGAGTCAACTTTCACCTCAAACGTCTCCATGCAGTTTAACCTAACTTCTGGTATTACAGGCCTTCGTATTTCTTGAAAACCTTCCAGAGCTGGGTTCTCAGGGATTTCAATATTGTCAGGCCTTGTAGCAGAATTTTGTCGAGAACATCCGTGGTCATTTTGTCTTTGTGTGATGTAAGCTGCTTGGGCAGGAGGCTTATCTATGTCACACCGATCTATGCAAGACTTCCTACGATGCTCATCTAATGTAAACAAGAGGGAGTCTGCATTCCCTATATCAAGAGATTTTTGTTTTAAAGAGCGCAGCTTTTTTTTCTGAATGCTTTCTTCTCTCACACAGTGTAGAATGCTGTCTTGTAATGCACCCGTTTCTCTATATTCAGCCAGTTCTATTTCACCTGATTAAAACAGAAAAAGCTAGTACTATTTTACTTGGAGATTGCACCATTTTCCCCCTCATACTTGGGCATACTACTTATTCACATAAATCATAATCACAATCCCAGCTCTACCAGAAGGGAAAACTGACTTTCTGGTCAAGTTTTTGTAAGGTTCATTCTAATTTCAAAAGCTGGAAATCTTTGGGCTGAAAGAAACCAAAACAGTAGTTTAAGATCTGATTTCCAAAATCAAGCTTTAGGATAAGTCCTCAGCTCTATTCATTTGGGTACAAGACGGTGTCTTTTTCTTTTTTTTTTTTTTTTTTTTTGGCTGAGGCAGATCTAGGAGCCTGTATTCAAATTGTGTGGAAGAGAAGCAAACATTTTGCAACAAATCAAATCAAGCAATGGTCCTTAAAGACAATCATGATGTTAATGATGTATCTGTCAATTCACGTATATATATAAATGTGCATATATATATACTGTTTGTGCGTACATATATATAAATAAATGGTATCAAAATGTGTAGTAACATAATAAAATCAAGATTTCACCCCAAACAAACAGTAGAGTACAACATTTCTGCATAAAATTACTAAGAGAAAAAATTCATACTTCTCTGAACATTCATCTCAACCGGCTGATATTTCACCATTTTGCTGCCGCCTATCCTTTTCAATCTTGCAAAAAAAGTTTGAGACTCTTTATTGCAGGGTCCAGTAGGTGTATCATGAATATCAGATTCATCAAAAACACTATCTTCTTCTAATTGGGGAGAGAAAGTCAAAATTACACTTAAGAGGTTATTCTCTCTTAGGCTGTGTCTACACAAGCATTTCAGTGAAAGCATTCTGGGACAGTCTGGGGCATTTCTACACCAGCCAAGTCTAACAGAGGTTGTTATTTCATCCAGGCATCAAATTATCCCTACTTTGAACAGAACAATCTGTTACAAGATCACCTGCCATTTTCTATGTGACAATTGGCAGCATTTTTGAGAGGCATCACAATATTCTAATAGAGCCCTCCTTGGAGAAACTTTTCCAGTGCACTTAAAACCAAACAACACATAGATGTCAGTCAGCTACTTGATCCAGGAGTCTATGACACTGCTTGAACTTGCCTGCTATCTTGGACGGACTTTCAGGATAATTTGGTAAAAAGAAAATTAAATAACAGGGGTAGGTCTTGCCCTTTCTGGATCATATATGCCTTCCTGGGATTTGGGAACTGGCATAGACACAGCCTAACAGTACATGCACCTTATACTTTGTGAATGCAAAATACTGTACTCTACATTTGGTAATGAAACACACAACACACAGAAAAAGCTTAGAAAAGCCACTTGTCATCTCAAAAGCTCCACAAATGATTATGAACTGAAAGAATAAACAAAGGAAAAAGAAAACAGAAAATAACATTTCTTCCTATTAGAGTAACACTTTTCTCTGAGTTGTTTACCATGTGTAATTGTTATGGATCTCATGAATCCTAGAAAGAATATTTGACTTTTATGATCCTAATTCTCCATAAACAAATGGGTCACTTAATCCCTATTGAGCTTGTTTCTATGTCCTTCCTTCTGTCTCCATTTGGTCACTTTTAAATCAAAATCAACCCAAAGACTCATTAATAAAGAAAAAATTGCTATGTCACAACTCAAAAAATTTACTTAATAAATTTTCTTCTTTCATCTTTTGAAATACCAAAACCACATACAAAGCAGCAAGAGAAAAGGCTACTAAAATGTACTTAATGCCATAGTAAATGGAATTAACCTACTTTTTGAGTTGAGAATCACTGAAATCTTAATATTTGACTTATATGTATATTTATATATGACAAAATGAGGCTCAGATGTGATTATGATTACTCAGGATTTCTCAAATGTAAGGAACTATAAACACCAAGTTTAAGTATTGAACCTATCCTAATGCAAAAAAGTATACAAGTAAATGAAACCTGAAGTAGTAAATTTTGGATGACATAGCCATAGTTAATCTTTTTAATCAAATAAAAATGTTAACAATCAAAATGGATACAAAGTTCCCAGTGAACTTCCACAAAGATGAGATCACCCATCCAATTCCCATGTTTCTGAGAAAATGCAACAAAATGACCAGTTTTATTTCTTTATTTCCTTTTTAAAAATTCTCCTTTGAAAAATAGTTTTCTGAGAAAATAGCTATAACAACATCTATTACATAACTTTGGAATAATTTTCAAAATGTACCACATTGGACGATAGAGATGGGAACACAGCAAGACGGCACCTCCCATCTAGGAAGGTTCAGCTGGGATTGGCCCAAACACTGAGCACACATTGAGAACATCCATCGTTTAACTGAACCAACCCAATTTCCCAGAGACTTAAACTGACAGACAAGATATTCTTCAGGGAGGATCTGAATGGTATCAGAATGTAATCTAGTTGTCAGATTTTTTTGTCTGAAGCCAACCTAGATTCTTGGATCTTTCAGTAACAAACAGTAGAACACTGGCAAGAATTCACCCTACCGAAATATTTTGAGAGCAGTTCCTTCAACTCAGACAATACTAATCACAAAGGGTCATAAGGCACTGTCTTTCTCCCAGAATTAGATTAGATGATGTCACCTTTTATAGTTCTAATCATACTGTGACATTCATTAAAGATATTCACATTGGTTCTTCATCTCTCACCTGAAAACACCCAGACTGTAATTTTATCGTATTTAACATTTCATTATATTGTTGCTTTTGAGGAAAATCTAACAATAGAAAAGGTGTCAAAATTGGAAACAATTTAAACTTATGTACCAAAAATGTTTTGTTTCCATTTCCTTGAATCACTTCATATTAAATAATGAGGCTAGGAAAAAAGCATGTCAGCAAATTTAGACTGCTCAAATTCTGTGAGCACAAAATTCAGGGGCAAACTAGAGACTCTCAAATGGTAATTCCATTGACCACCAACCAAGATTTACATCACAGCCCAAAAGCAAAATGTTTTCAACATATCAAAGAAGACTTTACAAAGGCTATGAAATTAAATGGTAGAAAGTATTTTACCTAACATTTCTTATGATGTATGCTTTACAAGCATACCAGTTATTTCTCTTGAGTGCTCAATCAAAAAGTGAAAGCAGTAACATTCATAGGAAAGTTGGAAAATTAACAAAATAGTAATTTCTTTTACTCTACAACAATATGTAAGGGTGCTCCTCTATCTCCTAAGAAAATGTAATTATTTCTCTCCAAAATGTGTAATGTATTCAAGCTAAGTTTGGGATAGAATTTTGACATGGAAAGTACCTTTTTCTTTTTCGCTGTATCTGCTTATGTTACTGTTGTCACTGTACAAAGGTCCTGCTGTGGCATGGGGCTTGCAGCTATGATACTGTGCATTGAGTGTATTGACTGTTATGTGAATCAGGTGCAGCAGGATCTTGCTGATATCACAGTCTCGGTATGGATACTGCTCAATAAAATAGGAGGAAAAAAATACAGTTATTTTAAAGAACAGGTTTTTCCAGGTGATCTTGCTAGATATTTTTTCAATACCTCTTGAGCATTAAAAGAACTGTACAAAAAAAGTAAACAAAGATTCTGATAATGGTATTACTTTTAAAAAGGACTATATTATTTTCTTCTTACACCAAACCACTGACAGCAAAACAGGCCAGTTCTACAACTGCCTTTAAGAATATTATATGGCATACATATTTGGTAAAAACAATTTCAAATATCTGCCTTGTTTTCTGACATGATAATACCTAGATAAAATATCATGTTCTGAGCCTAGAGGTTGTTGATCGATTCCTACAATTCATCACTTTTCAAAACATTTTTAGAGCATACATTGATATGGCCTCCTATTTTTATTTTCATTCCAATAGCTCTTTGCTTCTCAGAAGTAATTGCATATACCGAAGGTCAAAATTTTATCCCACAAAATTCTCAACTCAAGTCTCTTAGGTGTCCTCCTATAGCTGTACTCTCTTGAGAGAACTATTCCATCCAAAAAAAGGAGGGACTTCAGCCACACACCTTGTACAGGATGACAAGCAAGGCCTTCAACCACATCTGCCGGATGTGAGGTTTTAGGGACCAAAGGGAACAACGAGGTGGCTGTTGGAAATAATGCCGTAGTTGAGGACAAGAGCAGTATTTGAGCACCTGAACCACCAAGGGAAGAAGGTGTTTTCCCAAGTTAATGTTATAGTCCATAACCTGAAATAGAAAGAATATTAGTAACTGAAAGAAACTATAAAGAACTCTCAGAAGTCAAAAGGAAAAATATGAATCATCACAGCAAAAACACAGGCAAAATGTTTTTCTCATGGTACTGGGGTTAATACTTAGCAGGCATCTCACAAGATATTAACAGCAATACCCAGTATACAGAAAGGGAGAAGTTAAAACTCACAAAAACTTTTTAAAAACCTTTTGGAAAGTTTTAACTATCTATTTCAGTACCTATTAAAATAAGATTTTTTTATCTATTAAAATAAACTATCAACTAGAATTAAACTACTCTCAATGAAAAAAACTCATATTGAGAAATAGGCATTCTTAGTCACCACTGGCAAGAGGACAATTTGGTACAACCTTTCAGGAGAGCAATTTAGCAACATGCATTCAAAAGTAAGAAAAACTACATACCCTCCAATATAGCAATTAAATGTATCCTAAAGAAATAATCAGACAAGTGTTCCAAAATATATGTATAAAGATTCAGTAGGACTTTGTGGCCCAAATTGAATATAATCTCCACATTCAACCATATGGAATTAATTAAGTAAAATATTATTTATATAACATAATACTTTACAGCTATTAAAGAGATTATATGAATTTATTTATATGATATGAACTTAATAATAATTAGGTTTAAATAGGTTACATATAAGTAAGTATGTATAATATGATCCTATTATTATAAAAAAGTGTGTAGGTACATACACACATACATTTCTGGACTTATATACAGGTATGATACAGATTTGGAAAGACCAATATACATCAAAATGTTAATAAGTTACTTTTGTCATGTATTTCCTGGGGTTTTTAAACTTTTAATTTTTAAATTGCATTTCTAAAGTAAACATGCACAATATAGATTCAGAGAAGAAAAGGAGGGAAGGTGGAAAGCAGGATCTGTTATCTAAAATAGTACTTTATGTTTTCATAACAGACAATTGAGTATTAATGGTGATCTACCCAGTTATCACCATCAGCAAAAGGTAACGATGTACATATTATTCTCACTTTGCTTATCTGTGTTCATTATATTACAATCTATTTGAGCAAATTGATAATAACAGGTACTGTCTATTGAGTTCCTACCATATGAAAGGCATTGATTAAGGTACTTTGCAGTATGTTACCTCTAATTGAAGAAAATTAAAAAAACACCTGTTACCCATGAGCAAATAAACAAGTATAGGATGCCTAAGGTCATAAGAGCTAGTAACAGTGGCAAAGCTAAAATTCAAGCAGACATCTTTCTAACCACAAATCCTACACTTTTGCAGATTGCTGTAGCCAATCTTGAGAATGAAATTTAAAACACTGATCTAACTGGACATACACATAGCCTATGATCCAGCAATTCTACTTCTAGAGCCATATCCCCAAAGAATTTTCACAGTGGTCAATAAGGTGTGTATATGAGAATGTTCATTGCTGAGCTGTTTGTAGTAGTAAGGAAGTGAGAACAATATGAGTGTCCATTGCTATGGGAAGAGATACAGTATGGGAGATATAAACCCTGACACACGATTTAGCAGTTAGAAGTAGCAGACAAACATGAAAAAGACAATGATGATAGTGTGATATAAAGTAAGTTACATTGATTAACCCAACTCTCTCCACTTGAAGCCAAGAAAGGGAAAAAGATTTTTAAAAAACACACAAACAAAAAATCCTGTACTCCCTTATTGTTTAACAAGTTCAGAGTTTTAGTTTAGGATAATGAAAAAGTTTATACATGGATAGTGATGATGGTTATACAACAATATGAATGTTCTTAGTTGCCACTGAATTGTACACTTAAAATGGTCAAATTTTAGGTTACATACGTTTTACAAAAAAAGAAAAAACCCATACACATTCCCTTCATGTTTCAGATAACTAATTCTTACTCATTTTTATATTCCTCTCCACATACTCTTGCCTAATACCAAGGCATTTAGACAAACCTTTACACTCAATGCTGGCTAACTGGAATTTAGTGCCTTGGTACCAAAACCCATGATGTGACTTCCGAAAACTCTTATTATACTTACTTGGGCAATTCCTGCAATAAACGCATTAAAGCAAGTTGATAGGCGCATTTTCTGAGGTGCAATCATGAAGCAACCTTCTTGTTGGTCATAACCCAGTAAAACATACAGGTGCCGCTTGACCGTGTTGAAAGCCTTTGCACTGCTGATGTCTGACTCAGCGCTGCTCTCGTCCTTGGCCATAAACTTCATGAGCACTGTAATTAACTGATGAACTGTCTGGTGGTCAATTCCAGCATCTTCTGGGAGCAAGTCCTTGATGGTGTTGTCATTCTCAGGAGATTGTTGTCCTGTCAGTGCAAGAAATGCAGTCAGTGGGTAACTCCCCCACAGTGAATTCACATTAAAATCTTACTTGACACTGACATTGCAGTACTCTTTCTGTTCCTAGTACATATTAAAAGGTTCTGGTCTAGACATGAAACTCAAAGACACACAGTTGGGCTCGTAAGCAAAGCATCAGTCCAGGGGTAGAAGTTACAGTGTTCGTCAGCACCAAGTTACTTGGGAATAAGAAGGGAATGGAAATAAAAATAAGGGGCTATAAAGCAATGTTATTCTCAAACTGTGAGATGAAACTATGAGATGAATACCTAAATAAACTTTGCATTTAGTCATTTTTAATATATTGGCAAAGTTTTACTCTCAGTAATAAAGAGAAATTTCTTTTCCAGCTTTCTAAAACATAAGCATAACTCCAAAAATAACAGTCTAAAATCCACTGAGTATAAAAGGATCTATTTGATTATTTTGTTCAAAATATTAGCTCACTTCAATTATGCTCATGAATCAGATGGGACAAAAAATTCTTTTCAAAATCCTGAGATTCAGCAATGTGTACTCTTTGAATGACAGTCAAAATTATAAATAGCACACTATAAGCCCGGAAGTAGTATGCAATGAAAAACATATGGGGGAAGGGGAGACAGACAGAAAGAGAAGCATGAACTTTAAAAAACAGAAACACACAACATTAAGGTGAGCTAAAAGTTCACATGGAAAGAAAAAAACCTGAACCCATGGCTTCCTTTTTTTGGGGGTGGGGGGAGGCTGGGATTTGAGCTCAGAGCTTCATGCTTGCAAAGCAGGCACTCCAACGCTTAAGCTCCAACTCCAGCCCCCTGGGCTTCCTCTTAACTTCATAAGTAACTGTTTGAGCAGCACCCTGACATTGACTTTTTCTGCTTTTTTTGAAGTCAGACATTGTATCTTATCTCCCTTTGTTCTTTTGCTCCTCATGATCAGTTTTGGTTTAGGACATTTGGGGAAAGAAAAGTGATATTTGTTCTTCTGTATTTATGTTTTGGGGCTTCTTCAAAATACTCTACATTATCTGCCCTTCTTTTGACAAACATTAGAACTTCTAAATTGAAAATTAAGTTTTTGTCTAGTATGTTAGGTCAGTACACCAGCATTCTCATCTCACATGCTACAAGGGAAAGTTCTACTAAATAATGACAAGGTTTGGTTACAAATCTTTATCAACTTTGGTTACATCCATTAAAATTATGGTATAAATGATTCAATTAATTTGGAAACATCTCAATCTTGGACACAGCCAAGAAAAAAAAATATGAGAAATGTTTCTATGGATGGCAGAAATGAGCTGTCTGAAGCCCACTTTTCTGTGGGACGTTAGCACGAAGATAATGTCAAATTCATAATTTACTAATTAAGACTTGCATATAAAAATTATGGTTTTCTAGTTTCCTTAGATGATTCAGAAGAATGTTGGTCTGTTCAAAGTGAAATAATAAGAAGGGACAGTTGGCAATGAAGGAATAGTTTGGCAACCAACTTAGCTAAGAGTCTCTAATATTAGGAAACTATCTGACATTCTTCAGTATGATTCTAGGACATTAACATTTCTGTCTCATTGAGTCTATCCATGAATATATGCTATATACTTTAGAGAATTTCTTGACCAAAAATGATTCAAATAAAACTTAAGGACTTGTTTATTGCAGTGTTCCACATGCAGAGAGTGGACCATAAATTATTAACATTATTGTTCACTAGGCATGCATCAGAAATTAATTTGTGTAGAACACTTTATTTCAATGAGAGTGTGAAAATGTGAAACATCACTGTACAATGTAGTTAAATATTTATAATATATGATTTGGACAAAAACAATGCTTATGTAAATCCTTATAAAATACAATGGATAACATTTAGAGAATTCTCTTTCACCATTGAAAACTATCTACCTTTAATTTTTTTTCCAGAGTATTATTTTACAACTAGAAGGACATTGTTGCTTCAGGCAAGTTTGGGCCAAAAATGTGACACAGAATCTAAATTCCCTGCAGGGTCCAATGCTATTACAGCAGCAAATGATAGCTGTTACAATATAGCTTCAACACTCAATCCTTTTTAGCACTAGGGTGCGAGGTTTAGGAGAACACGTATCACTCAGTCCTGCTTGGCTCCAACAAGTACTGACTGTCTTGACTCCAAAGTCCCAAAGCTAAAAACATGGAAGGTGGGGACATCTAAGAGGGATTTGCATCTTTGATTTGAAACCCTGAAAAATCTAGAGACTTTGATCTAAAAGAAAAAGAATTCACAACTAGGACCCTGCCCCCATTTCATTTCAATCTGAGTCAAGTCTAGAAAACAGGCCATCATATTTCAGCTTACATATTCCAAACTCTTCTCATTACAAGCGAACATGTTTTTAAAAGTGTGTAATCTTAGCCAAACATGATGGCTCATGCGTGTAATCCTAGTTACTCAGGAGGCAGAGATCAGGATGACTGTAGTGTGAGGCCAATGATGGCAAACAGTACAAGACCCCATCTCAACCAATAATGTAATAAAAAGCTGGGCATGGTGTTGCATTTGTCATCCCTGTTACACAAGAAGTATAAATAGGAGGATCATAGTACAGGCCAGCCTGAGCATAAAAGCAAGACACTATTCAAAAAATAGCTAAAGCAATTCAGGGCATGGCTCAAGTGGTAGAGCTCCTGCAAGTGTAAGACCCTGAGTTCAAACCCCAGTGTCACCAAAAACAAAAAGGTGTGTAACCTAAGTTTTCCCAGCAAATCATAGTTTTTTCACTTTATATGTGCCCAAGTTGCCCTGTAGATTCATCTTTGTTGATCTTTAGTGCTTTAACATGAAGTTTTCTGTTCTTACTTTGCTTCCTCAGAATCATCAGTAATGATCAACCATTAAATGTACTGAAAAAAGAGCTAGTTAAAGGAACTTTTGCATAAAGTAAAAATAATCATTTTTATTTCAATAATTTACTGTCTCATTGTGGGCTTTGCAAGCTTGCACTTTTTCTTTAAAATAGAGTAAACCTGGGACTGGTATGCTCTTCATAAAGTAAAGTTAACTTAATCAAATCCCTATGAAAAATCAGCTGTAGAGAAGCTGGAATATTGTTCATTGATAAAGACAATATTACTATTTTAATTATACATAAGTGGTAAAATTTAAGCCTCCACTTTAAAACTAAATAGCTACAAATATTTTCTCTAAGGTATGACAAATAGCAGTTTTAAATTATAGTCTGTGTGTCCTTTATCTTTCTTAACCATGGTGATTTAAGATGTTAGGGGATTTGATTTTATTATTTCTATAAAGAAAAATATTGATATATTTATAATCATAGAGGCAGAGCTATTTCTACCATGACTTTAGTGTAGACTAAGTCCACCACAGCTTGTCCACAGAGATGGATAACTGATTGAAATTTAAAAGGAGAATACACTGTTATTGATTCAGATGACTTGAAACCAGGCAAGATCAGGATCTGCTTTTCCAGACTTATCTCCTGGCACTCCAATCAGAATGTTCAGCATTCCTACAAGCTGAGCTACTCTCAGATCTCAGAGTAGAGCCAACACTGGTCCACTTTTATGTCTTTATTCTTAGTTCTCTCTTCACCCTCATTTTATGCTATGATCTAGTCCCCAGATGCCATTCTTATTACATGTGCCCACCCTCCCCTCAGTAATTGAATGTGATCCCTAAATTCTGTTACTTTCCAAAGACAAGAGGGAAGATGGATGGAGAAAGAGAACAATGGAGAAATTTTCCTTTAGCATATCCTAACATTCATATGGCATGTAACTATTATGCAAATCAGAACCTTTTATTTATTCATTTGCTTTTTTCCCCTACAAGAACATATACTCCTTGAAGGCACATGCTATGTCTTATCCATATTTATATCCTTTACAGAATATGGGGCAGTATCTGACACAGATACTTATTGTTTACGAAAGTCCACTGAATTCAATAGTATGTCAGAGCTTGTCTTCTATGTAGGAGAAAAATTGATGAGGCCCCAAAACAGCAAGGAGCTGACTAGAGAAACAGAGAACTTCTGCCATAAAAGCTGACTTACTGACTCTTTTATCAAAACAATAGTGACAATTAAGTAGAGGAGAAAAGGCTTCTTGTGAGTTTATTCTGTATTTGATCAGGAATGAACAATGATCAAACACTATAAATGAGTTAGGAAGTCAAAGTTAGGTGATTTACATAAACCCTATAGGTAAAGAGGTACTATGTATATATGAAATATTGCTATATGCCTACTATCACAATTATTCACTCTGAAGAATGAGGAACAAGATACAATTCAGTGCCATATGTTCACTGAATTGATACTACTAGTGCATATGTTCATTGAATTGATACTATTTGTTCTGTATTGTGCTAACAACACAATTGCTGAATTATGTTCAGTTGATCTTCAGTAGGCATTCTAGATATCCAGAGGAAGAGAATTCCTAGCTGTGACAGCATCAGTGAAAATATACTTTATATCCAATTATACAATTTTCAGGTTAATAGTTCAAAAGATTCTATATCTCATCAATTAGGATGAAATAAAGGTACTGAGCGCCAACTAGAAATGACCTCTCATGCTTTATAAATAGAGAGCTCAGGAACTCTGGGCTTGAGACCCAGGTCTGTCACCAGCAACTTTGTGATACTTTTTCCTTTATAAGAAACTCAGTTTCTTCCTCTATAAAAGGAGAATGTTAGCATATCTCTAAGGTTTCAGTTATAACATTCTATGATTTTTATTTATTGTACAAAGGCCTTTGATTCAACTCATAAAAATCACAGAGGAACGCAGCTCTTTACAAGCCTTGCAGAGAATACCTTCTATTGAAATTAGTATGTTCTATCTTATTTTCTGTGGTCCTGTGAAAAGGTTAAGATCAGACAGTAATAAATTGTAAATCCAGTGCCAAAAAACTTCAGATTAAAGCAATTAAAATTAAGTCTTACTGCATAATTAAATAGCATCTGCTTTATTTCAGGCCTAATCAGTAAGAGGTCTGCACAGAGGAGCTCATTACTTACACTAAACAAAACTATGTTCATTAAGTAGCAAATTCTCCAGTTTTCACTTAATTACTGTTTTAAACAATCCTGCACAACCTTATATTTTATGTCTTTGCTTCCAAGTTAAAACATTCAGTATCCAGTCAATAATAATGCAAAAATGAAACATTAATTTGAAATTGCCTTATTAACTGAGCCAACTGTTTCCAAATCTAAGCAAATTTTACTTATAGTGTTGGTATATAAATTATCTCTCCAGAATTTTTAGCCTCATATTTAATTTAAACAGTGCTATTTTCTGCCCATTTTCCATCTGGTCATTTTTGGTAGGATGCTTAGTTGCCTGAAAGCTTTTCTTAACTTCAAGAAACATATGTACACTTTCTTATAGAGACTGAGGGAATTCCTTTTGTTGGATCATTAAAGTGGATAATAATAATTAAAGACTAGCTTTTCAAGTAAGCCTTAAGATAAAAAGATAAGCTGAGATAAAATGAAGAAAATGTATGAAATACAAAAGAGCAATCTCAAAGAAGGCCTCACTAATGAGGAACTGAACGGATTCCACATTTCTATCAAGCTCAGGATCAGAAGTTCTTATTTCTATTCTTTCTCTCTCTCTTTCTCTCTCAACAGTAAAGGTGTTCAGGTAGCAGGACTCTGCCAAGTGTTTGCCATTCCTTTTTTTTCTCATTAATTTTAAAAGAGAAAATATACTTTCAGTCATTGTCCACCATCTGCATTCATGATCTTTAGGGATCTCTCTTTTCTCTCCCATTCCTTACTTCCTCTCTTTCCAGTGTCCTTTTTTATAACACATAATGCTCATTATCTTCAAAGTCTCCTTACTTGAAATTTTCTTTCTCAGCATGTTGACATCATTCTGAAAAGTTTTATCTTAAAACTATCCTTAGATGAAAAAACAAATTTTCTATAAAATGACATATAGGTGGTAGTTAGCAAGCTTATTTTTGACAAATATATAAGTATTCAGAACTTTTACAATCTTTCCAATCTTCACAATGATTGGCACTATTTGTGTGGAAAACATTCATTCTGTAATGTCCTTGCCAATGTCTCTTTGACCCTTAAGATACTTCATGATACATTATACTGTATCATGGAACATCAAATGATAAGTTACACTGTACCACCATGCTGAATATGATCTTATGATCCTTCAAACAATGGAAATGTTCCTTTATTCTGAGAAACAGAAATACAAGTAGAGTAGCAAAGAATTGGGAATGGCTAAGAGGATGAGCAAATGAGGGTGGTTCAAATGTATAAACTTTAAAAATATAAATGAAATGTGTTTTGCCTAAAGCAGATATATAAATATATGAACATAATATTTCTATGTGTAACTATACATACAAATATAAGTATTATGTATAGTTCTAGTCATCTTTGCTCTCTGTGGAAAAGTATATACTCAGGTAATATGATGATTCTTACTGGACCAAAAGTTAATGAGATCAAAAGTCATCTGCTAAGAGTAAAATGGAAAGAATTGCCATGTCAGGGGTTCAAGCACTTGAGTGTCTGGGGTAAGACCCTTTGGAACTTGCAAATCCTATTAATATCACTCTGGTCCAGTTAGAGACACCGAAGTCTTTACCTTGTCCACCTGTGATAAATACTTGCACAGGCCCTTCAACGTCAGAAGTACCCACCTGGTGTCTGTTCAGGTGTCCCACCGAGAGCTGGAGCAGACTGCTCATGCCTGGTCAACCTCACAGCTTAAAAATCAACAACAACTCTATTTAAATAAGCATTAAAGACAATTTGAGCCTAGAAAATATACTTAGTACTAACTGCTTTGGACACTAGAAGCAGGTTTAATTTTCCTATTTGTAACTAACATCAGAGAAAAATAAGTTTATGTACAAAAGTTTTGTGGCTTTACTTGGATCTCAAGAAGATCCTTCAATGTTACTTCAATTATTAATCATCAAAATTGTCACGTGAATTAACAAGAAATAACAATAAACTTTATGTGCCAAACTCATCAGTTAAATTATAAAACAGCTGGGAAGCTCAAATAAAAATTGCAATCTATTTAATCTATGTATTGGTTTCTAGGACTGAAGCAAGTTTCCCCTAGGGTCTCACACTACTGTAGGTTTTTCTTAAATGGCCACATGTGATTATATTTGCTCCCTGAAAAACTGGGTTATTGATTACTTAAAAGGCTTTCCATAAACTCATCCAAAGTTCAACAGGTCATATTCTTGTAGATTTGTCATAAAATAAAGAAAAATGTAAGAAATAAAATTAAATCATATTTATGATTAAAATGGCTATGTTGTATAAGGCTGTTTTCTAATGTCAATGAAAAAGCAAACCTTTCAGCTTGTGACAGGGTAAGAAATATATTTTAGATGTTATTTTATTAACATCACAGATGTTATTTAAAAATTAAAGCATTTAATAGTTTTTACAAGTTAGTAATATATTTAAGTATGCTCATTCATTAATATGATGATTTAGTTATGAATTTTTAACTATTTGTCACTCATGTACCATTGCTAAACAGTAGAGTTTAGTCATTTGGTTATTTAAGGAAAATTTTATTCTCTTTAATAGTGAAATATAAAGAAAGACCTTAATAAAATAAGTGTATATGTAGTCTTTTTAAAAAAATTGGCAACAAAGCTTGTTTTCATTTATAAGTTATCTGGTAAAGTTGGACAGAAATTCAACTTCTGCCTAGCCTGATTTTCCTTTTTCAAAAGCAACCACTATTACTAGTTTGTCTATGGCTGCTTCTAGCATGCATGAGAAAAAACAAAACAAAACAAAAAAACCATGCATTCTGAATTTCACCTCTACCTCCTTAGCTGCATGGGTCTTGTTGTTTATATCTTATTCAGAAAGTGGCTGGTGTGCATACTTTTGTATGCTAGGAGTTAGAAGCAAATGCTTCTCTTAAGTTTCATACCAAGCATCAGAAGATTTGCTGCCTTTTACATTTCAAAACCATCTACTACTAGATCAGGGCTTTGCTGCATCCACAAGCTAGAAAAAGTCACACAGGACATTTACAGCCCTGGGGTGATTTTCTAGGGACTCTGAGAGCCATCTTGTTAACAAGCTCAATTTGCAAACTCTGCTACTTTTGGTGAACATTCAACAAGACAAGTCAGTCTCAGAAAGACATAAAACAGATTTAATGGAAGAATGATAGAAGATACTCAACGAATTTTGGAGGTCAGGGTCTCGGGGAGGGAGAGTGCTCTCTTAGATTCCACTGGCCCTTTCACACTGTCCCTCAGAGATCTCACACTCTTCTGTCGATTTCTTGCAAAGCGAGCCCTCTTGATCTTCCACAATGCAGCATCACTGAGGTTGGCAACGTTGGTTCTCACAGCAGTGATGGCTTTGCATAAAAGGAATTAAAGAGGTTATCATTTTCTTTGGCAAAATGATACAGCTAGTTTAAAGCAATCCATCTATGCGTAGTTCCAATATGAAAAAGACATCTTTCATGGATGCATGAGTCATCCATATCCCTGTAGGATAAGTCATATGTTTTAAAAAATCATGACTGTTCTCTATCATGACTATCACTTTTAGACTGTAAGATTAAATCACTGATTTTTAAAATATTCTCTTTATCTACTTAGAGCTATAGGCAACTGATCAATAAGTATACAAGAGTTTACAAGGTATAAACAGATTTCACAAAATTGCTCTAAACATAATGATTAAATATTTAAGGAACACACCATCATAAGTAGTTATCTTAGGTCCTCAAGAAAATGAGAAAAATTCAAATTTTGAAATGCCAGAATATACTTAAATCTATGAATGAATATAACAGAAACTCAGTGAACAGTTGAGTACATGAAGTTAGGGCATCCTCCTCCATATGGGAATTGAAGCTACATGCCAAGTATCTCCCGCTTACCTAGCAAGAACAACAGGAGCTAAGACTGTTTACAATGAGTTCTTTGTTTTACTTACTTGTAGGAAAAGGAAATTCTTTGTTGCAATCCAAATGTAGCTGAGCTTCCAAAGAAAGCGTCTCAAATCTATTGACAAAGAACTCCCAGCTCAAAGCAGGAATATCCTGCTTAAGAAAATGCAGGAGTAAAAGCTTGCTCAATATTGTGGGTCGGTCTTTAACTACAGTGTCAAACTGGAAGTCAAGACAAAGACACAGACCCTGGAAAAGGGGAAAAAAGAAAGTCAGACGTAAACATCTAAAATTCTTCAAAGACAACAAACATATTAGGCAGAGTCAATGAAACACGGGAATGTCTGTAAACCATATTTAAAAATAGAAGGATCCAATTGAAATCTTTTTGGATGGCAAGCATTGGTAAGAGAAAAATGTAGAAGAGGACTTTCTCCTAATTGCAGAATATCTATTGAATTTTGATTAAAAATGCGAACTAAATGTATGCTATTCATTTTCTAATGCATTAAATAACAACCACATAATCCAAGTACAACTGAATCTTTTTTAAATGTCTGTAGGGTTTTTTCATTGTGAAGAACACTTTCAAGGCTACATTTTAGAATACAAAAGAATATGGTCTTTAAATTCCCTTTCAATCCTAAATTGTGTGATTATAAAAGAACATAAAGTCACCTTGTGTTCTTGAAATAGAAGTGGAATGGATGGAGCATCCATTTCTCTAGTCTAAGAACCTATCATTCCTCTTCTTTTTAACTGACTGAAATTTAAAAGTTGTAATTCATCCAGCCATCCCATTTATTCATTTGACTCTCACCTAATGTGTGTCTCCTATGGTTTAGGCCCTGAGCAGGTTTCATATTAGGGGAAGGACATACAACTTTCTGGTAAGACAACAGAGAAGGACTATCCTGAAGACACATTAATTTCCTGTGCGTGGGTGTTACCTTCTAGGTTAATTCTTCTTGATCTAACCTTTTCTCTAGTTCCTGGTCCCCTTCTCCTATTGGCCTCAGTTGCTTTAAGGTATCTGCTTTAGTTTCTCTGCATTGAGGGCAACAAATGCTATCTAGTTTTTTAGGTGTCTTACCTATCCTCATATCTCCCTTGTGTGCTCTCGATTTATCATGTGATCAAAGTCCAATCCCCTTGTTGTGTTTGCCCTTGATCTAATGTCCACATATCAGGGAGAACATACGATTTTTGGTCTTTTTGGGCCAGGCTAACCTCACTCAGAATGATGTTCTCCAATTCCATCCATTTACCAGCGAATGATAACATTTCATTCTTCTTCATGGCTGCATAAAATTCCATTGTGTATAAATACCACATTTTCTTAATCCATTCGTCAGTAGTGGGACATCTTGGCTGTTTCCTTAACTTGGCTATTGTGAATAGTGCCGCAATAAACATGGGTGTGCAGCTGCCTCTGGAGTAACCTGTGTCACAGTCTTTTGGGTATATCCCCAAGAGTGGTATGGCTGGATCATATGGTAGATCAATGTTTAGATTTTTAAGAAGCCTCCAAATTTTTTTCCAGAGTGGTTGTACTAGTTTGCATTCCCACCAGCAGTGTAAAAGGGTTCCTTTTTCCCGGTATCCTCCCCAACACCTATTGTTGGTGGTGTTGCTAATGATGGCTATTCTAACAGGGGTGAGGTGGGATCTTAGTGTGGTTTTAATTTGCATTTCCTTTATGGCCAGAGATGGTGAGCATTTTTTCATGTTTTTTGACCATTTGAATTTCTTCTTTTGAGACAGTTCTGTTTAGTTCACCTGCCCATTTCTTTATTGGTGCATTAATTTTGGGAGAATTTAGTTTTTTGAGTTCCCTATATATTCTGGTTATCAGTCCTTTGTCTGATGTGTAGCTGGCAAATATTTTCTCCCACTCTGTGGGTGTTCTCTTCAGTTTTAGAGACCATTTCTTTTGCTGAGAAGAAGCTTTTTAGTTTTGTGAAGTCCCATTTATCTATGCTATCTCTTAGTTGCTGAGCTGTTGGGGTTCCATTGAGAAAGTCTTTGCCTATACCTATTAGTTCCAAAGTATTTCCTACTCTTTCCTGTACCAACTTTAGAGTTTGGGGTCTGATCATATGCTGAAACTTAATTATCAAAGTGGATAGTATTAGGAGGTAAGGCCTTTGAGAAGTGATTTAGGTCATATGGACAGAAGCCCTCATGAATGGGAGTAGTGTCCTGAAGCAGAGCCCCAGACACAGTGAAATGCACCATCTGTGAACTAGAAGGTAGGCCCTCACCAAACCCTAACTCTGCTAGCACCTTGAGCTTAGGCTTCCCAGACTCCAGAAAAATGGTATATTATATTGTTTAGGAGCTACCCTATTTATGATATTTTGCTATAGCAAGTCTAAAAGACTAAGACATGTGACACAAATAACTAAATGATTCAGTGGTACTGACACAGACCCTCTGCAGAGCAAGTAACACACACCATACATCACCTGCAATGCTGGCCTCTTTATGGTGTCAAGCAGGAGACCTGCCCTGGTGGCCACTGCTGGGTTGACATCCTCCACAGCTGTCAGAAAGCAGCAGAAGGCATGTGCCAGGGAATACTTCAGCAGGTGATTTTTGGTCACTGAGTGAATATCCAGAAATCTACAAATTACAGCCACTTTTTCCACTGCAATGTAAAATACAGTGAACAAAATGCATATATGTATATATTGACATTTACTTAGGCAGTATGAGAACTGAACCCACAGAGAAAAAGTTAACTTAGGTCCTTCTCATGGCAATTTTAAATATTAAAGGAAATTCTACTGTCACCCTCTACACTGTTCAATTTCATCTGTGCAAAAGAAATTATTTCTACACAGTGCCAGGCAGCTTTGATTTAGCTCTTGGTTGTCTCTTAGACTTTTTAATGGTCTTCTCTTTGTGTAAACTTCAGCTACATTTCAATCTATCAAAATGCCTCCTTGCTCATTTCTGTGGTCATTCCACGGAACCTCTGCAGACCACAGATGGAGAGGAGAGGTGCCCCCCAGGCCTGGCTCTAGGTTCTGAGTCTCTATTCTACTCTTACTAGGTCATGATGTGAAATGACAAATCAAATAAACACTTCCCAGGACTACAGAAGCCAAATATGTCTTCCATGATATAAATATACTTTTACTTGATAGATTTTTAGTTATTCTGAAAAGCTGTGTTAAATTATTCCTCCCTTAAAGTATAGCTGTATAAAACTTTCATAGTTTGTGGGTTGGCAGAATATTTCAAGTGGTGGCACACCTGCTTAGTAAGCACGAGGCCCTGAATTCAATCCTCAGTACTGTCAAAAAAACCCAGTTATAGCTAGTAAGCAATATAGTATGGTGTGAATTAAAATGTTTCAGTGCTTTTCTTAAGCTATTCCAGCAATCTAGAATATTCTTTCTACACTTTTCTGCTTATTGACATTCTACCATCCTTGAAGAATCTACCACATTCTACCTATTCTATAAAGTCCACTCTGACCTTTCCATTCCATGAGCTCCTATAAAAACACTACTCATTTACATGTTATTAATTTGCATATGGCATTTGTGTGCTCATATATAGCTATTTGACACATCTTTTGGGAGGGTTATAGTTTATCAATCTCTTACATATTTGTATTTTGTCTCATCAATTAAATTGGGAGTCTCTTGAGAGTAGGAACCTTCTCTTTAAGATCTTTTATTGTTCTCATAGTGCCTAGTACATGTGATATTTGTTCAATAAATTCAGGGGTTCACTTATTTTTTAAATACATGTTGAGCTTATAACATGTATTTAGGTATTTGGGAAGAGATGGAAGTAAATGGAAAGATTCATAACTTTTGACTTCAAAGTCAAGTTAACTAAAAGTGATTAAGACAGGTACAATTGTAGTTGAAATGTAATATAAAAGGCTATAAATGCCTCTAATAAGGTACAAAAAGTTTATGGATGATCAGAAAATAAACACTTTCTACCAAGGGGATCTTGAAGGTAAAACTTAGTAGCATTTGAAGGGGGGTAAATGGAGGTGATATTGGAGCAGAACCTTGAAGGAAAGAGTTATTTTAGAAGAAGAGCACTGAATGGTCAAGTTACAGAGGAAGGGAAGCAGGAAGCAGTGGGAAAATAGCAATGACATGTAGAAAAAGAAGAGAGGGAAATGAGGCTGCACTTATAGTTGGGCTACAGGAGGCTTTGTCAATTAAGAACTCTGAACTTTATTCCCAAGGACTAAAAACCCATTAAAATTTTTTAAGTTGAAAAGTAGCATAATCAGAACTGCAATGCAGATTTTAACCTGGCAACAATCTCATACTTAAGTTGGAATAAAAAACATAGCTAAATATTTGCCTGATTTGCATTTAAATTTCACATCCCCTATACAATGTTGCAAATACCATGTTGATTTTTGCTAAAAAAATTAATACTCTATAATATCTAATTCCCTACTATCCCCTAGGATTTATGCAAGCAGCAAAATGCAAGCACTCTTTGAAGTGGATATATATAAGAACACTGAACTCTAAGGTATAATAGTTCACTCATCTGATGGAACTTCCATTTTTGTGGCAAATGTTTGAGACTCTAAAATACCTAGGAGTGTTCTGATGAACTATGCTGTGGCATGCTGACCCTGCTTACGGCCCCCAAGAATGGAAGTACTAGAAGAATGGATATGAAACTAAGACAGCCCCCACATTCCTTCCTTACATTACTCTGAGAACTTGCCATTCTATGTACTAGAAAATTTTAACTATCACTGCACCAGACCTGGTCCTTGATGCTTCATTGGCAAGGGTGTACAGCAGATATTATCAAACCTCATTGAGTTACCTAGACAACTTGTTTAAAAACCCAAATTCCTGTCTTTACACTCTTCCTAAGATTCTATGGAGGTCAGTAAATCTATGAGGGGGGGATCAATAGTCTGCACTTTTTAATAAATATCCCAATAACTCTGATGCAAGTAACCTCATAACATGCCAACATTATTTATAATCCAAACTGGAACCCACTTGGGAGTAAACAAGGGTGCAGTTAATTATGCAAGGATAACAGATATAATTACACCTAGGCAGACATGGAGAAGATCACCCCATCTAAGGACCATGTTGCAAAATACTGTTATTAAAAAAGCTCATCTAGGTAGAGCCAGGAAAGAGCAAGAGAATGACTTTTACAAGGATAGGAGGAGAAATGAAGGCCAAAAATAAATGGACATCTTGTTTACCTTATAACCCAGAGAGTTTTTAAGCTAATATAGAAATACCTGCTTCAAATCTCATCTTCCAGTCTTTGCTGTTGAAATTGCCATTTATGATTGTCCAGAAGATGTCAGCACCATGAGGAAGTGACAGAGCATGGAGAAGGAGAGGAACTGCCAATGAAGAAAGCTGGGAGAACTCAGACTTGACAACTCTCCATAAGCTAGGGAATCAAGGAGAAGCAAAGTGGTAACAATTATCACAACCCTTTCAGAAAAAAAAAATCCTATTATCTTAATTTATGGTAAGAATAGTTAATATATATCTGGTAGGGATGCTTTTAGTGAAATTGTATTCATAGTCCTCTGACAAACATTTCCTATGCTTTGTTCTGTTCATGTTTTTTTTTTTAATTCCTTTTATGTAACATTATGGAAAAACATTAGGGGCTGGTGGAGTGGCTCAAGTGGTAAGAATGCCTGTCTAGTAAGCATGAGGCCCTGAGTTCAAACTCCAGTGCTACTAAAAAAAAAAAAAAAGAAAGAAATTATTTTTTAAACAAAAGAGATAAAAGAGAATGATGGAGGGGGTAAATTCAAGTATGATATATTGTAAGAACTTTGATAAATGTCACAATGTACAGCAATAATTAAAAAAAAACTACAAAAAAGAAAAACATTACATTAAAAAAAATTAAGCTGCATATTATAAATTTAACTATATAAATGAAAAATGATGGTTAAATAATATGCAAAATTAATACTAGTTATGTTAGGATGATGGTATAACAAGTGATTTTAAATTTTTTCTTACACTGAATATCTGGGAAGCTTCATTACTTTTTGGCTACTCAGCAGTCCTTTCTCCTTATTATGGCAAAAAACAACTGCTTTTCTATTAATAACAGCCTCTCTAAGAACTAACAGAATTATCACTCAGGCACCCCCACCTTCCCTATCCTAAGGGTGAACACTACACATAGGTTGATCAAAGCACTTCAATATCCTGAGTAGAGTGATTAGCCTACAAGTGAACATATGACCCAATCACAGGAAAGACAGAAGCTTTTGCTAGGGAGTGATATGGCATCTGGAACAAAGAGAGGTTCTCTCTCCTTCTGAAATTTCAGGATTGAAGGACGATGTCAGTCAATCACTGCCAGGGACCCTCTTTCCCACTTTCCAGGATCAACCTGCCTGGGAAGAAGCCAACACTTAGTTTGATCTAACATGCCAGAATAAAACTGGCTAAGAGATGGGGAAGATGTAATAAGAGAAGGAGAAAAAGCCACAGAGAAAGAGAGAGATATCCCTGATAACATATTGCACCTTAGCAAGTGTAAGCTAAGTCCTTATCAAGCTCTATCAGAATAATTATGAATATATTTTAATAATAATAAATTATAACAATGAAAGTCCCTTGTACTATTAACGCATGAGAATAAACTTTTTAAAGTTTTATTTAAAAAATGATTGATTTCATCTTTTTGAATACCTTTTTATTTTGTTTTGTTTTCACTTTTGTGGCAGTATTGGGGTTTGAACTCAAGGTTTTGTGCTTTCTAGGAAGACACTCTACTACTTGAGCCACACCCCCTGTCCCATTTTTGCTTTAGTAGTTTTCAGATAAGATCTCGGGTTTTTGCCTGTGGTCAACCTCAGTCTTCCTACCTACGGCCTCCCACATAGATGGGATGAGAGGCATGCACCACCAAGCCTGAAAAATTGATTGAGATAGGGTCTTGCTAATTTTTTCCCCTAGGTTAGCCTTGAACCATGATCCTCCACATCTCTGCCTCCTGAGTAAGTGGGATTATAAGCATGAGCCACTGTGCCCATTTGTGTTCATTTTCTATGTGGCTCCAGGGGTGATATGAAAATCAAAACTTCAAAACTATTTATGACCAAAAACTCATAATGCACCCCTGAGAGATAGACAAAACTAATGCAATTTTGCACAGTACATTGAGGCAAAGTTACTAGAGTTGCTTATAAGAAGAATGAAAAGAAGAAATTTCCAAATTCCATACACTTAATCTGAGTAGTGGAAGTCAGAAAACCATGTATCTAATCCAAACTCTGCCATTAATTAGCTGTATAACCATGTGCGAATTTCTCAATTCCTATGAGCCTTCATTCCTTCCCCAATGTGGGCTGTATTAAATGAGATAATGTAGAGTGGTTGGCACATAATAAGTATTCAAAGACCTTGAGCTATTATCATTTATTATTATCATTGTAAAGATAAAGATGATGATGCTCCCAGAGAATAGGCCCTATAAAGAATGCAAAGGAAAAAGAAGACATAACCTGTCCCTTCATGGAATGATCAGTTTAGTAGAAGGAGGCAAACTACATACAGTACCACTAGAAATTCATCCCAGTGACAAAAGCCTGGATCTGGCCTGATCCAATGGCTTTCTCACTTCTCTAAGATAGCCCAGCTTGAAAAGAAGAGTGTTCTGTCCTTGAATCCTTTCATTGTCTGCCATGGTTTCTGTGTCAGTGTGGTACATGGAAGAAAAAACCTGGACTATGTTATCAAAAAATTGAGTCAGAGGTTCATGGTACCCACAGTCCATTTAGCCTGGTTACATTTTTTATGGGGCTTACTTAGTACAAAAGCCTGCCCATTTAGAATTCTCACTCCCCTGGAATTAATGGATCATCTACCCAACTCCTGAATTTATTTTGTCATTGACTTTTTTCAGATTCACAGCTTGTCTTGTCATCACCTTGAACCTTTTAGATCATCCCTACTCTTCCCCATGTCCATGTCAGCTAGGTCTACCTTCCACCAGATCTGCCCTTCATTGCACCTGTACAATCCCCTTTTATTATGAGGAAACTCTGTAGCTCCTCCACGTTTCCCATAGGATTGTTCTGTAGTAGATTGAATAGTGTCCCCCAAAATTCATGTCCACCTAAAACCTCAGAATGTGACCCTACTTGCAAACAGGGTACTCCTAAGTAGTTTAGATGATTAGCCTAACTAATCATATGATTCGTTAAGATAATTCATATTGGATTAGAGTAGACTGTAAATCTAAAGGCTGGTGTCCTTAGAAGATACACAGGGAAGAATGCCATATGGCAGAGATTAGAATGATGCAGCTACATAAAAAAGAGGATCAAGGGCTGCCAGCAACAAACAGAAGCTGCAAGAGAAGCAAAGAAGCTTTCTCCTCTAGTCTTCAGAGGAGGATGGCCCTGTTGATACATGGATTTTAGGCTTCTGACCTCTAGAACCAACAAAATAAACTTTTGTTGTTTTAAGCCTCTTAGATTGTAGCAATTTATTACAGCAGCTCTGGGTAATGAATACAGCTTCCCTTGTTCACCTTGGCTGAAACCTGACATTTTCCTGGTAACACAATTTCTCCTTAGCCCTCTCAGTGCATCTTCACACCAGTCTTCACTCACTAAGAAGTAATGCTTCCCATTACTTCCAGAATTCTCTCACCAACCTCTTTCTTTTGAAACCCAGAACGTCCATTTACAGGACTTGTTCCCATTTCTGGGTGAAGCAGGAACCACACTCAGTTTTTCTCCTCACCAAAGCCTCCACCAGTGTCTTAGTGGATTAAGACTGGTCTCACATACCTCCCACCTCCTCATGCACAGTGGTCTGTCTCTCTCTCCTTCTTCCCCCCCTCTTTTCTTCCCTCCCTCCCTCTCTGTTGAATGAGTTTCTGACCTCACTTCTCTAAGGCTGAGAACATTCAACTTTCCCCCTCTGATCCTGACTGAGACTTCTTTTCCCTCTTTTCTATACTGCCAAATATCAGTTCTTCTGGCTTTACCTGCCTCCAATTTTGGACTGGATCTCAGAGTTAGCCATTTCACTACTCTCAACTGCTTCATTCCTGTACCTTTCCCCATAATCAGATCACTAACCCCTGATCCTGACTATGTCTGTCACCTGCTTTCTCTCATCCACTTTTAAGTCTCTGAGCACTGGAGAAAAGAAACCCAAACTTCTGTTAACTGGGTGCACTACAAACTAGAGCTAGCTACTTCAGCTGGGCCCTCTATATGCAGTTCTTTGGTTATTTCTTGTTGACTCCCAACAGTTTTCTTCATGTGACTGTTGTATACTTTTTTTTTTTCATGTTCCTTAGGCTCCCAAGCCAACTCTGTCCATCTCCCTCTCAGAAGTCATCCATACCTATTATTTTTAAGGCTTAAGTCATTTGTTAAACTTCCCTTAACGTTGTTTTTGCTCTCAAAATTTATCTCCTTTCAATGGAAAGAGCATTCCTCTTCTTTTCCACGACACACTTTATTCTTGGTTGCATTTCTCTTGCTTTCCAGAACTTGGCTCCAGTAACTATTCACTTTTCCTAGCCCTTTATGCTGGACCTTTCCCAATGACCATAAATCTATCCAGATTTTCCTTATCCTAAAGTCCTTGATATTCACTCTGTCCCCTCTAAGTATCTGATGTTTTTCTTTCTTTTCTAGCAAACTTTTCAGAAAAAAGTTCTTTACATTCCTTAAATCTTTGCAAGATGACCTTTGCACCTCCTTAAATGTGGATGGTTCCCAAGGATCTTGCTCTTCTCTATACTTTTCAATTAAAACACAACTCTCACCCTATTCATTGTTTTAATATCTTCCATAGCTCTCCAAGTATCATTAAGGAAAGTCCCTATTTTCAAGGCACTTCACACTTGGGTCCCAACATACTTCCCTAGTTTCTTTTTCCCTTATTCTCCTAAAACCACACTATGTAGCAAAATAAAACCTTGGTATCTCCTAAGAAGGACTTGACCGCTTCTTGTCCCTTCTTCTCAGTTCTGCTGTCCATTTGTCATTGACATTCCTGATTTCCACAAAATGTACTAGACATCTTAAATCTCTAAATATCAAAATTCATTACTGTGATACCCACTCGAATGGTATCTTCTGCTGAGCCCTTTCCTAACCATCCATGCAGAAATGATCTTGCCCATTTGTGAACTGTGCAAATCAGTTACGTAACATGTTCCCTTGGATTAACAGAGACTTGTGTATACACGTAGGACAACCATGGTTAGTCTACCCATCTACTTCACCTTTATTGTTTTGAGATTATTATGACAGCCATCTCCTCCTTCAATCTCAAAAGTAGACCAATTTAAACAATAAAATATGAGGTAATCTTCTGTAATATTTCAGTATTCATCCCTTTCCAAATTAGACTACAAATTACCAATTGCATAGAACAGTAATGTATATGGTAAGCATTCACTATATGTGTTGAATGAATAAATAAACAAATGAACAAAGTGAGTAAAGACAGAGCTTCAACTTGGTTTGTCACAAAATGTACATGAACGAACCTTTTCCTTTTTTTGTCAACTCATTCTCTTACATGTAAAGTGATGATATTTTTCTGACATGCTTCCAGGAAGACTATAATAGTTATTTTAAGGTCCTCTGGTAGAAATCACCATAAATCTAGAGCAAAATTTTATTATTCTCAAAATGCCTCAGAAGTCTCTAAAAAATAACTTCTCAGACTGTACACAGAGGATTTTTAGATGTCTATTAGCAGCTCTAATTCAAAGAAGAAAATAAGTAAATCCTTAATTACACTAGGTAATTATTAACTTACTATCTGTTGACATTTTTCTAAGGTATGCTGTTATTCCATTTTAATTGTATCCTATTTTACTTTTATTAGCATTAATTGTACAAAGAGGTTTCACTGTGATGTCCCCTTACATGCATATAATGTATCAAATTCACCCAATAGATATGCTATATTCTTAGCCTTTCAATCAAACAATTGAAAGGCATAAAAGAATCCTTATTTTACTTTATCTATTCCTACAGTATCTAGTAAATAAACATTACTATCTTCATATTGGTATACTTAGATAAAATAAAAGTAGTTTCCATAAGAAATTAGGCTGTCCTGACTGAGAAAAATAACTCTAATGAACTCGAGTAGGTCTTATTCTGACTTTAATTTTCACAACTGAAGCCTAAAATGTAAATAAACAAAAAAGGTTACCAAGACATACCTTGCAATCAACATGTGGTCCTGAATATAAGCTAAAAATTGAGGATGATCTTTTCTAGCAATATATAAACACTCTCCATGCAGACAGAGAATCTTCAGGCAATTGAGCATATTAAAGAGAATGTCTGGTTCTTCAAACTTAGCCATTTCCTAGGCAAAGAACCACATGGTTACTGAGTTTTCCAAAACAGCATTGCTACCAAGCCAAATATTTAAAGGTTTCAGAAAATATACCTGGAAAATGGTATATATTAGTCTCAATGTTACTGGAAGTTGTTGGTAGCAAAATTTTCTCTCAGTGTCATTCTTTATTGCTGTGAAGAAATAATTACATAAAGGTTAGCTTAACTCCTCTTTCTCCCACCATTCACCTATTGATCAAGATCATGAAACCAGAGAGGAGTAAAAACAGTAGATATAGTAGATATAGAAGTTTGTGTAGTATTTGTATTTGCACTCCAAATTAGCATATATATCCCTTCTATGAGGGAAATACACAAAACCTTATTAATTTAAAATTCTCAACCTCCATTTTTCAATATCAGGTACTTCGACCTCAATGTCTGGCTCCCTGAGCTACCCCAGCCCTTCCATTCATTGATATTTTACATGCTTGTTATCAGCACTTGACTCTACTCTGGTTAATGTGAAAGTTTCATATATACTTTTAGTGGTAGACATATGTGACTTTCTACAAAGTATCTGAAGGACATGGAACTCACTAAGCATATGTGAATGGTCCCCTAGGTCCCCTGGCAGAGAAGCTCAGGAACATGACCTGAAGACCACAGAGCAGAAGCAGCAGTGAACTCTGAGCATCAGGAGCACTGGTCTAGGAAGAAAGCGAACAGGAGCTTCCCTGAGGAGAAAGTTTCTTTCTATATTTATTTATTTACTTTTGTTTCGAAAGGCTCTCTTATGTAGCCTAGGCTGGACTTAAACTTTTGATCTTCCTGCCTCAGCCTCCCAAGTGCTGGTATTATAGGTGTGTGCCACTATGATCAGCTCAGGAGATAGTTTATAACCGTGTCTTGCAAGACAGCAAAGAGTAAAAGAAGGGAAATAGGCCAAAGCTGTGATAAGTGTATGAAGTAGCATCTGGGGAAGAATAGAGCAATTAAGTGTTTTTAAAAGTAGAGCTTATAATAATTCAGAAAGGAAGAGTACAGTTGGCCTTCCAAATCCACAGGTAGGTTCAACCAACTAAGGCTCAAAAATATTCAGAGAAAAAAAACTACTTCTGTATTGAACATATATAGACTTTTTTCTTGTCATTACTCCATAAACAATACAAATAACTATTTATATGGCACTTACATTGTGGGCCACAAATATAGCTCAGTGGTAGAGTGCTTGCCTGGCATACACAAGACTCTGAGCTGCATCCCCAGCACCCAAAACAAAGCAAAGCATTTGCATTATAAGTAATCTAAGGATAATTTAAAGCATATGGAAGAATGTCAATAGGTTACATTCAAATACTATGCCATTTTATATAAGGGACTTGAGCAGCCCCAGATTTTGGTATCCATGGGTAGAGGGGATTGGTCCTGGAACCAATCCCCCAAGGATACTGAGGAACACCTATAATTTATAAAAAGAAATAGTTTAATTTTGTCCATTGTATGAATAAAATATTATATAGAGCTGAAAGAGCCAACTCATCGATTTGTGTGCTATCTTCATTTAAAAACTGTATTTGCCCAAAACCAGCACAGTTTGTTGAATCCCAAGTGAAGTCTTTGCTTTCCTTAAGGCTCAAATCTGATAGAAGATAACTCTGGGCCTGGGCTTCAGCAGCTCCAAAGCAAGGTCATTACTTCTAAGTAAGCCATGAGACCTGGGTTCTAGTCCCAACTCCTGCCACTACTAGTTGAGCAGTATTTGGATCTCTAATTTCCTAGCCCCACCCTAGACATACAGGGAATCAGGGGTAGAGAGGAGAGCTCATTTACCTTGGATGTGAATAAAGCATAAATTTTAAATGAATCATATGACCTACATGACCACGAGCAAGTCATTTAACCCATATGGGATTTATTTTATCTGCAAAGAAAGAAGGCTGAACTACATCAGCAGATTTCAGGTTTCTTTCTTTCTTTTTTATTTTCTCTTTTTTTGTGGTACCAGGGTTTAAACTTGGCCTCACACTTGCCAGGCAGATGCCCTACCACTTGAGCCACAACCATAGTCCAGATTTCCTTTCTTAAAGATAATTTTTTAAAAGTAAGTCTTAGTTAAAGCGCCAACACATAACAGGGCAGGAGGCAAAGACAGAGGTATTTCAAAATTCAAGGGCAGCCATGGGCAAAGTTATGGAGACCCTATCTCAAAAACAAAATACAAATAAAAAGGACTTGGGGTATGACTCAGGAGATAGAGTGCTTGCATAGCATTTTCAAGGTTCTTGGTTCAGTCGCCAGTACCACACCAAAAAACAAGCAAACAATCAACATCTCCCTCCAACCTATGAAATGCAGCAAGTTGATCACTCTAATAGAAGCTGTGCAGGGTGACCAGCTCTTTATCATGTGCCTTCATTTCCAAACCAAATTGTCACCCCAAAGAAGGAAGTTCCACAGGAGGGAACACAGAGCCTTTACTACTCCAAGTACACATTGAAAATCAATGAAACATCATCTCAAGCATTCCTTCAAACTCTGTTTCAATGGTGGTAAATAGTGTGAGCTGAGATATTTAAGCTCTATTAACCACTTAAACCATGTAGAAGCAGCTAGTTCTGACCAAGAATTCTGTAGTAATGGTCTGAATAAGACACCCAGCAGCAGCAATGAACCCCACAAAATAGAAAGAATGTTTGCTGTTCACCAAAGAGATAATGTAAAGCCCATGTTGACCAGTTCTGGAGTAAGCCTCCCAGGGGCAAGATAGTCTAACAGTTAAGGATAGCAGGAACAGGAAGATTTTCACAAAACTATCCAAATTTTCCCAAGTCCTGACAAATTTCCAGAATGTCATTGTCCAGGTGTAGAAATCAGGTTTTCCCAGAGGCACCTGGAGTCACATTCTGAACTCCCTAAGCTCTTTCAGAATAGGAGGAGTTGGGAAATAGTTCCTGACGCTACTTGCCATTTTTTTGGGGGGGTGGGAATGGATTTGAACTCAGGGCTTCACACTTTCAAAGCAGGTACTCTACCTCTTGAGCTGCACCTCCAGTAATCCCATGCTCAATGGATTGTGAAAAATCAACATAGTAATGTGATAACTTCCCAAAAGTAATCTACATGTTTAATGCAATTCCATCAAAATTCCAATGACATTCATTAAGAGATTGAAAAATCTACTGTGAAATTTAATATGGAAACACAAGAGGCACGAATAGCCAAGGCAATACTCAGTCAAAAGAACAATGCAGGAGGTATCACAATACCTGACTTCAAATATATTACAAAGCAATAAAATAAACAGCATGGTACTGGCACAAAAACAGACATGAAGACCAGTGGAACAGAATAGAGGACCAGATATGAAGCCACCAACTATAACCAACTTTCTTTGACAAAGGAGCTAAAAATATACGATGGAGAAATAGCAGCCTCTTCAACAAAAACTGCTGGGAAAACTGGTTAGCAGTCTGCAAAAAACTGAAACTAGATCCATGTATATCACCCTATACCAAGATTAACTCAAAATGGATCAAGGATCTTAATATAATTAAAAACCAGCATGGTACTTGGCACAAAACAGACATGAAGACCAGTGGGAACAGAATAGAGGACCCAGATATGAAGCCACACAACTATAACCAAACTTGTCTTTGACAAAGGAGCTAAAATATACGATGGAGAAATAGCAGCCTCTTCAACAAAAAACTGCTGGGAAAACTGGTTAGCAGTCTGCAAAAAACTGAAAACTAGATCCATGTATATCACCCTATACCAATATAACTCAAAATGGATCAAGGATCTTAATATCAGACCCAAACTCTAAAGTTGATACAAAAGAGTAGAAATACTCTGGAAGTTAGTAGGTATAGGTAAGAACTTTCTCAATGGAAACCCCAGCAGCACAGCAACAAGAGATAGCATAGATAAATGGGACTTCATAAACTAAAAAGCTTCTGCTCATCAAAAGAAATGGTCTCTAAACTGAGAGACACCCACAGAGTGGGAGAAAATATTTGCCAGCTACACATCAGACAAAGGACTGATAACCAGAATATATAGGGAACTTAAAAACTAAATTCTCCCAAAATTAATGAACCAATAAAAAATGGGCAAGTGAACTAAACAGAACTTTCTCAAAAGAAGAAATTCAAATGGCCAAAAAACACATGAAAAAATGCTCACCATCTCTAGCAATAAAGGAAATGCAAATTAAAACCACACTAAGATTCCATCTCACCCCTGTTAGAATAGCCATCATTAGCAACACCACCTAACAACAGGTGTTGGCGAGGATGCGGGGGAAAAAGGAACCCTCTTACACTGCTGGTGGAATGTAACTAGTACAACCACTCTGGAAAAAAATTTGGAGGCTACTTAAAAACTAAACATGATCTACCATTTGATCCAGCAATACCACTCTTGGGGCTATACCCAAAAGACTGACACAGGTTACTCCAGAGGCACCTGCACACCCATGTTTATTGCAGCACTATTCACAATAGCCAAGTTATGGAAACAGCCAAGATGTCCCACTACTGACGAATGGATTAAGAAAATGTGGTATTTATAAACAATGGAATTTTATGCAGCCATGAAGAAGAATGAAATGTTATCATTCGCTGGTAAATGGATGGAATTGGAGAACATCATTCTGAGTGAGGTTAGCCTGGCCCAAAAGACCAAAAATCACATATTCTCCCTCATATGTAAGACATTAGATCAAGGGCAAACACAACAAGGGGATTGGACTTTGATCACATGATAAAGCGAGAGCACACAAGGGAGGTGTGAGGATAGGTAAGACACCTAAAAAACTAGATAGCATTTGTTGCCCTCAATGCAGAGAAACTAAAGCAGATACTTTAAAGCAACTGAGGCCAATAGGAGAAGGGACCCGGAACTACAGAAAAGGTTAGATCAAGAAGAATTAACCTAAAAGGTAACACCCATGCACAGGAAATCAATGAGAGTCAACACCCTGTATAGCTATCCTTATCTCAACCAGCAAAAACCCTTGTTCCTTCCTATTATTGCTTATACTCTCTCTTCAACAAAATTAGAGATAAGGGCAAAATAGTTTCTGCCTGGTAGCAAGGGGGTGGGGGGAGAGGGAGGGGACGGGGGAGGGGTAAGGCAGGGGTTGGGGGAAGGGAGGAGAAATAACCCAAATATTGTATGCACACAGGAGTAAATAAAGTAAAAATAAAAATAAAGCTGTCCTTTTCCCCAACTAGAAGAACCAACCAGCCTTCAAGCACAGCTATGCAAGGTACACCTGTCCAGGGTCCTGGCCAAAACCCTGAGGATGCAGAAGCTGCATGGATACAAGTTCTGTTGCCTCAACCCAAAAACACTCTGCTTTGACCACATGCTCTGCATGGCTGTTGAGATTGTCAGCACCCTCCATCTTGCTGTTCAGTCTCTGTTCACAGCTACTTTTGCATGGCGAACACAATGCATAGTATAGGGATAACATCAGCTTTCTACAGTAAGTAAACAATTGAGTTTTACTGATAATAAGCTCCTGCTGTCAGAAAGATTCTCAGGGAATTGTGTTCAATTGGAGCCACAAAGAATCTGTTCACTTCATAATCCAGTGGCAAAAGGTTCATTTGCATAAGGAAGCTGCACCTGAACTAATCTAAGAAACCAAGAATCTGAACACTGGGCACTGTGTAAACTGTAAAGTACATACTACATACTCCCCAAAAGTCACGTTCACCTACCAGCATGTTCTGAAGGCACACTGCGATTGCCTGGATTCTCTCCATGCTTGGGTGCTGGATTCTCTTCCTCCTCTCCTTCAGGACCTATAATGAACTCTGGTCTGGAAGAAAGGAGGCTATCCTCAAGGCTGTCTGTGGGCTCCTGAAACAAAACAAGCAGCCAGATGAGCAGTCCTTGAGGGCTGTAAAACAACAGTTTGACTAAGGTCAACAAAGGTGTATCGTGACATGTTCTGTCCAGCACTGTGCTGAGCCAGAGGGCAAAGGCACCATGCCTCAGAAGAACCTAAGCTTATTTCCTTGGCATTGAGAGATCTGTATCAGTTGTTGCTGAAACATTTGCTTTCACTTGAAATAAATCTGGAAAAATAGCAAAAACGTTGTCATATCTTCCTAGAATGCTTTCCCACCTCTGTGTTATCCTGAAGATCAGTAGCCCACTTACTAAGGGACTCCCACTCATGCACATTTCGTTCAGTATCAAAACTTATTTAGTAGGGAATAAGGGGCTCACAGAGATATATTCAAATGTAAATGCTGGTTGAGCAAGTCAATGTTTTAGGAGCAAGAAATTACTATAATGTCAGTTAAAGAGAGAAAAGTAAGGCAAAGGGCTAGGGTCATGGCTCAAGTGGTAAAGTGCCCACCTAGCAAGCAAGAGGCCCTGAGTTCAACCCCAGTATTATAACATAGAGAGAGAGAAGAGAGAGAAAGAGATTAAAAAGCCCAATGTATTTCGACAGACAAATGGATCACTAAAATATCTATCCATACAATGGTATATTATTCAGTCCTTAAAAGGAAAGAGATTCTGACCATGCTATGACTTGGAAGAAACTTAAGGACATTACTCTAAGTGAAATAAGCCAGTCACAAAAAGATAAATACTATATGATTTTACTTATATAAGGTATCTACCATAGCCAAACTCATAAAAAAGAAAGTAGAATGATGGTTGGCAGGGATTGGGAAGAAAGGGATTTGGGAAATTGTTGTTTAATAGTTAAGAGTTTCAGTTTTGCAGGATGAAAAGACCATGGAGATTGATTCTACAACAATGTGAATATATTTATACATATTTCTATTTTTGTGCAATATGTTCTATTTATTTATGTAAGGCAAGTTGCAAAAATGAGAGGAAATTTTTTTTTAAGTATTAGGTATGGCTACCATTTATAATATCTTCTGGTTATTCTTCTATTTTTTTCTTTCAGGTTTCATATTCAAATATCTTCTATTGAAAGTATCCTCAAAGATAATACTTAAACCAGTACACGTCTTTTCAAGAATTATTTGACAGCCAGCTCAAAGCAAGACAAGACAAGGATTGCGAGATAAAGGAGGACATGAGAAACAAAGAAACCAGTACTAGCACAGTATCTGACAGAGCTCTAAAAGCTATCTTTGCCAACTTTATAGTTTTATGAGGTTGGCTCTATTCCTAGGCTACTCATAAACCAGACACCAAATAAAATTATAAACTTGAGTTTCATATAATTTGATACAGTCGAAAGTTGCCTGCTGCATATTGAATCTTCTACATACACTCAATAACTCATTTCTGGTACTGCCCTCCATGGTGGCAGGGACTGGTATTACCTGTTTTGCAAACTAGCCTAAGCCTTCTGCTAGCCCCTTCTTCATGTCCTCACCCAATTCGCATGTCCTCCACTTGACCCAGGAGAAAGATGAAACAACTAAAGTGCTAGTACACACAGTGGACTGTCAGTCCTCTTTTATTGTTTCTCTCCATCAGATTTGAAAGAGGAGGGACTCAAAGTGGTACAGAGCCCACCTAGCAAGTGCAAAGCCCTAAGTTCAAACCCCAGTACCTCCCCCTCAAGAAAATTTTAAAAGGAAAATTAAATCTTTTTAGCTTCATCTTCAAAATTTAAGCACATAACAAAATGTCAAAAGCATTATGGACATGAAAGATTGTTTTGGTAGCTCAATTTCTCCACATTTATGCCTATTCCTCCTGTTTCATGGGATGATGTCAAAACTCACACACACACACACCCCAGCCTGTTAAAAACAGGGCAAAGAGAGCTCAGGACAACTCCATCCAGGCTCCTCACCCCTTCCCATCCCCTCCTTGAAACAGAAGTCTATATTCATGTGGACACTTCCTCAGCTGATTCTGTTCTTCAACTGAAAACTACTAGAGTCTGTGTTCAGTTCCTGGTTATCACTATCCCCAAGGACGCAAAGATTTTAGAACCCCTGGGCACTTCTCAGTCTTTTTCCAATGTTCAAAATTTGACATGATTGACTATTCCCTCTTTTCCTAACCTATCTCTTACCTTGGTTTCTATTATTGCTCTCCCTCAGTTTTTCTCTTGGGTCTTTGGCTTCTTCTCAATTTATTTCTGGTCTCCCTTTCCCTCTCTTAAGAGTTGGTACTCCCCAGAATTACAGCTCTAGTTCTCTTCCCTTCTCACTCCACACACTCTACTACAATATGCACATGACTGCAAGCATGTGTCTTTTTCCAGTCTTTCTCTTAAGAATCAGGTCCACATATTCAATGATGATTGATTCAATGATTCAATGATCAATTCAATTCAACTCAATGATTCAATGATCTCCACTTGGATACATAAGGCATCTGCTGTGGTTCAAAATGGTTTGTCCCCTCCAAAACTCATGTGAACTTACTTCCCACTGTGAACTACTAAGAGGTATAAGAGGTGATTAAGTGATTTTGGCTCTGCTCTGATGAAAGGATTAATCTATTCATAGGATTAATGGGTGTATATCATTTAGGCAATAGTTATCTAGATCTGAAAAGTTCTACCATCTTCCTTTTATCACCTCCACTTGTCCTTAAGTATAAGCTCAAGTCTCATCTCCCCCAAGAAGACTTTCCTTAACCCCATCACACACTTAAGCAAGATTCATTGTCTCTTCTCTGAACTCCCACAGCTACCTTGATCATAATGTTAATCATACTGTCTTATGGGGTTTCTGATTTATTTATTTGGTTGGTTGGTTATTGTTTTACTTTGTTTTGGTTAGTTTGGGTTTTTTTGTTTTGTTTGTTTGGTTTTGAGACAGGGTCTCACTATGTACCCCAGGCTGGCCTTAAACTCAAGCCTCTCCTGCTTCAGCCTCCCAAGTGCTGGGATTACTGAAGTGTACCACCATCACACCTGGCTTGTCTTACAGTTTTTCATTTACTTACGCATTTTCCTAATTAGACTTCCAGATTTTTTTTTTTTTTTTTGCAGTGCTGGGGATCAAACCCAGGGCTTCATGGATGCTCAGCTAATATGTTCTACATCTCTATCCTAAGATTCTTGACTGTAATTTTTTACCATATGTTACTGTAACTGGTTTGGCAGGTTTTAATATTAAATGTTTTTATGTATCGACAAATTACACATGGATGATCCTGGAGGATATTGTGGTATTTGAGATAAGTGAGGAACGGAAAGCCAAGTATAGCTTTTCTCACTCATATATGGAATCTAAAACATGAGAACTCCTTGTGATAGAGAGCAGGATGGTGGTTACCAGAGGCTGGGTAGTGGGGAGATAAGGAGGATGTGACTGTTTTACAGTAAGTACCTGATGACTATGTTAAAAGACGTACTACAGGGATGTAATTTTTGAGACAGTTAGGACTAACAAGTTAAATGAAACTAAACTTTAAAAAGACTTTATTACTTTTATGCTATGCTTCAAAAATTATTTTTTTCAAGAAGTCACTTTCAACCCTAGAGAAACATTAGAGAAAAGGAAGAAAAAGAGAAGATGAAAAGTAGTTGCTAAAATAATTCAGGTTCTTCTACTTCTGAAAGCATGAGGGTATTCTGGTATTATGTATATTATGTATATAGTGTACGTATGCCTTAGATTTTAAAAATCATGGTCTATTCAGAAAATAGCTAATGAACAGGGTAGTTAAAGTTACTTTATATTAGTTGTTCCCTCTTTAGAAAATTTTCTTGGAAAACAGAATATGAAAGTAACCCATAAAAGGAATAAAGTTTTTTTTGATTGCTGCTGAAATCAATGAATTTACAAGCTGAAGTAACCTTGGAACAGCATTCATATACAATCTACTTTTTTTAACATATAGTTGTACATCCTTTTATACTATTATTATTTAAATTTTATAAAATAACTTAGTAATAAAAAAACTTTCGAGAATATCAGAAATGCTTTGTATTCATGAAAACTATATGAATGGTATTGCTACAACTCTAACTCAAGCCACTTAATAGAATTCTGCAGTGTGGGTCCATTTCATATCCCTTTTCCAGGAGCCTGAGTTAGCAGAAACAACAGGAAAAGTTTAACACATTCTCACCTGTAATCCAGCATGGAGAATAAGATAACACTGGAGAAAGACCCCATTACACCAGATATTACAGTCTTTATTAATACTATATATGAGTCATCTCATTTCTGCAATTGCTTACCACCAGTCGGCTTTCTTCTTTGGGAGCTAGTCTCTCCAGGAGTTCACAAGCAAGCTGATAGCAGAGGATGCTAGACTGACATAAGTTACATTCAACTGCCTTTTCATCCTTCTGGCAGGTATGGGAGCCCCCCCAGGGGGCCTGGAAGACATTGTTTATAATAGAAATAATGTCTTTTGACAAGCTGTGCTCTAAACCCATTGTAATTCCATCATCTTGTAACTCCATCTGAAAGAAATTGGAAAAAGGACACACACACAAAAAAGAGAAAAGAAAGAGTTTGGTCCTTTTATCCAATATTTCATTGGTACACTACTTGAAGACAATTTTTACTGACAGCAATATTAGATTATTTAAAGCAATATAGGCTTCAAGCCCATGAATACACATTGCCTTCCATAGACTCTTCTAAAAAGAATATCAATACAAGCCAAAGTAACAGGAATTATTTTTTAAATCATATGTAACATTCAACAGAGTTATTTTTAAATTCATTACCACTTTATGAGATATAACCCATTTTAAAAATGCTACTCTTCACCTATTATCAAGATCTTTGTTTGTAAATACCATTATCCATTAAAAGGAACTCCAGGGCTCCTTGGATAAATGGCTGATTAAAGGGCTGGAGCTAGCAAAAATATGAGTCTTGAACATCTTGTCATGCTAGAAATTAAGAAAATGTTCAAAGAAAGATGTGGAGGGATGTGGATATAGCTCAGTGGTAGAGCACTTGCCTAGCACAAGGCCCTGGGTTCCATCCCCAGCACCACAAAAAGAAAGAAAAGAGACAGGAAGGAAGGGAGGAAGAGAAAGAGAGAAAGGGAGAAGAGAAGAAGGAGAGGAAGAGGAAGGAAGGAGGGAAAAAGGGAGGGAGGGAGGAAGGAAAGCAGGAAGAAAGGGAAGGAGGGAGAGAGGGAGAGAGGGAAGAAGGAGAAAGATGTGCACATGTCAAAAGAACAAAGGAATCAGCCTGAAGAGATTTTTGCTGGCCATGTATGGAAAATATGAACAACAAAATAAATAATCATAGTAATGGATTATAATCCACTGGATAAAATAAGAATCCATGGGTACATGGAAGAATAACCAAATGAATAAATACGTAAATATCAGCAAATAAATTTAAAAGAAATGATGTAATTAGAAAATTATCATTTGGCAGTCATCATAGTAATAATTCATTCAGGCATGAATCATTCCAGCAACACTAAAACTAGTGGATGAAAGTCTGATAAGAAACAGAAAATCTCGTAGTCTTAAGTATTTCCCCACAAGTAAACATATTAATTAAAAAAGGTAAAATGTAATCATCCCCCAGTATATGTAACTCCAGAACCACCCACAGATCCCCAAAATTCATGGATGCTCAAGTCTCTTATATAAAATGTCATAGTATTTGCAAATAACCTATGCATATCCTCCCATATACTTTAAATCATACCTAGATTACTTAAAATACCTAATACAAAGTAAATGTTATATAAATAGTTGCTATACTGTGCTGTTTAAAGAATAAGAAGAACTTGTTCAGAACAGATACAATTAGTTTTTTTCAAATAAACTTTGTTATTGGATATCATTGAAATTGTGAATGTAGAATCTAGAAGTACAGAGGGTTGACTGTGGTACTTTATAGTAAAGAAACTTGGCAGGAATCACATTAACCAAGTGACCAAAGTTAGGGAACATTATTTTATCTTATGCCTTCTGATATTGTATACTACAGAGGACATAACATCACATCTGTCATCTTCCTGCTAAAATGTTTGGCTGAAATTAATTCATAAGGAAACATGACAAACTCAAATTGAAATACAGTTTACAAAATAACTGGACTGTAATCTTCAAAAGTCTCAAGGATGAGTCTCAGGCACCAGTGGCTCATGCCTGTAATCCTACCTACTTGGGAGGCTGAGATGGGAAGGATCAAGGTTCAAGACCAGCCCAGGCAAATAGTTCATGAGACCTCATCTCCAAAAATAACTAGAGAAAAATGGACTAGAGATGTGGCTGGTATGGATCAAGTGGTTGAGAGCCTGCTTTGCAAGTGCAAAGTCCTGAATTCAAACCCCAGTCCCACTAGAAAAAAAAAAAAGGCAAGAATGTGAATGATAAACAAAGAATGAGGGACTGTCCTGTGGATTAAAGACTAAGAAAATAGGACAAATACTATAGTGAGAGATCCTGGATCAAAAGAGGTTTTTTTTTTTTGCTTTTGCTATATAAGTGAAAGTATTATTATATTAATATTATTAAAAACAAATAATGTCTCTAAGATAACAGTATTTCCTTATATTGGTAAAATACTGTGATTAGGTAAGAGAATGTCATTGTTTTATAGTAGAATATTTTGAAATATTTAGGAATAAATGGACACCCCATCATGCACACACATAAAGAGAGAGAGAGAAGTAAATGTGATAAATGCTAACATCTGAAGAATTTGAGGAAAGAGTGTTTAGGAGTTCTCTGTACTATTCTTACAACTTTTCTGCAAATCTGAAAATATTTCAAAATCAAAAATTACAGAGAAATATTCTCCTAAGCAAGGCCTTTTAAACTTATCTTTAAAAGTTACCTTCAAAAGGCAATTTATGAAAACATTCAAATTAACCCCATCACTACAGAATTGTACTCTGATATTCCCATCAATAGTATTATCAAGCTGGTTCATTCAATAGAATGAACAAAATCAATTGTAATAACGCTAAGGTGCTTCTAAAATTCAAATTCAAATCTATTCTCATATGTCAACATCATTGCAATATTCACACAAGTAGTTGTCATACTCTTTAGGAAGTTCCCAAAGGGATTTGTAAAATGTTTGGAGTGATGTCACATCATTTCAGTAAGTAAGTGTGAAGATGCCAACTCATAGAATCACTGCACAATGCCTTATTCTTCACCTCTGAACTAAAGGAAGTTCATGCTTCAGCTACCTGCTTCAGGAGAAGATCAAACATGAGGATGAAACAATTTAGATTCATTTCATCATCTTCACAATCAAAGTCAATAGTCCTTCCTCCTGGGTGTCCAAAATTCTTGAAAGGGCTACGAAATGGACTACGTATAGGACTCCGAAACGGACTCTGGAAAGGACTATGAAATGGACTTAGCATATTGTGCTGAGCTCGTCGACCAGGATCAGAGGCAACACTCACCTAAAAGAAAGAATGTCAACATGTATAAATGAACTCATAGAAGCTAACATGGCTGTATAAAATATTTCAAGACTCTATAGAAGATATTTCCAACTGTCACACTGATTTCCTTTGACATTACCCAATGCCATTAGTACCTCCAAATACCATTGATCCTCTCAAAATATAAAAATAAGAAATAAAACCATCCAAATATTCAGACTACTTGTTGAGGACTGAAACAGCTTCCTGAAGAATGAAGGCATCTGATATTGTATTTTTTCATCCTATAGAATATTTCCAATTAAGCTAGACTAAATGAGATTGTCTAAATCTACTGAAAACCAGAATCTAAAAAATGAGAAATTACAGAAGGAAAATACTATACGATAATTTTTAGAATCATAAGCACAGAATCTCAGATTGATATGACTAAAGAATAATGGCCTCTGGCATTATAGTGACTAAACGGTCATGAAGAAACAACATATGTCAAACTTATTTATATTTGTTATTCTCCATTTCCCCATCCAAGCCACCCAAGCCAAGCTAGGCCCTCACTACCCTCTCTATCCTACTTTATACCCAATGATGCTGCAGACTGAGTCTCCTCTAGCTTCTAGGCTGCCTGGCATCCAGTTGGGTTCAGTCAATGGAACACACTGGCAGAAGATCTGAAGCTGGTGGGGCACCCCCTACCTGCTTTAGTGCTACATCTCTGAGAATGTCTCCATCACTCTACAGCTTCTCTAGCCAGCCCTTCCTCATACTCCAGCACTCAATCAGCAGCTCTCTTCCTTGTTCCGTCAGCCCTACAACTATAGTAGTGACCTACTGAACTATGGGTGCCTCATTAGCCCTTATTCCCTCTTCAACCTTTTCCATAACTCTACAGGAAGAATCTACATTAAAGCCTCTTCATTTTAACTATCCGGGATAGATTCTATAGCAGGTCCCTGAATGACATTTTCTGTGTATCACTCTCAAATAATATTTTCTCTCATAAAGACATTGCTATTAGCCAGAAAGCTCCAAAAAACAGCATTTTTAGGCAAAGAAGAAGAGTATCCCATTAAGAATCAGAATCCATGAATATTTATAGTGTTAGCTATAAGAAGCAACTTTGCTGAATATAAGATTAAATATTTGTAAGTGATGATAATGAGCTCATCCCTAAGTGCCTCACACAATTCTGTGATATCATTTACTGTGAACACTTTGTACAGAATAAAGTGCTACAGAAAGTAATGCCATCTTAAAGGTTATAGAAGAAAGAGAGAGAGAAAGAAAGAAAATTAAGTGGTTGGCAGTTTGTTTCTACCAGGCAGAAGTAATGATTCAAAAAAAAAGCACTGAATACAAACTATGATCCCATGACCATGTTAGACTTTCTGATCCCTAGATGTTGAGTAGAATGGCTACAGAAACATTCTATGGAGAAGCTTGACCTGGGGAGAGTCCTTGCCAATCCTCAGGTAAGAGTCAACTTCTCCAAAACTGCTCATGGTCTGAGAATGTTCCGACATTAACAGAAACTCCTTCAGGTCCTCCATAGAAATTTTATCAAAACTTTTCAACAGTTTTTACATACTTTTCTCTTTCACCAGGGTACAAAGGAGCAATAAAATGAGCTCAGTTGGTTCATAGTAACAGTATCACTTGTAATCTCCACCAGTTAATTTTGTATTCTCAAAACACAACAAAACATAAATAATCATCCAAACTTCTCACTCTCAAAGAAACAATGATCTGCCAGTAGCCAGTAGAGAATTCTTATTCACCAGGATACATCCCTTCCCAAAAGGGGTGATTTAATCCAAAAAGCTACTCTTTTTCCTTTAATCCATTTTAAGAGAGTTAAACTTCAAAAACAATGAAAAGAATATAAAAATGCAGTAACTTACTGATTACAGACTATACCAAACCTATCTTAGATAAATAAAGGAGTAGAGTTCCAGTGAGATTTATTATCATGCTACTCTTAGGCCTGGTATAACTGACAATGATTTTCAATATCTTAACAAATAAAACAAGAACATTCATGGCAATAATTACCCTTCGAGCTGCAAGGTTCCCTGCCAGTTCACTGACTCTTGATTTTCTTTGATTTGCCAGTTCTTTGACAGAATTAACTCCATCAGAAAACATACTTATTAAGAGTTGAAGTGGAACCATGATATCTAACTCCGATAATACCTGGGGAGAAAAGGCACATATCCCCCCCAAAAGAAACATGTAAACTTTAAAACTCAGAAAACTACATTTAACATTTTTTTCCTAAAGCAGATAAAACATAAGGATGCTTAATCTACACATCAGCACAATCATCCTCAAGCTTTTGCACTACGAAAATCAAAGTTGTCTTTGAACTTTTCATTTCCCTACCTCAACAGCCAATAAGTCACCATGCTCTTTCCATTAAAACTTCTAAGTTTCTTCTTTTTTAAATTATCATATTATTGTTGTACTGGGAGTACATTGTGACATTTACAAAAGTTCTTACAATATATCATAGTTGAATTTACACTCTCCATCATTCTCCTTTATCCTTCCTCTCCCCTTTCCTGGAATAGTTTCAATAGATCTCGTTTTTCCATTTACATACATGAGTACATAATATTTCTACTACAGTCACCATTCTACAACTTTTCCTTATATCCTCCCCTCTCCCACTGGTACCAACCCCAGACAGGACCTGCTTCACCGTCTAAGTCTCTGTTGATGCTGCTCCCTCCTCTATACACACACTGCTAGTGCCTTAGCTGATGCCTTTCTTGTAGACAAGTATAATCTGTCAGCACTCTTCCGCCAGTCCATCCCCACTCTGATCTGAATGCCCCGTCCAGTCTTGTTCTCTGGTATAGGCCCGTGTCCATCTGAGCCAAATTCAGTCATCTTATCTATAATGCATTTTCTGGAAGTCAATGTCTCCTTTCTCCAGGAAAGGAAGTCCTGTCTTAGACTTTATTCATACCTTATTAAAGCAATTACCACCTTTTGTGATATTTAATTATCTGATACTATCCTTCTCACTTGAGTTGCTTGAAGAAGGAAGTACCAGCAAAGAACCATTTCTTATCCCATTTTTATCCCAGTACCTATTACAGTATGTGGCACACAGGGGCTCAGTAAATATTTCCACAACACAGCAAAGCCGAATCACAGTCCAGTCCATGGAACCTGTGTGCTATAACTGCCCTAGCTCTGGTGGAGACAGCCCTGCACATTTACCCCCAGCTAACACAGTTTATGAGGTGGGTAACTACATACTGAGGCAACATCTGCCATCTGTAGAAAGACTGGTTTTCCTAAAATAAGAATTATTTCTTGGAGATGTATTTAAGGATCAAAAGCTAAAATTCTGGATGCCAAAGGTGACTTTTTAAGAAAAAAAAATGGTCCCTTTATTTTCTGTCAATTGCAAAAAATATTGTTCCTTAGTTTAGAACCCAGAAAGACCTCTTCACAACTTGAAGGAATCACAATCCTGCATGACACAGGGATTGCCTAGAATGCAGAATGCTTTGGGTTTGATCCTCAGAACCATAAAAACAAAAATGAACTGGAAAAAAAAAACCCAACAATGTATCTGAACCCATGGTTAATTTAAACATTGAATCTTCTTCAATTTCTAAAACTGCCCAAACTTTTTGTGAGGTATTCAATTTCACAAATTTTTATTGAACATTCACTAAATACAATATTCCAGACAATAGGAGGCAAGGGTGAAAAATAAGACCTGGTCCCTGAACTTGAAGAGTTTGTAAGCAGAGAGAAAAACAAACAAAACTATTAGACAGAAAGAACAAAATTCACAGAGAACCTGTGTGGATACTGGGGGAAAGAATAATGATCTTGAGAAGACTGGGGTATGAAGCAGCAGAAAACTTCAGAGGAGACAATTTTTGAGTTGGACTTTAAAGAGTAAGTTGGAGCTCACTAATAAAGACAGTAAGGAAGTCACTCCAGGCTAAGGGAACACAGCATGAACCATTCCCTAAATCAGTAGTTCTCAACTTGCCAAGTAAAGGACATGTCTCAGAATTCCAGACAGCTAGTAATATATAAAAGCCAAAGGGCATCATGAATAGGAACTACTCTTGCACAATTTATATTTATTAACTACATATATGTGAGATCATTTATCTACACATTTTTGATGTTAGTCTACAACAATCCTTCACAAACATACAGATTTTTGGACTCTGCAAAAGCTTCCCATCTCTTTACCTAGGGATCTGAAGTTCAGAGGCTAAGAACTATTGTCCAAAATGATCGTAAGCATTATTCACTTACATGAAGCCATAGTAAAGCTTGTTCCTGCACAGAGGAGGGGTATCCTGTAAACCGACAGCTAATAAAGCCAAACATCTCTTCCATTGAAAAGGGTAGAGGACAGAGCTCGATGTCAAACATCTTGCTGGAAAGCAGAGCAACAAAAGTAAATGACCAAGGGCATATACTAGGGTCTACTGATTTTACCAAAGTATTTTTAACTATATCCCATTTGGAGAGCCAGATCCTTTAGATTAGTTTGTGTTATGAACTGTTATTGGCATGCTTCATTCTACTTTAAGAAAACAGTTTACATCATTAGAACGGCTGTAAATAATTCATAACATTAGTGTTCATATTCTTATTAAGTTTTACAGAAGGAATTGGAGTTCTAAGGAATTGGAATTGCTCCCCAACATCTAAAAATTTCCCTTTGTACTTTCCTAACAAATTCTACCAATTTACATTTAAAATAAGCAAACAATATTACTCCACAAGAACAAAGTCTTTTCTGAACAATTCCAAATGATCTCAACTCAATTTATAGCAGATATTTCATTTTAGAGCTTCAGATTTCTCCATTAGGTTGTTTGGAAGTAAAGGAGATTATCTAAAATGCTTAGGAGAGTACCTGACATACGCTACATACTCAATAAATGTTAGGTATCATTATAATTACAGTGACTTTATCAAACTACTTACCCACCTTAATACTTCCCTGAATTCCTTTAACTGATTATCTGGGACTTCTGTTCTGATGGCCTCCAGCCATTCCGGCATAATACACTCCCACACAGATTGATTGATCACATTGTAGGGAATCAAGCAGAGGATCCGGTTGAGACCTTCCTTCAACTGAGTCACTGTGCTACAGGATTTATCCCAGTATCCACCAACCTGGTGGAGTTTTCATACCCACAAAGGAAAGGAACAAAACAAGTACAATTATACTCAAGGACTTCCTAAAAGAATAGGCACAGAGAAAGGCCACAACCCACTACTTCTGAGTCCCAGGCCAAGAATCTTCAGAGTGAGATTTGTAAGAATCTATAAACCACCATTAGGGTCCATTAGTAACAAAAAGGAAATCATAGTTACAAATAGATCCAAATATTGATTACAAATTGAATTAGAACTACTCTACTAGAGACTTTCCAAATCACAGATGAATTATAATTTCAAAGATTTACTCCTAACGGGATGAGCAAACTATTGGAGCATTGTTATTTCTGATGCTTGACTGAACCATTATAATATATGCAAGAGGAACACAGTTTTCCACTTCCACACACTTTGTTTTGCAGATTTTTCTTTATGGAATACACAGTGGCACAGAGTACTATTTTTCTCTATGATGCATATTCTTCCACAATTTTTTCCTAAGAATGTTCTAAAACTGATTGAATCCATGAGTAAGAAAGACACTTTTATAATTTTTAGCAATATTGAAGTAAGAACTCAAGGCTTCATGCTTGCAAGGCAGGTGCTCTATCACTTGAGCCATGCCTCTAGCCCTTTTTGCTCTGGTTACTTCTGAAATATCACCTTTTTTACCCACACTGGTGTGGGCTGCAGTCCTCCTATTTATACTTCCTGCCATAACTGGGATGACAAGTGCCTGCCACCATGCCCATCTTTTTTCTATTGAGATGGGGTCTTGGCAACTTTTTGCCCAGGCTGGCCTGGAACCACGAGCCTCATGATCTCAGCCTCCTGCATAGCTGGGATAACAAGTGCATGCTGCTATACTCAGCTATTGGTTGAGATGGGGTATCATGAACTTTTTGCCTGAGGTTAGCCTCAAACTGTGATTCTCCTGATCTCTGCCTCCTGAGTAGCTAGGAGTACAGGCATGAGCCACTAAAGCTCAGCCTAAAAGATGCATTTGGAGAGGGTGGGGCTATAGCTCAGTGATACGGCCCTTGCTAGCATGCATAAGGCTTTGGGTTTGATCCCCAGCACCACAAAAAATGATGCATTTTTTTACTAATTAAGAGAAAATATTAATTTCCTAGAGCAGAAAAAAATTTAATTCATGAATTTACAAAATTTACAAAGTTACAAAGTTAAGTTATCTTAGTCTTGATGTTAAAGATCCTATATTCGTTTTATAAGTGTAAAAGTAACAAAGTGTTGACTGGGCCTGAGACACTACCATGTGACATAAGATTTGTGGGAAACTGTATTTTAAATAAATTAAATTTTTTTTTCAGTGCTGAGTATTGAACCCAGGGCCTTGCATATGGTAAGACATGCTTTATCATTGAGCTATACTCCCATCCCAATGAACTTAATTTTAAGTGTCTAATTATATTTAGAATATTAGGTTATTCCAAAAAATTAATCAAGTTTATTTTAAAGCTCAAATATCTATTTATTGTTATATTGATCAAAACACCCCCAAGGGGTAGGTAGCCCAAATAATGTATACATATGTAATAAATGTAAAAATGATAGAAAAAAAAAACAGATGATTGACTATTTTCAAGAAGTAACTTAATTTCTGGGATTTTTGTTGTTGCTATTAATTATAGACATAGATCTGAAGAGCTAATACTGATTAAGCTAAGATCCTATACTATATCATTACTGAGGTTCCTTTGGCTATGTAATTGATGGTTCAGCCATATAAAGGCTTTTGGTTTTGTTTTCACTTGTTTTTTATTTGTTTGCTTATTTGTTTTGGCAGTACTCAGGGCCTGGTGATTGCTAGGCAAGTGCTCTACCACTTGAGCCACACTCCCAGCTTCTTGGTTTTGAATCACATTTTAGATCAGGTATACCACAGAGATCCTAAATTGTCAATTACCAGATTATGGACCCTTTATCTGGAAAAAATATTTTATCTAAAAGAATTTTCAGGTAGGACTGGGACATGAGAGTACATCAGCCAGCACAGGGATAAAGACACAGCACAGGATTGAGAATCCAGAGCAGGAGCCAATGGGGGTGGGGGGACTTATCTAGTTTGATTTGGCTGCTGCTCCTGCACTGTATGGACTTGCTTCTTCTACCCCCAAGGCCAGACTTGCTACTGGCCCCTTTGGGGGAAACAGTTGTCACAGCTGGGATACAGGACATCCTCCCTTTCTCATGAATGCCTGGTGTCCATCAGATATCCCCCAAGAACTAGAACTGGCACAACATGGATAGTGCCACTTAAGCCAGTGAAAGTGGGAACCAACATACCCCCAAATTTCAGCTTCTTCTGGGTCCACACCATCATCAGAACTGTGGCAGATCTGATCAACATTAAGAGGAAGGGAGTATGGTCTTTCACTATGTAATAACATCAGCTCCTTCAACGGAGGCAAAAACTATGGGTATGGGAGCATGCCCACCAGCATGACATTCCCAGTGAGATCTACAACAACTCCCAGGCAAAGACCAGACATGAGAAAAATTTAACCAGCATGGGACATGCACTGGATTCAGAGTGTCAAGCCATCCAGAACTATGCCTTCTAGAAGGTGGGAGACTATAGCTGCCTCTCTGGGAAGATGGAAATGCTGGTAGAAATCTATACTTTGGCAGCAGTGTAACAGCAACAGAAAGGATGGCTAATGACAGTAGAGGTATCTAAGACCAATGCCTGTATAAATCATGTCATTTCTGTGGCTGTGTAGCTGTCAGCAATGGGAATAAGTACTGGATGGTCTGGAATTCAGGGTGTGAAGCATGGGCAAGAGAGGCTGGATAAGGACAGTGACCACACCTGTAGGATGGGAAGGATGTCAGTTACAGCTATGCTACCAACGACTACTAGAGATTTGAGAATCCCATTGTTTAAGTCAGATGTCTCCAGAAGAACAGTTCTTGAAGAAATGATATCATGAACAACAACTAAAGGGGATCCTATGGTAATAATACACCAGATTAATTAGCAGGACTGGGGTGCTACTGAACATCTGTGAATAGCACTGCACACCTAGAAGGGGTAGTTATCAACATGAGAACCAACGCGGTATCAGCTGGAAGAGCATTTCTAAGAGAAGAGTAGAAAATGAGATGACTTAAACACCTGCACAGAACTGCTCCACCTCTACTATGACTCCAGTCAGCTGACTACCTGGTGAAGAAGATGGGACTTCGATTTTCTTCTGTAGGTTTGGTATTTTGTTGGCAACGATAATATGGCATTTAGGAGTATTTTAAACAAAAATCAATGAGGGGAACAGGGTGGCAACTTTGAAATGCTCAAAAAATATGTATCTGACATTAGGGGCAGGGCACAGTGGTTGAATGCTTCCCTAGCATGCACAAGACTTAGTTCAATGGCTTCCCAGCACTGAAAAAAAAGAGAAAAAACAAAAATGAATGAAAGTATTTTTAGAGAGCACTCACCCTAAACAAATGTCCTATTTACTCATTTAAGAAGGTCAAATTGAAAGGACACACAAAAAAGTATCACAAGTACCCTAGAAGACTCCCTTAACAAAACTAGGTTCCAGAAATCAGATTTAGAAGAGAAATTAAAGTCCATACCCACGATAAACTCCTCTCTACCCCTTTCCTACAAATGAAATGGCCCAGCTAAAGGCTAACACTCAACACCTGACAGCAGCTTGTACAGAAGCCTCTCTCTCAGATTAAATGGGCTGGAGTAAAACCTTGTGATCAGAGGGCAGCCTAAAAGCTCTGAAATGATTTATTTAAAAAAATCCCCAAAGCCCACAGCTCTGAATCCAGGAGCTGTAGAACATAGAAATCTTTTGTTTTCTACATCAGTAGGAAATCTTTTCTCAGACATGAAAAAGCAAATTGAAAATACTGTAGTTGGGTGGGCAGGCCAGCCCCTTAAAATTATTGAACCCTCACCCAACTCTTTGAAGAATTATAAAAAAATTGTCTTTAAAAAATGAAAATATGGCTCTAGAAGTGACCCCAAGCCCACCCATCCTTCCTGCCAATCCCAAATATTCCCTGTTCACCTCAAGATGCCTCCAGATAGTATAAAAAGTCCAGAACAGTGGAAAAGGGACTTCCCTGCTCTGAGGAGAAAGAGACACTCAAATACTAAGGTCTGCACTACTCAGTCAGCTCCTGGAGCCCTCCTGTCAACTAGCCCTCTGTCTGAACCTGTAAGACCACAGACTCCCAAGACAAGAATTTTGTTCACCACCTCCCACTTGCCTGAACATACCTGCTTTAACACAGTCCTGAGAATTTACTCTTTGTCCAAAACAAAACCTAGCAAGGCAAATATGCTCCTTAAAAACCCTCACTCTAAACATCTCCCAGGAACCTGAGATCCTTTCTGTAAAATGCAAACTTCAGGGAAATAACTGGCTCTTGGCCTCAGAATTGGGCTCCTTTGCCTTACTTACTTTACTTTTATACCAGTGATGTAAAAGACATTTATTTCTCCTCCTGATATGCACAATTAACCCCCACACATACACACATACTTCTTACCTCCAGATAGTATTTTATAAAATCCCTTAAAATTATTTTGTAATTTTTTAAAGAAACCTATTTTAAATGGATATCAAAAATAAGTACTTATATAAATTTAATATTGCTGAAACTCTCAGAAACAAAGGAACTAATACCCCCCCCTTTTTTTTTTGTTTTTTTACCATGGAAAATGTATTTTTATTTTTATTTATTTTTTTATTTATTTTGGCATCATCATCATCATTTTTATTTTTTTTTTCATTTTTCTTTTATTATTCATATGTGCATACAAGGCTTGGTTTATTTCTCCCCCCTGCCCCCACCCCCTCCCTTACCACCCACTCCCCCCCTCCCCTCCCCCCCTCAATACCCAGCAGAAACTATTTTGCCCTTATTTCTAATTTTGTTGTAGAGAGAGTATAAGCAATAATAGGAAGGAACAAGGGGTTTTGCTGGTTGAGATAAGGATAGCTATACAGGGCATTGACTCACAT